GACATAAATGTACAGATTTGAGTAGGTAAGATGTGATCAGTAGCAATATGTAATCGTAACTGGAGGGACATTCCATTGTCATTAAGGATGTATATTCTGTAGGGACATTCCATTGTCATTAAGGATGTGTATTCAGTCCTTGTCATTGGGGAAATGAGGTACAATTAGCATCAATTAGGCTGAAAAGCCCGGCTTCTGGGATGTGACACCTTTTGTGTTAATAAGGTTGTCACCTTCTGGGAAAACCTGTTTGGAGGAAATGACTGCAGCCGGGTTGTCTGCCTGACATTGGAAGCTCTAAAAGGAATATACATACATCAAAGAAGTATGGTTCATCCCTCATAAAAGCTAAAATATTAGTTGCAGAGAGATGAACATACTCCCTTCTATTCGGGCACTCTGTGCGCTACATCTGCACTAAAAAATCATATTTGTAGTTTAGGCAGAAGGCCAGGAAAATGCAGGAAATGGTTAGGTGGCGCTGGATGATGACAGTCGAATGGTGTTTGGTACTGCCATGATCGGACTGATGCGCTGGCGTCGGAAATCCAATCCCCGACTTGGTGTTTCAAGCCAGTCTTGGCCCAATTGAACTTGGGCAGGTCAACACCCAGAACATCCTGTGGGCGGGTGCAGGAACACCCCCAGGGTCAATTGGCCAAGGACTAATGTCCTGCCTACGTCCATATCCCCATAAATGGGGTATTGCAACCTGGGACATTTGCGATTTGTACGGAGCTGGTTCGATCGACCAACGGATTGCTGATTCTCTGACTTGCTCCAGTCGCAGGGTAAATCCTGGTAAAGTTTTACTTCTGTCTGTTATTCCCTTTTTATTTTATAGTGAATAGTCATTTGTGTGTCTTCTTGTATTTTTTGTATTTCTGTAACTTTCATATTTTGTACATATTTTATGCACTGCCCACCTCGGGAAATTAAATCTTAAAACTAATTAGTGACTTCTGTGTATTTAAGCACATGCTCATATCTTCGGAGAGATTAGATTGGAGAGATTTGATCGGATTAGATTGTATCGTATTTTAGTGCCTTTAAACGCTCGGTCAAGCTCATTGTCAATCTGCATGCAATTGCACTGTGTGTGGGCAGATAATGTGCAGATTGTAAAAGGTAACAGATCGGCCAGACGGAGATCTGTGTGTGTGTGGTGTCCCAGCAGACCGTTCTGCGGATAAACTATTGGGTGGTGGCAGGCTACCTTTTGTGGTGTGTCTGGTGGCGGGGGGGGGGGAAGTGGACAGTGGAAGGGTGATTAACACCGGGGTTCAAGATGTAGGTAGCTGGAGGGACCTTAGAAGGGTGTGTAATTACTAAGCTGGTCCTCAACTCTAATCAGTGCACCAGATTGTATGTAAGATTTGTATCTGCCAGTGTGTGGTCGACCAGCTGGATTGGAGTAGAGTCTCTCTCTGGTGGTGGCCGAAGGTAGTGCGGGCTGTGGAAGTACATCACGGTTGGTCTTATATACGATTTTATAAATTCAAAGTTAAGTCCCCTTTATTCCCTCATACCCCGTCACGGACACGCGTGCGCTCCTCGGTTAGCTAGCTGCTGTGGGCATGGCGTGTGGGGGATCCGTGACAACTTGTTACAAATATACAATGTTACAGTCTGGGAAAGAGGAAATGTTTCCTCCTGCTTGCAGCAGACTCATGGAATCATCTCAACCTGGGGAAAAATCACTTGACTGGAGTTTTTAATGTAAAAGGTGAAGCTTTAAAAAAATATTTATATAAACTGCTGTTGTATATTGTGTGAAGTTAAGGATTTATTTTTGCAGATTTGTGAAGTTACCTAAAGGTCTAATTTAAGTCCAGCCTAGCATGCAGCCCCCTGCTATTATATTTATACATGTGCAATTCGTATGTTTACTAATTGAAATTTGGACAAAATGTTTTGTTATTCGGAGAGTCAAATGTATCCGAATCTGAAAATCACAATAGTAATGAATTTCAGCTTATTCAAAATCAATTATAACTAAACAAATTATCCAAATTTGAAAATAAATTTGAATTCAAAATGAAAGCATATTGCAATAAATACAGTAAGGTTTAAAAGTGAAATAGGATGATGGCTTAGGATGCTTTAAAGAATATAATAAAATAACAGAATATAAAATAATAGAATAGTATAAAATAGAACAAAATAAATTAGAAAATAATAGAATAGAACAAAACAGAATAACATAGAATGAAAAATAAAAGAAAAGAATAGAATAGAATGGAAAAGAATAGAAAAGAAAAAACTGATGTGAATGTACAATATAGTGCAGCATAAATTGACAGCGCTATATAAGTACCTATAATAAATAAATAAAACAGAATATAATAGAAAACAAAATAAAGGAATAGAATAGAAAAGAATAGATAAAAATATAAAAAACAGAATAAAACAGATCATAAAAGAATAGAATAGAAAAAAATAGAATAGAAAAAAAATATAGCCGTCTTCAGAAATTACAAATTTTGAATAGAATAGAAATGAATAGAATAGAAAGAATATAGCCATCTTCCGAAGCTTGAATTTCAAATAGAATACAATAAAATATATAACGGTTTTCTAAAATTTTAATTTAGAATTACGAAATTCTAATTTTGGATTGAATACAATAAAATAGAAAGAATATAGCCGTCTTCTGAAATTCGAATAGAATAAAATGGAAATAATATAGCAGTCTTCTGAAATTCTAATTTTGAATAGAACAGAATAGAATTGAAAGAATATAGCCGTCTTCCGAATTTCGAAATTCTAAGTTTGAAAAGAAAAGAATAGAATAAAATAGGAAGAACATAGCCATCTTCCGAAACTTGAATTTCAAATAGAATAGAATAAAATATATAAATGTTTTCTAAAATTCTAATTTAGAATTATGAAATTCTAATTTCGGATAGAATACAATAACATATGAATAGAAAGAATTTAGCCATCTTCTGAAACATGAATTTCAAATAGAATAGAATAAAATATATAACAGTTTTCTAAAATTCGAATTTAGAATTACGAAATTCTAATTTCAGATAGAATACAATAACATATAAAAAGAATAGAACAGAATAAAATAGGAAGAATATAGCCATCTTCCGAAACTTGAATTTCGAATAGAATAGAATAAATTATATAACTGTTTTCTAAAATTCTCATTTAGAATTACGAAATTCTAATTTCGGATAGAATACAATAAAATAGAAAGAATATAGCCATCTTCTGAAATTAGAATAGAATAGAATAGAATAAAATGGAAACAATATAGCCGTCTTCTGAAATTCTAATTTTGAATAGAATAGAATAAAATTGAAAGAATATAGCCATCTTCCGAATTTTAAATTTCGAGTCAAGACGATAATAGCAAATATGAAACAAATCCAAATATGAATCATGAATATGACTAAACAAAATTAACCTCTTCACGCCAGCCGAATGTGCGGCCTCCCGGCGTCTGGACCTAGCGGTTGCACATTTGCGTTCCATTAAAAAAGAACATATGTGCTGAGAGCGCGCGCCCTGCACACTCCCAGCACACGTCCGGTACTCACGGAAAGGTCCTAATCTCCTCTTTCGATCAGGACCTTTCCCGATCATGTGACCACCATGAAGGCGTGTCACGGCAGTCACATGATCCTAAACCCCGCCCCGGCTTCTGAAACCCTTAACCTCCCTAGCGGTATGATGATTTCAGATTTTTGGTGCTGAAAGCGGTAGGGTGGTGGTACCATTATTTTGCATGGAAATTTGGCATTTTATATTGTAGGCTGTAATTTTTAGGAATAACTCACTGAAATCTGTCCAAACAAGTGTCTAGTAAACATCCCGGGGATGATAAAACGTGAAACACGAAATCATAAATTATAATATAATAAATAATCATAAAAAATAATAATATAATAATAATAAATGTAATTCAATAATATAATCAAACCAAAAACACTGAAATGTGAAATATAGCGCGCAAGTTCGCACATCACTGAGCAAAGTCGCAGAATTGTTTTCAGTGTCTGATGATGAATTTCCCCCACGAATCATTATCAATCAATTCTGCAAGTGGTTCTGATTTACTATCGCTGTTCTCTAGCCGGTCTAAAACCGCTTTTGACCTAAAGGGACACTTTTTGGACGCCATGGACGTTTCTCAGTTTCCAGGCAGAAAGAACAGTAAAAATGCAGGCAGGGCGCCGGACAAAGCACTCGGGACAAAATGTATGTGAAATGGTTTGATACAGTAATGTTTTACTATGTGATTTTAGTGAATGTCACTTTTTGTCATTTTCAAATTTCCTGCCGTTCCGTCCCCCGTACATCCCGACGCCCACAGGGAACGGAACACAGATGACAGATGCCGGCATCCGCCGGATTACATTACAGGGGACACTGCAGGGGGGACATCGCGGGAGCGCAGGACAAGGTAAGTGATCGAGGGATCCCGGAGCAGCGCCGCATGGTAAGCCCGAGTGTAGCTCGGGGTTACCGCTTGTGGTACTGAAACTTTACCCCGAGCTACACTCGGGAATATCGCCAGGGGGGTTAAAGGGCCGGAAGGCGCCGGCGCCAAGGGGTTAACTTAATGAATAAATTCAAAATGAAACAAATTTTTTCTGTTGTGCACACCTCTAATTATATCAATCCCAGCCCCTACGCCATTCAACATTTCATACCTCCTCTACCCCACAAAGAAATCTGGGAATTTGAGAGTAGCTGCAACTTTCTTAGCCCCCTGTTAATGCAGTTTCGTGAATGAAGGTCCATAGATACGTAGAATAGAACACTTTTATTGCATACAAAATACACCACTTAAACAAATGTAGTTACAAGTAAGACCATAGGTATACATTCTAAAAGATTGAGCGGGTCAACGTTCAATGTACAATGGAGAACACACAACATCTGACATAAAAATGTTTTATTGACTTAGAAAATGTGACAAGAATGTAGTAAAGCACTGAAGAGGAATGAGGGGGGGGGGGGTTCAGGGGATATCCAGGTTCACTTTATGATGGACAGCCATTAAGCTCCAGATTATCAGACAGTATGAAGAAGGCATCACATATGTCCTCATTCTCCGGATCCTGGCATTCTCTGTTGTTTGGCCACCACTCGATCCAAGTGTCTTTCCCGATGATGTAGGAGTATCTGAAGAGAATTATAAAAAACAAATAGGTCAACTCCACCCAAAACTACCATATAAAATCCTAAAACCTATGCTGATTAGGAAATAGGGTGATATCTCTTCTGTAATTCACAGTTGAACCCAACTGCAACGGCCATTTCAAAGACAAAGGATGATGGTATGTTCCCCCGACAGAGAAACCATATTGAAAAATAAGGCTGACCATACACTATACAATTTTCTGTTCAATTTCTGCCCATTTCCTTTAGATTTACCTTCAGCTATGTGGTGCAAGGGCCTGCTTAATGGGATACAATTGAAAGTGCTGTTTAGGTTTGACCTCCTATTATATGGTTTTTGGTAAATCTAAATCAAAATTCTCAAGAAAATTGTATAATGTATGACCAGCCTACTAAGTGACATATCGGCATGGATGTCACTCCACTTCCTCAAACTCAATCTGTCCAAAACTGAGCTCTTAGTATTCCCCCCGGCCCGTGCCCCCTCCCCCGACTTCTCCATCAAGATCAATAACACAGTCATCAGTCCCTCCCCTCATGCCAGGGTACTAGGTGTAATCCTAGACTCCCATCTGTCCTTTCAGCCCCAGGTCCAATCGCTGTCCAAATCTTGTAGACTTCACCTCCGAAACATCTCCAAGATACGCCCGTTCCTAACCTGGGAAACCACTAAGCAACTTATTCACTCCCTTGTTATCTCTCACCTTGACTATTGTAACTCCCTCCTCATTGGTCTACCTCATCGCAGGCTATCCCCTCTTCAGTCTATCATGAATGCTGCTGCCAGACTCATCCACCTTACTAACCGTTCCACTGTATCTTCCACCCCTCTCGGCCAATCCCTCCCTCTCTGCCACTCCATTGGCCTCCACTCAGTGTCCTCCACCCCTCTCTGCCAATCCCTCCACTGGCCCCCACTCAGTGTCCTCCATCCCTCTCTGCCAATTCCTCCATTGGCCTCCACTCAGTGTCCTCCACCCCTCTCTGCCAATCCCTCCACTGGCCTCCACTTAGTGTCCTCCACCCCTCTCTGCCAATCCCTCCACTGACCTCCACTCAGTGTCCCCCAGCCCTCTCTGCCAATTCCTCCATTGGCCTCCACTCAGTGTCCTGCACCCCTCTCTGCCCATCCCTCCACTGGCCTCCACTTAGTGTCCTCCACCCCTCTCTGCCAATCCCTCCACTGGCCTCCACTCAGTGTCCTCCACCCCTCTCTGCCAATCCCTCCACTGGCCTCCACTCAGTGTCCTCCACCCCTCTCTGCCAATCCCTTCACTGGCCTCCACTCAGTGTCCTCCATCCCTCTCTGCCAATCCCTCCACTGGCCTCCATCCCTCCACTGGCCTTCACCCCTCTCTGCCAATCCCTCCACTGACCTCCACTCTGTGTCCTCCACCCCTCTCTGCCAATCCCTCCACTGGCTTCCCATTGCCCAACAGGATAAAATTCAAAACATTAACAATAACATATAAAGCCATTTATAACTCTGCACAAAAATTACATCACTAATCTTGTCTCCAAATATCACCCAAACCGTACTCTCCGCTCCTTGCACGACCTCCTGCTCTCTAGCTCCCTTGTCTCCTCCTCCCATGCTCATTTCAAGAACTTCTCCAGAGCTTCCCCCATCCTCTGGAACTCACTACCCCAATATATCGGAGTATTGCTTACTCTGCTCACTTTTAGGCGATCTCTGAAAACCTATCTCTTCAGGGAAGCCTATCCTGCCCTCAGCTAATAAAGGAATCTTCTATTCCTCCTACCAGTCCATCCCCCATAGTTACTATCTTTTGTACCACTAGCCCCTCCCTCTTAGATTGTAAGCTCCGAGGATCAGGGCCCTCCTATCCCTCCTGTATTGAACTGTATTGTTCTGTATTGTCTCCCGTTATATTGTAAAGTGCTGAGCAAACTGTTGGCAATATATAAATCCTGTATAATAATAATAAAATTATCGTTAATTGATGTTTATGATGCTGCTAAATTTAGTCTGAACTTAGACTGGCCATACACTATACAATTTTCTGTCCAATTTCTGCCCAATTTCCTTTAGATTTACCTTCAACTATGTAGCGCAAGGGCCTGCCTAATTGGATACCATTGAAAGTGTTGTTAGTTTTGACCTCCTATTATATGGTTTTTGGTAAATCTAAACCAAAAATCTCAAGAGAATTGTACGATGTATGGCCAGCCTTAGAAACTGTAATGGTCTGTGGTCACAAAGGAGTAAAAAACAAGATAAAATTGGTTTAGATTTATGTAAAACTGTTGTTACTTCTATTCAATGGACCAACAAAAGGTCCTTCACACTCCTAACCTTACACCATACATTACTCCAATACTTCTCTAGAGAAGCACCAATCCACTGGAATCCCTTCTGTTGCCTTCTCAGGCTGACCTCTTCCATGTACACAGCTAAACAGTTCTACTAAAGCTACCCCTTAACAATCTAATCTCCAAATGCAAACATTTTTTATATCATATGGGTCATCCAGATATGTTAACCTCCCTAGCGGTCTGATTATGTCCATATTTCTGTGCTCAAAGCGGTACATTTTTTTGCATGGAAATATGTATTTTTTTTATTGTAGGCTGTAATTTTTAGGAATAACTCACTGAAATCTGTCCAAACAAGAGTCTAGTAAACATTTAGGATAAAATTTGAAACACGAAATCACAAATTATAATTTAATAAATAATCATAAAAATAATAATGTAATAATAATAAATGTAATTCAATAATATAATCAAACCAAAAACACTGAAATGTGAAATATAGCGCCAAGTTCGCACATCACTGAGCAAAGTCGCAGAATCGTTTTCAGTGTCTGATGATGAATTTCCCCCACGAATCATTATCACTCAATTCTGCAAGTGGTTCTGATTTACTATCGCTGTTCTATAGCTGATCTAAAACCGCTTTTGACCTAAAGGGATGCTTTTTGGACGCCATGGACGTTTCTCAGTTTCCAGGCAGAAAGAACAGTATAAATGCAGGCAGGGCGCCGGACAAAGCACTCGGGACAAAATGTATGTGAAATGGTTTGATACAGGAATGTTATACTATGAGATTTTAGTGATTTTAGTGAATTACACTTTTTGTCATTTTCAAATTTCCCGCCGTTCCGTCCCCCGTACGTCCCGACGCTCACAGGGAACAGAACCCAGATGACAGATGCCGGCATCGGCCGGATTACATTGCCAGGGACACTGCAGGAGGGACATTGCGGTTGTGTTTGCGGGAGCGCAGGACAAGGTAAGTGATCGAGGGATCGCGGAGCAACGCCGCATGGTATTCCCGAGTGTAGCTCGGGGTTACGCTTGTGGTACTGAAACTTTACCCCGAGCTACACTCGGGAATACCGCCAGGGAGGTTAAAAGTTGAACTCCAGCCTTCCCATCAGTCTTGCACAGCTGTACAGGCTCCTCTGCTCTACTGAAATTGCTTAGTCTGATATCACTGCACACTGTGAGCTTCTCATATTACGCATTAAATGCTGCAGCAAGTCAGGTAGAGCCCACTTCATTTCCTGACTGGAGGATGTCCAGCATTTTCTAGCACTTTCCTCCCCAGCCCCACCATCCCTGTCCTGCCCCTTTCGATAAAGGATTTTAGTTCTGCCAACAATGGAGGATCAGCACCATATGATGTTACCTAGGGAAATCTGTATGCTAGTGCAGCCTGTTTAGGATTGCCCACTCCTCTGGGATGACATTCACCCATTAATGATCAGATCAGGGCTGATAGCCTTTGAGAGGAGTACTAAGGCAATAGGAAGGGTGAAAAGATGTTTTAGGAATCTATTTACAGTTAATCCATAGTCTTAAAGTATAGCATAAACCAGATTAGACATCAGCAGAGTTTTAATTGTGCCTAGAAAAATCTAACTTCTGTCCTAAATTCCTCCAGAAAAATAGATATGGTCCTTCTAAAGGTGCCTTAAGTCGCATACCTCACTGCTGATGTTGACTTTTAGTCCTGGGAGATTTGGAGTGAGATTTGGTGATGACACTACTGTGCTGCTCACTGCTCTCTGCACTGGAAAGAAAGCTGTACCTGAGGACATGCAGTGCAAGATCACTCCTACCAAGATGGCCACCTCCATACAGGGACACAGAGCAGAACAAGCACTGCAAGGCTGGCCATAGAAGGAGCAAATTTCTTTTCTGCAACCACGGGTTGCAAGCAAGAAAATCGCTAGATTCCCCCATCGACACACTCAGCGTTGACAGGGGAATCCCTCCTGTGGAGCCATTGTGTTCTCCCAGCAGAGGGGCGAGGGGAACTTTCTCACTGGCAAAACACTCAATCAACTTGGGTACATTCAGCCTGCCCACACACGGTTCAAATCGTGGCTGGTTTCTGCTGAACTGGCCAAGATTCAAACCTTCTATGGCTGGCTTAAGTAATTGTAAGTCTATAATGGAAAATAGATCAACTGAATGGAGCCTACAGCCACTATTACTGACTAATCCTTTGCCCTCTGCTTGGCTTTTTGGACACAACTTCCACGGTAAAGGTCTTCTTTAAGTTTACAAGAGGAAAAATAAGTACAAGTTTTCATTAAAGTGGAACTAAATTTGACAACTAAAAAACTGCAAGAAGGCAGCTCTTTATTGCAGAAGAGACATGCAATGTCTCTTCAACGATAACAAACACTTAGCTGCCTGCTTGCAGTTTTCTATAGCAAGCACAATGAGCTGTGTATGTGCAGCTCAGGCTGCATTCCCGGCACACTCCGACTGTGCTGGAATGACGGACTCCTGTGCTTATGTATGGGATGACATCACTCCCCCACCAGCCAATCAAGAGACTGAAAACCTGGTACCTAGAAGTAGCCTGAGAGAAGATGACTGAGGCCAGTGAGCGATTAACAGTGGCATCAATGGAATGGGGAGGTATTTCTGTGAGTTTAGTTTGGCTTTAACATACTGAAAGTCTATATATGATCAGCATTTGTACCTTTAAAAGCTGTTATGTTAATTAAGATGGCCATTCAGTAACTGAGTTATCAAAAAAGTACTTAGGATCGTTGCATTACACAAGGAGCCCATAGACATTAGATGACAGTCAACAATACAATGTCCATGAGGCAGTACACCACAGCCCTGAAGGAGCATTCTTGGGGAACACATCAATTGTGTTGTTTAGAAAATGTTTCCATGTCTGGCCACTCTGTTGCACTTTTTCTAACTTCTATAGTCATCTTAAAAATTTTAATAAATTAAAAAAAATATTATAGTTGTCCTCTACACTGCAAAGGAACCTTATCTGGATTAATTGACTTTAGCCAGCCAATGCCTAAAAATCAATAATTATTAACATCCAATCAGCAAACATACAGTATTGTAGCCAATTTCAGAAAACTTATGTCGACTAGGATATTGAATGTTTATTTATGAGATATTCTATTAAAGATTAATGATTCACACAGAAGAAAACCTTTTCTGAAGGCGGCTTGGTAAAACTGAATTATTTTTAACAAGTGTGCTTTACAATGAGAGCTAGTAGATGAAGGAGCTTACCCGTTTGGTTGTTCCCAAAGATCCCCTCTGACTCCCCAGATCAGGTACTCCCGTCCTTTCTTCAAATCCAAGGATTTACGGCACTTAATGTGGCTGACAAAGTTTCGTTGTTTACCCTCAACATTCTCATCTGTACCTGTTGTCAAGAAAAGTAAACAGGAGAAATGAAGAGTACAAAACATATACAAATAGTGACTATTAGACAAGTTATTAAACACATGGAACATTTCAAACTACCAGCCTCTTGTAATTAAGAGCGTTAAGTGCTAATTTCTGGTTTTGGTTACTTGTTGCAACCAATCAAAACCAAGTAAATTTCCAATGGGCCCACCATATAATTTTATTTACAAAAAAAAAAAGTAGTGTTAAATTGTTTTGAAAAATACATATTTTGGTGCTGAATTGGGCAAGATCTAGTTTTGCATTCTTTACATACCTAGCTTGATGACCTTGACTATGGTCATCACGTAATTGTCGTAGTTGTCATTTGGTTCAACATCATCCATTCGTGCCCTGTATACTGTTGAAGAAATATGTCAGCATCAGCAATTATTAAACCAGTATCAGCAACAAAAAAAATAATGGTTTGGGTTTAAACCTGGTTCTCACCATAGTCCACTCCTTTTCCACAAGCTCTCTCCATCCTACCCTGTGCATCAATTTCACCTTCAAGTTGTTGCTGCAAGAAACAGTTTGCTGCAAGACAAAAATAGCTAAGGGTAAGCTATCAGGGGTCACCAACATCAATTAGTTTGTAGACATAAAGATGACTAGATACCTGTACAAAATCCATTTATCAGTAATGATGTTTGAAGAAGCAATGTCTGCAGGTGGCCCACAGAAATTAGATCACCCCCATATTGAGTAAAAAATGGCTGAATAGGACACCTTTTCATCTTATAGGTGCCATCTAATTCAGACCACCTTGAAGCTAACCATCATGGAATGGTGGTTGGAAGATCCAACTGCTCTTTTAAGAAAAAAATCACAATGTCCTTCATAAACATGGATGTTTAAAAAGTGAGCATAAACCCCTAGGCTTGGCCTTATCTCAAGGAGGCTAGTAATGGCTTGAGAAGCTATATTTTATACCATAAATCATCACTGGTTGGCCAAAAAGTGTTTCAAGTGGTGTCTAATTACATATACTGTATACAACTGTTTATTGATAACTTTTAGTCAGCTTAGGTGGCAAACCCTTCAACTTTATGGGTTTCAGTGGTTATTGTGATGCATATTCATGGTTGATCTTTACTTTTTGAAGTATAACTATTTCTTTAAGTTTTGGACAGAGTGGAGAGGGATTAGAACACCTGCTGGGTTTTTATAGCTGCCTGAGCCCGTATTAGGGAGATTGACCCTCTCTATTTGTCATGTTTACCATTATCACCGAAAAAAAAGAAAGAAAACCCCACATTTTCAACAAAACATAAATCAAGGAGAAATCTTCCAATGAGGGCACTAGTTCTGGTGACCCTGGTGACACCCTGGGATTCCCTCACTTTGGAGGAATTTCATTTCACTTCCTGTGTTGACTGTATCTAAGTGCCGGATAAGTCACTATGCAATTCAGGGACACTTACAGATGGGATTGTAATTAATCCTTTTTCCTCTAGTGCCCAGTACTGGGCCAGCTACATCACTTCCTGTTAGCAGAGTGGATCTAGTTCTCCCACAGCAGAGGATCTTGGGACCTGTAATCCTATAGTCAATGCATACTGTATTCCTGGGTGCTAGCTGAACTACACATATTAGAAAGCTGATGAACCAGAAGGATTCTGAGAGAGCAGATATATTCTAATGCAAAGGGTGGGCTCACTCTCTTGGCATGGGATTCAGAATTGGAGGCAAGGAGACTGACAGTCTCCTCAAGAGAAAGATTGTGGACCTGTGGCTGCGGGACTCTGGACAGCAATTCAGCATAGCTGTGATGCCAATTGCCACACCGGCATCACATCAGTCTTTCTCTGCACCGTGACTGTCACTGCCTAGGCGTCCAGGCTGTCAGCTGGTAACCCTACTCATCTCTGCAGACCGTCAAAAGCCTGTTAAAGAAGTCATGTTCCTAGGAGGCCGTGCTATTGACAGGATTGGTGAGCAGGCGGGTGCCCAACCTCCTTCTATCATAACTCTAGAGACACTACATGCAGACATCTTTACACAGCACAGCCAAGCTGTTTCACTTCATTGAATTACCAGTATCCAATAATGTTCATGGGCCCCACCACTGCTAGCAGAAGACAGCTGATACCACCATATTAGGAACTTTTAACATAACAGGACTCGAGCTGCAATCTCTAGTTAAAGGGACCTCTTTCTTTCTAAAGCCATTGTTGCTCAAACCAGGGTACCTACATATATTTATGCAGGAGTATAAATTTACATATTTCTTTACATACCCCTTGTAGTGCCAGTAACCCAGAGGGAGCTGATAAGCCAACAAGTCTTCTCTTTCTCTTTTTACTGCTGGTGTTACATTTAAATGGTTGAAGTTTACTTCAAATAACTGTATAATCTGTTAAATGTTACTAATTGACTGTTTCTGTTGTACCAGTGTTTCTGATTTCATGTATTAATTGGGGTCAAACCCATTATTCCTCTGGTCTACTTTGTTGAGTCTAGAGGTGTAACCAAAGAATTGTGTCTCTTGAATTATTGATGACCAGCTTTCTGTAATCAAGCCTGTATGGGACAGTTTTCCTACCTGGTGCCTTTGTTACCAGTTTAATTGTTAGCAATTCTAATGCTGCTCTTGTCCTTAAATTTGATTAATTTCTCTGATTTTCCTGGGACTTACCTTCAGCACAACGGCACACATCTGCCTGGCAGATCCTGCCCAGTAGTTTACTGCCTTCTTCAAAATGGTAGAATTTTGTGCAACGACTTTCTAGAGTAAGAAAAAAAACATACAGTACAGTTAGAAAGTAACAAAAGAAATGCAAATAAATATTCTTAATTTGATATTGACTGTTCCAATGACAACTGTCTAAAAGCGGATTTCCCATCATTTGGAGAGATTTTATTTCAATTTGTGGTTTTTTTTCTAAAGCATAGCAATTGAAAGGAAATCTCAGGAATGGAACAGAGATGATCAAAAAAAAATGAACAGGGGATTTTAACCCTAAACTTGGCTATCCAAAATTTAAAAAAGAATAAAAAAAGTTTAGCTTCAGAGACACATGAAGTATCTGGTATTGCTTTGGAAATACCGGTGTTGGTGGCTATAGTCTTCATATACAAGTTGAACACACAAACACAAGAAGGTCCTGTGTACACAGGCGTTTGCATCAGAACTGCATTTTTTTTCCATGTTCAAACTAATACAGTAGGTACAGTGGATATAAAAAGTCTACACAACCCTGTTAAAATGTCAGGTTTCTGTGATGCAAAAAAATGAGACAAAGAAAAATAATTTCAGAACTTTTTCCACCTTTAATGTGACCTATAAACTGTACAACGCAATTGAAAAACAAACGGAAATATTTTAGGGGGGGAAGTAAACATAAAAAAACTAAAATAATGTGGTTGCATAAGTGTGCACACCCTCTTATATCTGGGGATATAGCTATATTCAGAATTAAGCAATCACATTCAAAATCATGCCATCATTTAAAGTGCCTCTGATTAACTCCAAAAAATGTTCAGCTGGTCTAGAAGCTCTTTCCTGACATTTTCTTAGTCACATCCTACAGCAAATGATATGGTCCGCAGAGAGCTTACAAAGCATCAGAGGGATCTCATTGATAAAAGGTATCAGCCAGGAGAAGGGTACAAAGGAATTCCTAAGGCGTTAGCTATACCATGGAACACAGTGAAGACAGTCATCAAGTGGAGAAATGTGTACTTCATTCATACTAGGGCCAATTTAGACAGGAGCTAATTCAGCTACCACCATGTCTTTGGAGTGTGGGAGGAAACTGGAGTACCCAGAGGAAACCCACGCACGCACAGGGAGAACATGCAAACTCCAGGCAGGTGGTGCCGTGGTTGGGATTTGAACCAATGACCCTAGTACTGCCAGGTGGAAGTGCTAACCATTTAGCCAATGTGCTGCCCAAATAGACTACTAAACTAAATACGTTCAAAAAAAGTGAGGTTTTCCCCAAAGTATCACAAGATAAATAGAGAGAGAGAGAGAGAGATGTTAGATAGATAGATAGATAGATAGATAGATAGATAGATAGATAGATAGATAGATAGATAGATAGATACAGTAGATAGACTGTTGGATACATATTTAGATTTCACAGTTAATGACCCGCAGATTTTAATTCCTAAATTCAATTAAAATGAATATTTCCTATAGCAATGACAGATTGTTAGCAGATTTCTTAAAGTGGAAAATTGCCACTACATTTTTCATTTCAACTCCTTTATTGGTTAAGGCAGCCTTTCCCAATGTTTTTACCCCAGAGGAACCTTTGAAATCATTTGTAGGTCTTGGGAACCACAGATAAAACCAATTCATTAGTGACCAGTGGGTAAAATTCACCTTATATTGATGGCCATTAGAAGAATCCTTCTTACAGTGATGGTCAGAATGTCACCCTTACAGACAGGAGAAAAGAGATCATTGGTGTCATACAGCTGGCTCTGCCAAGTGGCACTGGCCCTGGAACAATGAAGGTACCACCAAATGAAAGGTCAACCAGTTACAGCTCAAGGAACCCCTCGTAACCTCTGCATGAACCCCCGGGCTCCAAAAATCCCTGGTTGAGAATGGCTGAGTTAGAGTAAACAACTACAACGTGTGCCATTTACCTGGGGAATAATAGTCATACACCGTGACAGAAGCTGGCTGGACAAGACCCACTTCAAAGATCTGATGGGCATAGAATTTCACACACATTCCTCCCGCTTATGAGAAATCTGAGGAAAACATAGGAAAAGTGACTAAACAGGCTACTATGACACTACAGCTGTGAAAAGTAACATATTATAAGGAATACTATTAAAAGTGAATATGCATATAGTGATTTTCTTTGAATGTATGGGCTTGAAGATAGGTTGGGTATGCCCTGGATTGCATTTCTGTAAGTAGTCTTCACACTTAAAGCATGTTTCTATTGTTCTGCCCTGCCTATCTGTACTATTTCTGTTGTTGTATTGAACTATATTGGGTTAGTATCAGGGGCGGACTGACCATTTGGAAACTCAGGCACTGCCCAAGGGCCCGGGGTCAGTAGGGGGCCCCGTGAGATGCCCCTGGTACCTTTTTCATAGCCTTTTTTGAGTTATGGCAAGGACACAGGGGCCCCATGATCCCCTATTGCCCGGGGGCCCCATGAGTTGTCAGTCCGCCCCTGGTTAGTATTGTTTGATGTATTCTTAGATCTAGTGGCAATTTTGGACCACTACAACTTGTTTGCTGATGTGATTTGGCATCTCCTGTTTAGTGCTAGTTATTTCAGTCCTAGCTAGAGCCTCCTGGTGTCTTCCTTGCTTCCTCAATCAGTGTTAATATTTTGCAGAGAAAGGGCTTAGGAAAGTCAACCTCTTCTTATACTTCAAAAAATTGAATGGGACTAAGTTATCCAATACATTTCTGGAGTCACAAATGAAATGATACTTAACCTCCCTAGCGGTCTGATTATGTCCATATTTCTGTGCTCAAAGCGGTACATTTGTTTGCATGGAAATATGTAGTTTTTTATTGTAGGCCTGTAATTTTTAGGAATAACTCACTGAAATCTGTCCGAACAAGAGTCTAGTAAACATCCCGGGTATGTTAAAATTTGAACACGAAATTATAAATTATAATTTAATAAATAATCATAAAAATAATAATATAATAATAATAAATTTAATTAAATAATGTAATCAAACCAAAAACACTGAAATTTGAAATAGAGCGCCAAGTTCGCACATCGCTGAGCAAAGTTGCAAAATCATTTTCAGTGTCTGATGACGAATTTCCCTACGAATCATTATCGATCAATTCTGCAAGTGGTTCTAATTTACTATCGCTGTTCTCTAGCCGGTCTAAAACCGCTTTTGACCTAAAGGGATGCTTTTTGGACGCCATGGACGTTTCTCAGTTTCCAGGCAGAAAGAACAGTAAAAATTCAGGCAGGGCGCAGGACAAAGCACTCGGGACAAAATGTATGTGAAATGGTTTGATATAGTAATGTTTTACTATGTGATTATAGTGTATTTAGTGAATGTCACTTTTTGTCATTTTCAAATTTCCCGCCAGTTCCGTCCCCCGTACATCCCATATGTCGCAGAGAACGGAACCCAGAAGACAGATGGAGGAGGACATTGCCGGAGACACTGCAGGAGGGACATCGCGGGAGCGCAGGACAAGGTAAGTGCAGAAGAGATCCCGGAGCAACGCTGCAGAGTATTCCCGAGTGTATCTCGGGGTTACCGCTTGTGGTGCTGAAACTTTACCCCGAGCTACACTCGGGAATACCTCCAGGGGGGTTAAAGATCTGCTATTGCTGCTGTTTAGCTTCAGTAGTGCTCCAACTTGCCAAAACATCATCCAACTTCACAGATTTCTCCATTACTCTCACTGGTCTCTACTTGATGGCAGCTTGGAAGCTAATCCTGAAACAGTGGACATCACCAACAGCCCCAGCTATAGCTGCTCTGCAAAATGAACTCAAAAATGTAATGCATAAAGAAAAGCCTGAACACAATGAACAATTCTTTTCTCTAAATAAGCACTTTTTTGTCAGGGGACAAGCCTTTATGGACTCTAAAATCAGTGCGCTAATGTCTTCTTTCCAATTCATTGAATGGTACCCTAAAGTGGAAGTAAAGTCAAGACCTAACTAATCCTAAACCTAGTCCCACCCTCATTCTAAGCCTAATCTATCTAAACCTGTAAAGAAAAGATCGCTATACTTACCTATTTTGAAGCCGCCCCAGTTTGATCTCCAGCTGCTCCTCTGTGTGCAAGAGAAAGTCGACAACAGTTGGAAAATGCCTGGGAAGTGACGTCGCCAGTAGACTTACTATGGGGCTTCCTATGTTGGCTGCCTCTCCTACACACTGAGACAGCCACTGACATCCCAGCCTGGGACGGGACCGGACCAGAGTGGCTGTAAAATAGGTATGTACAGCAAACTTTTCTTCACAACGATAGATAGATTAGGCTGAGAATATGGGTGGGAATAGGTTTAGAGTTAGGTAGGTTTTGCCTTTACTTCCACTTTAAAGCATCTCTCAGGAACTCTTTGGGAACACTCACTCTTTAACTTCTTACTCTGACAAGCTTTGGATGGCGGGATTTTCTTTTCTGAGACTTGTCTACTGAAAATTTGCTAGATTGTTGTCTCAGTTTATATTGATTTTCCAAGTTTTATTGTTTGATCCCCTAGAAGTACTTGTGCTAAACTGTCACATATGGTACATTTGCCCACACCTAGCCCACCCTCCTCTTTCACCTTCCCCCATTTTTCTCTTTATCTCTTTGTTTTCTTTAATCTTATCAGCTATATCCATAGCTCCTTGGCTACCATATTTGCTTATTCCATATATTGAATAATACTGTATATGGTTTTCAACATCTATGCCTTCAACCAGGGATTAGTCTGCTATTTTATGTAGTTTCTTTTATCACCTTAGTGTATGTTTTTATTTTTTAATTTTTTTTTGCTCTTGTCACTGTTGTAATGGAACGGTTGGTTACTTCCGACTGCGCTTGGGTACTTCCGTTAGACTACTGCATCCATGTCCGAACACCGACAACAGACACCACAGCAGACCATACAAGACTAGACAACACCAATCTTGAAGTAAACCAGGAAGTAGACTAGTTTATTTTAACACAGATACAAGATATATACACTCAGGGGACAATCCCCCTCCCTGCATAATGACACAGGGTGGGGCAATCTACATTTAGTAACAAGAGACATACCAACAGACAGTCCCATCAGGAGGGAGGGCTGCTGGAGACACCCCTCACCAAGCCAATACCCATAAACACATACACCCCATAATAGGTTGCTCCCAAGCCAGACACACACTAGAACAATGGGATGCAACCACATAACATCAATCAACAACCCCCCACCCCAATATTAGGACAGATCACCCTGTACCCCTAACAGGCACAGGGTGATTTACACATAAGAGGGATATGGGGAGCTGAGATAGGGGTCTCCCCACCTCTCCAAAGTGAGCTAGGTTCCATGGGCCCCCCACCCAAAGTGACTCCCATCACAACTGTAAACTATGAATCTTTATTTTATGCCTTTTTGGTATTTGATGGATGTTTACACAATACTGTATTCTGTGTATAATTTATCCTGGAAACCTAATAACATTTCTTTAAAAAGACAGGAAAAATCATTTGTACTGCAATTATCTGAGGTAAAATTGTACTGGATTCAACTTCTGTGTCTTATTGAAGAGTCAAGCTGCCTGTGGATGGTGCTAGGTCAGCAGGTGACCATACTGTCCATATGGACTGGGTCTAAGGTTGTATGACAACTCATGTATTATTCTTTTCACCAGTAGTTATGTAAACATGTGCTACTTTGTATTGCAACCGTATGCAGCATCTGTGTTTTTGCTGTTCATCTTATGTCAATGCAAGGCTGTGACCTAGCTCAGAGTGATCAACAGACACACTTTGTGGCTTATTCTGTCATTTACTTTTCTGAGTAGTTGTTCAACAAGAACATTCACTGCATGACCTAATACTGTTATAATGGCTAAATAAAGCACCTAGAAATGTTGTATATAAAGCACAGTTGTGAAATTGTGGCATGGAAACCAAAAAAAGTGTCTGCCTTCTAGCTAAGCAGACAGACAATTAAAACATGACACGCGGATATAGGTCCTCACCTTTTCCAGGTACAACAGAAGTGTACCCTTTTCTTCTGATCCCTTGTTAATCTCAAATTTGGTGATATATTTGTCCACACCTCTAGACAGCTGTGATTGAGAATAAAGTGCATAGTTAGTAAATACAAAAATTAGGTAAAACTTTTTCTTCTTCTTGGTCCAGGAAGCTCACCTTACTAAGGCTTTCAACGTCTGGAGAAAACCCAGTCATCATAGAAATGTCAATAATAGACATGGTGGCATCCCGGTCTTTCAAAAACCTGCAAAAAAGGTGGAAGTACTTGTTTTAAATAGGGGGGAAAAAGAAGGGTAAAGGAAAAGAAAGATACATTAATACATGGGAAAGCAATAGGAAAAGGAAAGAGGAGTAAGAGAAGGAAAGAAAAGAAAATGGAAAAAAGTAGGAAAAAAAAAGTGAATCAAAGGAAAGGGAATGAAAAAAAAATGAAAGAGAATGGAAAGAAAACAGGAATCAAAAGAGGAAGGAAACAAAAAAGAAAAGAGAGATGTTAGAAAAGGAAAGAGATGAGAAAGGGAAACAAAAGGAAGTTAAGGAAAGGAGAAGGAAGCAAAGAAAACAGAATAGAAAGAAAAGACAAATGAAAGTGGAAGGCAAGGGTAGGAAATAGATGAAAAAGGCAAGGAAAGATAAAGGAAAGAGATGACAAAAGAAAGCAAAGGAAAGGAAAAGGAGTTAAAAGTATTGAAACAAAGGAAAGAGAATGGAAAAAAGGTAACTGAAAGTGAAAGGAAAGGGAATGAAAAGGGAAAAGTAGGAAAAAGGAAAGGAAACAAAAAAAGAAAAAAAGGAAAGAAAGAGGTGACAAAGGAAAGAGGTGACAAAGGAAAGTAAGGGAAAGGGAAGAAAGGAGAAAGGAAGAAATAGGCAAACAAAGACAAAGTACAGAGCTGACAAAGGAAAGCATAGGAAAGGAAAGAGAAAGGCAGAAGGGAAAGGAAAGGGAAGAGAGAGAGAAATAAGGAAACAAAGGAAAGAGAAGGCAAATGAAAGTGTAAGGAAAGGGAAAGGAAAGAAAAGAAAAAAGAAAGAAAATACAAAGGAAAGAGGTGACAAAGGAAAGCATGGGAAAGGGAAGAAAGGGGAAAGGAAAAAAAAAAAGGGCAAGAAAAGACAAAGAACAGAGCTGACAAAGGAAAGCATAGGAAAGAGAAAGGAAGAAGGGAAAGGAAAGGGAAGAGAGAGGGAAATAAGGAAACAAAGGAAAGAGAAGGCAAATGAAAGTGAAGGCAAATTAAAGTGAAAGGAAAGGGAAGGGAAGGGAAGGGAAGGGAAAGGAAGCAAAAGAAAAAGGCAAGGAAAGACAAAGAAAATCCAATGAAATGGAATGGGAAAAAAAGGAAAGTAAATAGAGTAAAAAAGCAAGGAAGGACAAAGAAAATAAAGGGAAATGGAAATGGAAGAAAAGGGAAAGGAAAGAGAAAAAAAAAGACATGGAAAGACAAATGAAAATGGCAACAAAATAAAAGCAAAGGAAAGGGAAAAAAGACGAAGTGAAAGGAAAGAGAAAAGAAAGGAATGTAGAAGGAAGTAAAGGAAATGGAATGAAAAGAGAAGGCAAGTGAAAGGAAAGTGAAGAAAAAGGAAAGACAAACTAAAGAAGTGACAATGGAAAGCAAAAGAAAGGAAAGCAAAGAGAAATGGTAGGGAGAAAAGAGGAAAGCAAAAAGGAAGAGATGGAAACAGAAAAAAAAAATAGGAAGGAGAAAGAAAAGAAGGGGAAATGAAAGGAAACACAAGGGAAGTAAAGCAAAGAGAATTGAAAGGGGATAAAAAGGAAACCATATGGTAATAAAAGGAGAGGAAAGGGAAAAAACATGAAAGGAAAGGAAAATATAGAAAAGGAAAAAAATGAGAACGCAAAAAAGAAAGTAAAGAAATAAAATGGAAAAACTAAGGAAAAGGAACTGTATAGACTTTGCAAAGTCACAATTCTGCAGACTTTAACGGTGGCTTAAAAACAGGAGCCATAGAAACAGGGGCGGAGTGACCATTTGGAAACTCGGGCACTGCCCGAGGGCTCGTGGTCAGTAGGGGGCCCCATGAGATGCCCCTGCTACCTTTTTCATAGGCTTTTTTTGAGTTTGGGCAAGGACACAGGGGCCCCATGATCTCCTATTCCCCGGGGGACCCATGAGTTGTCAGTCCGCTCCTGCATAGAAATTTCAGCCATAAGTAGGCTTGTGACCCTGTGGATCTTATAGTTTTCCCTGAGCCCCTAAAGCAAAACTAATAATATAATTCCCCTTCAGCCCAGCTATGCAATCTATTTTACATTAAATATTACAAATCCACTGAATACCAGAAATAAGGCTGACAGTGGGAGGAACTGCACTGTAAGCCAGTTTTCTATCTTGCAGAATGCAGAGAGCAGGCTCCATCCTCCTTCTTCCCAAATCACACTGCTCTGTATGGAAACAGTGGGCACTATATAGTATCTTTCCCCACAGCATGCCATCAGTTAGAAAAAATTAGAAAAAAGAAAGTACCCGCCCCCCACAAAATCAAAACTGACGAGTAGCAAAGCAGGAAAACTGTTATAACAAAAATCTATGAAAACCAAGATTCCCATGCAAGTGCAGGCCTCCTAAGGCACCTTAACCACTTCATGTCCGGACACTTTTACCTCCTTCCTGTCCAGGCCAATTTTCTGCTTTCAGTGCTATCACACTTTGAATGACAATTGCGCGGTCATGCATCACTGTACCCATATGAAATTTTTATCATTTTTTTGAGACAGATAAAACTTTATTTTGGTGGTATTTATTCACCACTGGGATTTTTATTTTTTTTTTGCTATATAAAAGAAAAAGTCAAAAAAGTTTGAAAAAAAGTGTTTTTCTTATAAAATTTTGCAAATAAATAATCTTTCTTCATAAATCTTGGCCAAAATGTATTCAGTTATCTTTTTAGTAAAAAAAAAAATAACCCAAATTAGTTTATAACCAAAAATTATAATTTTTCCCAAAATTTTTTTTACATTTTTATTTTATTTTTTTATATTATTATTTATGGTTTTTTTTTAAGATACTGTCACCCTAGCAGTACAGTGTCACCATAGTGACACTGTACTACTTGTGGGGGGTGATGAAGATTTTTTTTTTTTTTTTTTTTACACTGATTGCTTTTACACCCATAAAGGCTGTAAAAGCAATCATTTCTCCTTCTCTGTGCAATACTGTGTGAGCTGTGATTGGTCACAGTTTGTCACATGGTACAAGGCTGTTGTGAATAGCGTTGTACAGGGGCGGACTGACAACTCATGGGGCCCCTGGGCGATAGGGGATTATGGGGCCCCTGTCTCCTTGCCCAAACTCAAAAAAGCCTATAAAAAAGGTACCAGGGTCATCTGATGGGGCCCCCTACTGACCCTGGGCCCTCGGGCAGTGCCCGAGTTTCCAAATGGTCAGTCCGCCCCTGGCCTTGTACCATGTGACCTCTGTGATCATTCACAGATTTCACACGTAGTAAGCAATGATGTCAGAAGTGACACCTATTCATGTGATCACTGATTGGCCAATCAGTGATCACATGATTGGGACCTCACACAGAGGTCCCAGGGAGTGCGCACAATCCAAAATGGCGGGCGCCTTTTATGAATGGCAACCCACCCCTGCACTGCCACCGTCTGGCCGTTTATATACAGCGGCTAGACAGGCAGTGGTTAAGATGTTCATTTTTATCCCCCCCCCCCCGCCTCAGCAGCCCTGAGCTGTTATGCAAGTGATGATTTTCTGTACATCATTTCAGCTGCTTGTTCTTTTAAAAGAATCCTGCTGGATTTTTGAATAGCATCGTGTAATAAGAATATTCATACCTTGCACAGACCTCCAGTGAAATAGTTGAAATAGCCCCGTCTGGTCTCCGAACTGTAAAAAAAATATATTATTATCATTTATATTGCACCAACAGTTTACACAGAGCTTTACAACATGAGGGCAGACAGTACAATTACTCTACAATTTAAGACAGGAGGGATCAGATATCAAAAACAGATATCCGCATCCCCCCCAAAAGGTTCCAAATATGGCAGTGGAGAGGGGGGGCAAAAAAGTGGAGCTTCCACTTTTGAGTGGAACTCTGCTTTAACCACCTCCCGTCTGGCCCATGTATATAAATGACTGGACAGTGGCAGTGCAGGGTCAGGTGGCCATTTATAAATGGCCTCCCCGCGCCCTGCTTGTGCGCGCTCCCTGGGAGCGTGCAGCACCGCGATCCGGTGCCCGCTGTTCTTATCTCTAGGCTAACCTTAAGCTTGTGTTTCTTTCTGCTTTTTTTTTTTCTCAATCCCCACATATCTTCTAACATTCTGCTAAAACTTTGTAACAGTACTGCTTGGACCTTGAAGAAGGGGACACTCCCCGAAAGCTTGTCCTCAAAATTGTATGTTAGTGCAAATACAAAAAGTATCACGGACAGTACTCAATTGTTTCTGTATACAGGAAAAAAAAACGGTTTTTCAGTCTTCCATCTTAGCTGATATGTGTGACATATGCATACAGCCAAGAACACAAAAGTAATTGTGCATGCACAAGGTTTTACATCACTTCATCATAGTTACATAGTTAGTCTGGCTGAAAAAAGACAAAAGTCCATCCAGTCAGGGGCGGACTGACAACTCATGGGGCCCTCGGGCAATAGGGGATCATGGGGCCCCTGTGTCCTTGCCCAAACTCAAAAAAGCCTATGAAAAAGGTACCAGGGGCATCTCATGGGGCCCCCTACTGACCCAGGGCCCTCGGGCAGTGCCCGAGTTTCCAAATGGTCAGTCTGCCCCTGCATCCAGTTCAACCATAGAAAAAAAAAAATCATCTTCTGCCCAGAATAATAGTGCAGGACGTAGATGAAGACTTTGAATAATGCCTGAACTAAGATAGCGCTGGCCCCTGGGTTGAAAGCAGCAACCCCAAATATCATGTCAAAGCCCTGTAAAAAGTATATTAAATTAGTTTTAGAGGGGAGAGATATTCCACTGAACTGAAAAAATCATAGAGCCCTTCTAAAACCCTTTCTAGACCTAGCTCTTAGCTCTGTTCAGATCTGTGATAGCACATACACCACAGCATAACAAAACCAAGGCTGTAAAGGTCACCAACGGCCACACTTACCATTTTCTTCCTCTTTAACCTTGACTGTCAAATCAAAGTTTTTGCATTGTCGTTCTTTCTCTGTCACAATGGCATGATACACTGACATGACCTGAGGGAAACACACATTTAGTTCACATGGTTTTGTATAAGGTTTTGGTAGGACCATACAGTCATAGTAACGTACGTAGAGTCAGTTCTCCTTTGCACTGGTTAGTCTTGCTGAAATATGACAATAATGGTTTGTGGAAATTGTGCTGAAGCATCTGTTCATTTAGAGGGACACTATGATCCAAAAATATTGGATTTAAAAAAAAAGAAAACATATTTACACTTGTTTTGTATAAGCCCTTCTGGATCGCCTTGGAACCTAGGCCCATGCTGTATACAGGGACTCTCCAAATTGAGATCAGGACCCTCCAACTCTTGGCACTAATCCCTGCCCCCTGGCAATGACCTGGCAAATGCAGGACCAGGCAGATGAACTCAAAATTGCCTTAGAAAAATGAGGACGTGGGGCACTAACTCTGCTGTAGGTAAGTAGCTCAAACACGTGTAGGAGTTTCTCATCAGAAGTCAGGCCTCCAGTATATCATGACCAACAGCTGGGTCCTTGGAGTAGAATCTTCAGATCATTAAAACAAAACTCCACCAGAAAAGTGAAGTTCCACCTCCCCTCCTCTATCACTTTTGGATTTTTTTTTTCTGGGAGCGGATACCTATTTCTGTCAGGTACCCACTACAACTTCCGCTCTGCTCGTGTAGGTGAGCAGAGAGGATGTTTGGCCCCCTAGCCCCTACCCACAATCGTTTGGGACACGTCACACATTCCAGGAGGCTGTGGTTCCATTCAGAAAACTCAACGTGACTTGCACATATGCGTTGGGGAGTCAGCTGTGAGCCACCAGAATACCACAGCTAGCTTCACACATGATGGCAAGAAGGGGGCACTGGGGACCTGAAGACCAGCGATGAACTGGCCCAGGTGGGGACAGCACTGGATCCCTGGATTGGTAAGTGTATGTTTATTAACCCCTTGGCGCTGGCGCCTCCTGGCCTTTTAAGGGTTCCAGAAGCCGGAAGGCGGGGCAGGGATTTAGGATCATGTGACCGCCGTGATTCGCTGTCATGGCGGTCACATGATCGGGAAAGGTCCTGATCGAAAGAGGAGATCGGTACCTTTCCGTGAGTCCTGAGCGTGTGTGCTTGGAGCGCGCAAGATGCACGTTCTCGGCACATATGTGTTTTTTTATTAGAATGCAAATGTGCATCCGCTCGGCGTCTAGGCCAAGACGCCGGGAGGCTGCACATTTGCGTTCGGCCGGCGGCAAGAGGTTAAAAGTCAGCGACTACAGTATTTGTAGCCACTGACTTTTAATTTTTGTACAAATGCCCAAAGCTCTTTTTTTAAGGAAGAAAGTGCCATATGGCTTTTATTGCCCAATTAAAGTTTTTTTTAGAAACTGCCAATGTGTTTCGGAAACTGTTTAGAAACATAGAGTGACGGCAGAAAAAAAAAAACAAGTAGTCCGTTGAGTATGCCCCATTTTGTTTTGAACTTATTTATAGTATAGTATAGTGATAAGAACAATATCTCCATATACACGGCTTCTTCATAATTTAGATTTCAGTACTGGAAAATTAAAGTGGTATGACCTTACCGTCAGTGTTCCTTGTCCTTTGCCTTTTGCGGTCACCTCAAACTTTTTGTTTAGTCGGGTCTGCAATCAAATTTAATTTGTATGAAAATTAAAAAGAAATAGTCATATGCAAAGCAAGATTACAGACTGAAACAAAGTTAATCACTTCCACTTAAATTCATGTTGTGATTGCCAGTAGTCAGCTGTGAAGAAATCTACTGCCTGACTCCAGACGTTGTCTCCCAGCTCCTGAGAGTGCATAACAGTATCAACTAACCCTTTGTAAAAGTGACACTAAATTACATCCTTATTTGCCAAAAATAATCCATACAAATCCACTAGTCAATGGCCTTGTTCTATTTTTTCCTGAAATTGTTTCTGTTTTTCTGCTTCCTTTACCCATCCTCTTGTGTTCCCAAATCTTCTTCTCTTCATTTTTCTTTTTTTGGAATGAGCAGTGCACATTAGTTGTGGTCATGTACACTGCTCAATGCACACTACAAACACCATAATCCATCTCAGGAGCAGGCAAGAAAGGGTGGCTACATTCTTACATAGAGTGGAACAATGGAGAATGAATGTAGCAACTTTCTAACAGCAAGTCAGATCACAGCAGCAAAAAAATAAATAAATATTGGAGGAGGTTTCCAAAACCTACGCTATATTGTGCCCCACTCCATGTCAGAGACCTTCCCAGCCATTGATCTTTATATCCCGAAGAAAGAATGTCCACTCATAGAGTTGCTGCACCTTTCTGATGGTACTCAGGAAATGGCATAACAGTCACATCATATCGACAAACATGCCGGAGTCACTTGACAATACACAGTCAATCACATTTAGTGGACGATCCTTAGCAGCACTTTAAGCATCCTTCTCCCTCTAACAGTTTCTCCTACACCCGGGGTCATTACTACTCACAAGAATGGGATCTCTGTAGTCATCTCCTCCATAGGTACACCCAGTACCCTCCAGGGAAATAGCCTCACTCAGGAAACTGTTGGCTTGGCCTAAAAGGCCTTTTGCAACTCACACTAGCCTCCACCTCCATAAGGGTCAGGAATTCTACAGCCGGCTCTGAGTGCAGATCTACTCCTCCGTGAACTCAAACCCTGTCCAGAGCCTCCATGTGCTGGTTATATTTGTGCTGGTATGGGATGTTTGGCTCCTATGCCCCAAATGCACTAGTGCTCATCCTAACCTGGCTTAACTCTGGACCTGGCTCACCCTTGACATCATTGCAGGAGGGTTCTAACTAAAAGGGGCTTAGTACCTGATGACACTGTCTGCTGCAACCAGACCCTATTCCAGCGCAGAGTCACCTAGTGTCAGACTGGTTAACTGTACCTGCCTACATATGCAGGTGGGTATCAAGCGAAATCAAACAAGCAGGGTCAACAGCAAAGTCAATCTGAGATGGCTTAAGAAGAAAGTTGAAAACACCAGCTAGAAAATGATAAAAGGAACCATCAGGATCCAGTGTTACTTTAATGGAGATGTAGCCAATCACAATGTAAACATGCATCTACACAACTTATGGTATAAATAGGCTACAGTCACAGGAGTAATAGAAAGTAATCAGAGGAAGAAGGAGGAGGTCCAGAACCAGCAGGGAAGCCACAGAGGCAGCAGAGTTACTCTGGCCATACACCAGTAGAATATTGTTCGTAATTCTTCTTTTTATGAATGTTTGTTAGATTTTTTTATCGTCAGTAGGTTTAAATCAACCACAATGAAAGGAAAGTTGAAGGAGCAGGATGGAAAATTTTTCTCAAATGCGGTTTATGTTTGGTAAAGTCCATTCATTCCAAAATCAAATGTTACAAACAAACAAAGTTTTGAAGTATTATGGAATGACATTTGTGAAGTTATTAAATGTAGTGAGAATTTTCATATAACGGTTCTTACAAACGTCCATTCAAAAATCAACCAGTGTATGGCCAGTTTTAAACCCAGGCAACCTTACAGAAAGATAAGTTGCCTAAAGTTTCAGGACCAACAACTGAACTATTTCCGACTGCCTGATGGACAACCAGTTTATGGACAACTGGAAGACACATGACCAGGGGCGGACTGACAACTCATGGGGCCCCCGGGCAATAGGGGTTCATGGGGCCCCTGTGTCCTTGCCCAAACTCAAAAAAGCCTATGAAAAAGGTACCAGGGGCATCTCATGGGCCCCCAACTGACCCAAGGTCCTCGGGCAGTGCCCGAGTTTCCAAATGGTCAGTCCGCCCCTGCACCTGACTGAAACAGTGAGGATGTTCCTTACAGGTTGCTCATCTCTAGTATTGCCTTATATTTTAAGCAAAATGGTTTGGTCTATTGAAAACAGCTGTCCAGTCTAGTGTTGTGAACACTGTAACTCTTACCTCAGCAGAGCGCGCAAGCATTGCGTTATCAATATTAATGCGGTACATTAAGGGTTGTTGTCTTTCAGGAAGATGTATGGACACATCCATGTCTAAAATGACGGCATTTGGCAATTCTATCTGGTACTGGGCCAAAGCTTGGAACATAACGATGGTGGCCTAAAAGACATTGAAGAAAATCAAAGTTTAGAAAACAGCAATTGCAATCAACATATGCTGGATTCGCAGTGATTGACACACAGGGATGGTTACCACCAGAAAGTGTTGGAGTTTTCTTTGGAGAAAAGGATCTGACATCCAGCTACAGAAGGGACAATGAAAGTTGTGGGTCTATAGTCTATATGCAGGCACCATCAAGTAGCTGCACTTTTCACTTGATAGACTCTTTATTTTTTTTGTGTAGTGTACCTGTTTCCCAAGCTATTGTACTTCCCACCAATTTAATGGAACCATACTTAAAAATACAATAGCAAATAATCTGAAGTGGCAGACAGGATACATTAAAGTGCATCTCTTTTTATAGAGTAGGGAATGGTTAAAACTTCTGCTATTTTGTTTTCCTTTTCTGGGACACAAACAGCAAAAAGGAAGAGGAACCCTTGCTCTCTGTATGGAAGCAGTGGTCCCTCTGCAGTGGTCCAACACTCCCACTCCACAGCCTGAGCTGGAGATCTCCAATCAGCAGGGTGAATGAGGTTGATTACAGATCTCTAGTTCTGACTCGGCTGAGTGAGTGTTGGACTTCTGCAAAGAGAGCACTGCTTCCACTCAGAGAGTAAGTGTCTTCCTCTACAAAATGATGGTAGGGGACAAAGAACTATTCAGACTGTGGCTGATTTCTAAAGAAAATGAACTGTAAGACTTAGCACATCTTTTGGTCTGATGAACCTTGAGTGCATATATACGTATATGATTTAGGCTGAAGGATGAGTTGGGCTTTAACTACTTTGTAAGAGCAAAAGAACCATTTATGCAGCTTACTTGTGTAGATCCATACACCGCTCCATAGTATCTTTGTTTGTAGTCAACCAGCGTACAAGATCTCCTGTGCGGTCATAGTCTTTCATTTGCAGTAGAGCAAGCAGAGCGTAAGATGTACCCTCCAGAGTAATGAATCGAGATCCTGGTTCTTCCCAATAGCTGTTATCTTTGAAGAAAAGCAGCCAGCAGAATAAATGGTGAGCATGGAATTGCAGTCATCTAGTTCAGGTCCTACACAATTACCATTTCTGGAGGGAGCCTACATGTGTTGTGTACATTTTAAAAAACTGATAACATTTCACACCTTAAAAGGAACCTGTCATGAGAGGCATAGGGGTTGATTTACTAAAACTAAAGAGTGCAAGATCAGGTGCAGCTCTGCATAAACACCAATCAGCTTCCATGTTTTATTGGCAAAGCTTAGCTGAACAAGCTGAAGTTAGAAGCTGATTGGCTACCATGCACAGCTACACCAGATTTTCACTCTCCAGTTTAAGTAAATTTATTTATTTCAGGTACTTATATAGCACTGTCAATTTTACACAGTGCTTTCCATATATACTGTACATTCACATCAGTCCCTAACCCTCAAGGGGTGTACAATCTAAGGTCTCTAACTCACATTCATACAGACACACACTAGGGACAATTTAGACAGGAGCCAATTAACCTACCAGCATGTCTTTGGAGTGTGGGAGGAAACCCACACAAACACAGGGAGAACATGCAACTCCAGGCAGGTGGTGCCATGGTTGGGATTCAAACCAGCAACCCTAGTAATGGTGAGCATGGAATGGCAGGTGGAAGTGCTAACCATTTAGCCACTGTAAATCAACACAGTCTACCATTGCAGACTTTGTCTTTTGGAAATACTGATTGCTTGGCTGTCATGCTGCTCTCTTACTTAAACTGACATGAAATAAGCATCTGGTCTTTGACTCCACTCCCACATTCCTGATTTACATGTTGTTCAATGATTTATAAAATTCTGAAGCCACACTCAGAATAACAGTTTTTTGATGGTCAGCAGCCCCCAGATTACTCTCACATCAGGTTTACATAAAATGGATTTCCAAGGAAAATCCCAGTCTCTATATCAGTGATTGTCAATTTACAAGGCATAGGGGGCCTCAACCACAGCTCTTGACATTATCAAAGGGCTGTAGATAATGTTTAGTATATGTAATGGTAGAGAGGACAATCAGAGATTGCAGAGATTCTAGGTCGTCACAAACTGCTAACATATTACAGACTAGTTTGAACACTGCAGAAAGCAATGAAGGACCTAGGACATGTTGCATGATGCTAGTGGAGATCACTATATTGGGTACCATTTTGGGAAGAATCACTCTTTCAAAAATTTATTGAAGACAGGTAAACTAATCTTGCACTGATATACAGCCAATCTATAGTATATGTAATGATGCACAGTAATATAACCTGAGTGTTTAACCAGAGGTGTTGGCATCGAATGGCTTTAGTTAGCGGGGTTAATGCCCCTTCATGGAATCCGTACATGATAATTCTGCAGCATAAAACTGCTCCATACCTCAGAACCAATCAGCAGAGTGTAAGAAATGGAAAAGAAGGAACTGTCTGACAAAGACTAGCCGGACCACTGACAACGTACTCTTTACAAAGACGCTTTAGAAGATAGGACCCCAATCACATCAATTTTCTTTTGTATATACACTATATTGCCAAAAGTATTCGGACACCACTTCAAATCATTGGATTCAGGTGTTCCAATCACCTCCATGGCCACATGTATAAAATCAAGCCTCTAGGCATGCAAACTGCTTCTACAAACATTTGTGAAAGAATGGATCGCTCTCAGGAGCTCAGTGAATTCAAGCGTGGTCCCATGATAGGTTGTCACCTGTGCAATAAGTCCATCCGTGACATTTCTTTGCTATTAAATATTTCACAATCAATTGTTCGTGGGATTATAACAAAGTGGAAGCAACTGGGAACAACAGCAACAGTCATGCAAAATGACAGAGTGGGGTCAGTGCATGCTGAATAACTGGACGCAGAAGTCGCCAACTGTCTGCAGAGTCATTAGCTAAAGACCTCCAAACTTTGTGTGGCCTTCAGATTAGCACAACAACAATGCATAGAGACCTTCATGGAATGGGTTTCCATGGCCGAGCAGCAGCTGCATCCAAGCCTTACATCACCAAATGCAATGCAAAGGTTCGCATGCATTGGTATAAAGCACGCCACCACTGGACTCTAGAGCAGTGGAGACATGTTTCCTGGAGTGACAAATCATGCTTCTCTGTCTGGCAATCCGATATACATGTCTGGGTTTGGCTACTGCCAGGAGAAAGGTACTTGCCTGCCTTCATTGTGCCAAGTGTAAAGTTTGGTGGAGGGGGGATTATGGTGGGGTTGGGCTTGGCCCATTAGTTCCAGTGAAGGGGACCCTTAAGGCATCAGCATACCAAGACATTTTGGACAATTTCATGCTCCCAACAATGTGGGAACAGTTTGGGGATGGCCCCTTCCTGTCCCAAGATGACTGCGCACCAGTGCACAAAGCAAAGTCCATAAAGACATGGATGAGGAACTTGACTGGCCTACACAGTCTTGACCTCAAGCCCATAGAACACCTTTGGGATGAATTAGAGCGGAAACTGTGAGCCAGGCCTTCTCGTCCGACATCAGTGCCTGACCTCACAAATGCACTTCTGGAAGAATGGTCAAACATTCCCAAAGACACCCTCCTAAACCTTGTGGACGGCCTTCCCAGAAGAGTTGAAGCTGTTATAGCTGCAAAGGGCGGGGCCAACTCAATACACTATGGACTGCCATTAAAGTTCATGTGTGTGTAAAGGCAGGCGTCCCAATACTTTTGGCAATATAGTGTATGTGACTTAATAAACTGTATACAGTATATGAAAGTAAAATACCACACCGATCACACACAGAGCAGACCAAAGAGGAAACCCCTCAAGGTAGATTATGGGCATCCCCTTAAAGTGATTGTAAACCTCTGAAATAAAAAATGAACAAAACATATCCTTCTATAGTGTGTACTAGCCTCAATCCAAAGCACCCAGTGTGATTTCTGTCTGCATTCTCTGAAAACTTATTGTAGGGGTTTCAATCTTAACATAAGAGAGACTTTTTTGCTTAACCCCTTCACGCCGGCCGCACACAAATGTGCGGCCTCCTGGCGTCTGGGCCTAGACGCCGAGCGGCCGCACATTTGCGTTCATGTAACAAAAAACATATGTGCTGAGAGCGCGCGCCCTGCGCGCTCCCAGCACACTTGTGCGGTACTCACGGAAAGGTCCCGGTCCGCTCTTTCGATCGGGACCTTTCCCAATCATGTGACCGCCGTGATGACGCGTCACAGCGGTCACATGATCCCTAAACCACGCCCCACCCACCCCGCCTCCTGGCATCTGAAACTCTTAAAGGGCCGGGAGGCGCCAGCGGGAAGGGGTTAAACTATCACTGCCATTTTGTTAAAGCCTACATTGTTCTAACCTAAAGACTGACGCGTCCTTTTTTATCTTTTCATGGAGATCTGCTATACAGTTGAAATAATAGTTTAGATGACCTTCATTTTATGTTCTTGTAATGTCGTTATCTGGTCATATGTTAGTAGTTCATAACTACTATTTAATAAGAACATCCTCCTAATCTGGCCTTCAACTGGTCATCTCTACCCGTCAATCATCACAGCTGGAAGGCAACAGGTGCTTTGAACTTGTGTTATATAAGTACATCTCATTGGCTTTGTAATGTGCTAGGTAATATCTTCCTATGTCTTTGGGACCTAATCAGTGTATAAAAGCAGTGTATAGCTGCCATAGAATTAGAACGATAATCTGAATTCATAGTTCTCCCACATGTGGTAAATAAACCTTTGCTTTGCATAGCAAATAGCCTTCATTCTTTTATAAAGGGGTGAGTCCAGCCTGGACACCTGCTGTCCGCATGAGTTAATTCTGACAGATTATGCCGACACAGAAGTGATTGACAGCATAGGTTGTGCATGTTTCCCTATGATACTGTATAGAGGGGGTTTTTCCCTTCCCTCCACTCAGGTCTCAGATTACATTCAGCTCTCTGCTTTATGCTGTGCAGTGTGTGATGTCAGGTCCCTGCCCCCTGCCTTCTGGAGCTCAGAAATACTGTGTAAAATGTGTGCTTAGGAGGATTTGTTTCAGCTCTGTGTATTACCTGAAGCTAGTCACTTCAGTGATTATATTTAAAGTGGAGTTGCACTCAACCTATCAAAAAATAAAAGTCAGCAGCTACAAAAACTATAGCTGCTGACTTTTTAAAAAACAGCCACTTACCTGTCCCTCGGTCCCGTGGTGTGTCCCCCGCAGCTCGTTTTGCCAGCCGTCCTGTATTCCAGGAGGCCGGCATCTTGATAGTGGGCACCCGGCTGTGATAGCTTGCGGCTTCACAGCCGGGTACCCACTGCACATGTGCGAGTAGCGCTGCACTTCGTGAATGGTCCTGTAGTCTTCTGGGACCTGTCATATGTCCCAAAAGACTACAGAAAGGGAGGACACCTTCCGCTTCCGATCGCCTAGGTGATCGGACTGGAAGTGGGAGCGGGTACCTGTCAAAATGGCTCCCCCCCGCTCCCCAAAGGTGCCAATCCTTAATGGACAGCAGGGGAGCAGTCCTTAAAGCGGAACTTCCCCTTTTGGGCGGAGCTCCACTTTAAGGATTTACAATCACTTCAAGGACTCTCTTACTCATTTTTTTGCATATCCATTACCTGGTCACAGAGGGCTTGCTGCTTGAATGATTTTTGTGTAGATGTAAAATCTCACTGTGTATGTACAAGATTATGTGACATCCTATATGTCTCCGTACCTTTTGCCACCGACATCAATTTTTCAGAATTTTTGATGGATCCAGCCTTTGCAAGGGCGTATGAGGCAATTGCAACTGAGTATGGTTTTTCCAGATTTGGATACAGGCCCGTCAGGAAACTAACTGCCTTTTCAATACTAAGCTCTAAGTTCTATTGAAAAGGAAAAAAAAAATAAAGGGTATGAATAGGGTGCAATGGTTCTTGAACTCATGAGGTTACTTGCCTCTCGTAACGGTTATTCCTCCCATAATTTCTACTGTGTGTTCACATTCCATCCCATACCAATTAAAGAAGCAGGTGTATTGTTATGCTGTGTGGATTTTACGAATGCACCTTATGCTATAGATTTGTTTCTACCCAATACTGTATTTATTATGGTTACACCTAAAAAATGTTTAAATATATATATTTTTGGTAAATATGAAATGGAGATTTTGCATTCTCATTCTTGGCCAACAAGTGAATCATTGGGGGTCACAGATTTTGCTGTCTATCCTTATCTGCTTTGCTTAGAAGTTTACAGAGCTCAAAAGCTCAAACTGGCATTTACAAGCACAAGTGAATGAGTTACCTCCCAAGTGCAGTCCCAATGGATACTTGGGGAGGCTGTGCCTAGATAGTAATACAAATACAAGGATAAAAGCTGGAGACCCTTCAAAAACAGGTCAGCAGTGTCAGACCCCATGTTTTGACCTCAAAGGTTTCCTTCAAAAGGTACAGGTGCCATGTGATCCTGTCTCCAGAACCTAGAGCAGCAATGGGCAAACTACGGCCCGCAGGCCGTATACGGCCCGGCGGACCTTTTAATCTGGCCCGCGGAGCGTGATACTGTCAGGATGGCTGTCAGGATGTGTGTAGGTGGGGCAGCGTGACGAACGTGAGGGGAGCTAGGCTCCTCTCACAGTCCACCCTGAAGACTGGAACGGCGCGGGAACACAGCGAGAGGAACGGCGGAGCAAAGGTAAGTGAATTGACACAGGGGGGACTTGGGGACTTAATATGGGGGATGAATTAATATGGGGAATGAGTTACTATAGGGGGGATGAATTACTATAGGGGGGATGAATTACTATATGGGGGATGAATTACTATGGGGGATGAATTACTATGGGGGATGAATTACTATATGGGGGATTAATTACTATGGGGGATGAATTACTATGGGGGATGAATTACTATATGGGGGATTAATTACTATGGGGGATTAATTACTATGGGGGATTAATTACTATATGAATTACTATATGGAGGATGAATTACTATGGGGGATGAATTACTATATGGGGGATGAATTACTATGGGGGATGAATTACTATGTTCGCACATCGCTGAGAAAAGTCGTAGAATCAATTTCAGTGTCTGATGAGGAATTTCCCCCACGAATCATTATCACTCAATTCTGCAAGTGGTTCTGATTTACTATCACTGTTCTCTAGCCGGTCTAAAACCGATTTTGACATAAAGGGACGCTTTTTGGATGCCATGGACGTTTCTCAGTTTCCAGGCAGAAAGAACAGTAAAAATGCAGGCAGGGCGCAGGACAAAGCACTCGGGACAAAATGTATGTGAAATGCATTGAAACAGCAATGTTTTACTATGTAATAATCATTTTTAAAAAAATTAAATTTTTTAAAAATTTCAAATTTGCTGCCGGTTCTGGCGCCCGTGCGTCCTGATGTCGCAGGGACTGGAAAAAGGAAGCCGGGTGCCGACATTGGCTGGAGGAGATGGCCGGGGATGCTGCAGGAGACGCATCGCAGGAGCGAAGGACAAGGTAAGTGCTGCAGTGAATCCCTGAGCAACGCCGCATGGTAAGCCCGAGTGTAGCTCGGGGTCACCGCTTGTGGTACTGAAACTTTACCCCGAGCTACACTTGGGAATACCGCCAGGGGGGTTAAAATAACCTTTCCTGATGCTGGATTGTCAGCTATGAGCTAAGCAGTGGTGTCAGTTGTATGGCTAGTTTACTTACATTTACATGTGCATTACAGGCCTCTTCACTCTCCAACATTGCGATCAGGACAAAGGCTGTGAGAGCAACATCTGGTTCTTTGGATCCTTTAAATCCACCCTATGAGAGAAAAGAGAAGAAGAATATATGAAAAGTAATGCGTGAGCCTTGCATTTTTCACTGGCAGGTAATGAAGAACACAAATCTCATTGTAGGATCTTCTCCAATATGTAATGTTGAATGATGGATTGGGTAAAATACCAGTTCATGATACTTCTTCCAAGCAATAAAGAACACTGCTTCCTTGATTAGGCCAGGATTAGGTCAGACTTTAACCTTCAAGTGTATGTCAAGCCAAAATAAAAATAAAATTTGACTGGACTAATTCTTTCATTAAGTGTTAAGTGTTCTTGCATGGCGACCACTTACTCTTATCTCACATATATATTCTTATTATTATAGCCAAATGTACCACCCTAACTCCTCCCACAGTTTTTACACTACATAGACAGTAATATACCGAAATGTGCGGATTGTTCCCGATTGGTGTGCTGTTACTTTGTGGAATGTTTCGCCGAATGGTTCACGAAATATCAGCGTTTTTGTGGTGAGATTTTCCCGTAGGAATGAATGGCAGAATGTTCAAAACTAGAGTGGGAGCTGACAAAAGCTAGAGTGTGAGCTGAAAAATCAGAACATGATTTCTAAACTGCCATCACTCCCTCATTTTCAAGTCCGCCTACACAAATCTTATATCACAACGTTCAGCTATCCCTGCTGCCACTAAAAATGTCCACAGCTAAGCCATAGTCCTGATAGTTTTTACAATATGACCATTTGTTTGCAACTCATGCCGCCCATTGACCTTTTCACAGTTACTCAAGCCACTCCACCCAGTTACTCCTTCCACTCCAGTTGTAGACTACTGGTGGAGGCAAGAACACTTCACACAATTTCCCCAGAAATTGTAGCTTTTTGGGTTGATGATGTTATTTCACTACTCATCCAATGCGCTTCTCCGAGTGTCAAAAACATACCCTGCCATTTTTAGCCAAACTGGCAACCCAGTCACCTTAATCCAATCACCGTGGAATGTGTCAAAGCATACATACATTATCCAATCCCCATGGCCCCACAAACTCTGGGATAGTTTATTGTTAGGGATGGGCTGAACACCCCCCTGTTCATTTCGCGGTCGAACATGCAAACTTATAGAATGTTCCATCGCAAACTCCGAACACAAACAATTTACTGAGCGGTATCTTACCGCTCAGTTACTAAAATATTGCATGAGTTATATTGTGAAGTCATGCGGTATTTTAGTAGTGAAACATTCATTATTCTTTCAGCTGTCAGTGGGGTTCCCCGCTGACAGCTGAATGTATAAAGAATTGTTGGCATTGCCGACAATTACATTTTTTTTTTTTTAAAAACCACGTGGGGTCCCCATTCCCATCCATACCAAGCACTTCGGGTCTGGTGTGGATTTTTAGGGGAACCCCCACACCAAAATTTAGAAAAAAATGGTGTGGGGGTCCCCCCAAAATCCATACCAGACCCTTATCTAAGCATGCAGCCCGCTAGGTCAGGAAAGGGTGGGAAACAGTAAGCGCCCCCCCTACTGAGCCATACCAGGCCACATGCCCTCAACTTGGGGGGGGGGTGCTTTGGGGCTGGGGGCTCCCCCCAAAGCACCTTGTCCCCATGTTGATGGGGACAAAGGCCTCTTCATACAACCCTGGGCTGTGGTTGTGTGGGGTCTGAGGGCAGGGGACTTATTGGAATCTGGAAGCCCCCTGTAACAAGGAAGCCCCTAGATCATGCCCCCCCCCCCACATGTGAATGAGTATGCGGTGCATGGTACCACTACCCATTCACAAAAAAAGTGTAGTATAAAAAAAAACAGGAGACAGTCTATGACTTAAAAAAATGTCCCCCCGAAGCAGATCCAACATCAAACAGGATACCCGCCGCTACCCAAAAAAGAAAAAAAAACCTTGCTCTGCTTGTGATGCTGGCTCCTGCTGTCTGACAGCTGCGCCCCGATGACAGTTCTTAAATACTGTCATGACGTCACAAGAGGGCGGGGTTCACCCCACCCGCCTTGTGACATCATCATATGCTGTGATTGGCCAAAGCATTGCACCTGACCTGTGGTACTATATATATATATATATATATATATATATATATATTGCTCAAAGAAATTAAAGGAACATTTAAAACATTTAATAAGAGTATAGCATCAAGTCAGTGTTAAACTCCTGGCTGGGATATTGATCTGATCAGGTAAGTAGCAGAGGGGGTTGTTAATCAGTTTCAGCTGCTTTAGTTAATGGAATTAACAACAGGTGCACTAGATGGGCAATATTGAGACGACCCCCAAAACAGAAATTGTTTTACAGTTGGAGGCCACTGACATTTTTTTCCCCACTCATCTTTTCTGACTTTTTCCATTTGCATTTGGCTAGGGTCAGTGTCACTACTGGTAGCATGAGGTGACACCTGGACCCTACAGAGGTTGCACAGGCAGTCCAGTTCCTCCAGGATGGCACATCAATATGTACCATTGCCAGAAGGTTTGCTGTGTCTCCCAGTACAGTCTCAAGAGCATGCAGGAGATTCCCGGACACAGGCAGTTACTCTAGGGGAGATGGACAGGGCTGTAGAAGGTCCTTAACCCGTCAGCAGGACCGGTATCTGCTCCTTTGTGCAAGGAGGAACAGGATGAGCACTGCCAGAGCCCTACAAAATAACCTCCAGCAGGCCGGGTGAATGTCTCTGACCAAACAATCTGAAACAGACTTCATGAGGGTGGCCTGAGAGCTTGATGTCCTCTAGTGGGCCCTGTACTCACTGCCCAGCACCATAGAGCCTGATTGGCATTTGCCATTGAACACCAGAATTGGCAGGTCCGCCACTGGCATCCTGTGCTTTTCACAGATGAGAGCAGGTTCACCCTGAGCACATGTGAAAGAGACGTGAAAGGGTCTGGAGAATCCATGGAGACGCACACACCTCTATAGCCTAGACAATGGCACCCTGACTGCCAATAGGTATGGGGATGGAATCCTTGGACCTATTGTCAGACCCCATGCTGGTGCAGTGGATCCTGGGTTGCTCCTGGTGCATGACAATGCCGGGCCGCAAGAGTAGGCAGGCAGTTCCTGGAGGATGAAGGAATTGATACCATTGAATGGCTCCCACACTTGCTTGACCTAAATCCAATACAACACCTCTGGGTTATAAAGTTTTAGTCTAGCCGGCGCTGCCAGGTTGCACCTCAGACTGTCCAGGAGCTCTGTGATGCCCTGTTACAGATCTGGTAGGAAATCCCCCAGGACACCATCTGTCATCTCATTAGGAGCATGCTCTGACATTGTCAGGCATGCATACAAGCATGTGGGGGCCATACAAACTACTGAGGACCATTTTGAGTTGCTGCAATGAAATTTCAGCAGAATGGACTAGCCTGATGCATCATTTTTTCACTTTGATTTTCGGGGTGTCTTTGAATTCAGTCCTCTGTAGGTTGATAATTTTCATTTCCATCAAACGATGGGGCATCCTTACATTCCTAACAAATTACCCCGTCCATATCACTATAGATGTCCAGCATGATATTTTTTCCCCATTGAGATCTGATGTGTTTTCAAAGAGTTTCCTTAATTCTGAGTAGTGTATACAGTCATGGCCGAAATTGTTGGCACCCTTGATATTTTTCCTGAAAATCAAGTATTTCACACAAAAAAGGTATTGCATTAACACATGTTTTGCTATACACATGTTTATTCCCTTTGTATGTATTGGAACAAATATAAAAACAGAGGCAGAAAAGCAAATATGACATAATGTCACACAAAACCCCAAAAATGGGCTGGACAAAAGTATTGGCACCCTTAACTTAATATTTGGTTGCACACCCTTTGGAAAACATAACTGAAATCAGTCGCTTCCTATAACCATCAATAAGCTTCTGACACCTCTCACCCGGAATTTTGGACCTTCCTTTGCAAACAGCTCCAGGTCTCTCTTATTGGAAGGACACCTTTTCCCAACAGCAATTTTAAGATCTCTCCACAGGTGTTCAATGGGATTTAGATCTGGGCTCATTGCTGGCCACTTCAGAACTCTCCAGCGCTTCTTTGCCATCCATTTCTGAGTGCTTTTTGACGTATGTTTGGGGTCATTGTCCTGCTGGAAGACCCAGGATCTTGGACGCAAACCCAGCTTTCTGACACTGGGCCCTACAGTGCGACCCAAAATCCTTTGGTAATCCTCAGATTTCATGATGCCTTGCACACAGTCAAGGCACCCAGTGCCAGAGGCAGCAAAACAACCCAAAACATCATTGAACCTCCACCATATTTTACCGTAGGTACTGTGTTTTGTTCTTTGTAGGCCTCATTCCGTTTTCGGTAAACAGTAGAATGATGTGCTTTACCGAAAAGCTCTATCTTGGTCTCATCTGTCCACAAGACGTTTTCCCAGAAGGCTTTTGGCTTACTCAAGTACATTTTGGCAAACTGTAGTCTTGCTTTTTTATGTCTCTGTGTCAGCAGTGGGGTCCTCCTGGGTCTCCTGCCATAGCGTTTCATTTCATTTAAATGTCGACGGATAGTTCGCGCTGACACTGATGCTCCCTGAGCCTGCAGGACAGCTTGAATGTCTTTGGAACATGTTTGGGGCTGCTTATCCACCATCCGGACTATTCTGCGTTGCAATCTTTCATCAATTTTCCTCATCCGTCCACGACCAGGGAGATTAGCTACAGTGCCATGGGTTGCAAACTTCTTGATAATGTTGCGCACTGTGGACAAAGGCAAATCTAGTTCTCTGGAGATGGACTTGTAACCTGAGATTGTTGATATTTTGCCACAATTTTGGTTCTCAGGTCCTCAGACAGTTCTCGTCTCCTCTTTCTGTTGTCCATGCTTAGTGTGGCACAGACAGACACACAATGCGAAGGTTAAGTGAACGTCTCTCCTTTTTATCTGCTTTCAGGTGTGATTTCTATATTGCCCACACCTGTTACTTGCCCCAGGTGAGTTTACAGGAGCATCACACATGCTTGTAACATTCTTATTTATCCGCAGTTGTGAAAGGGTGCCAATACTTTTGTCCAGCCCATTTTTGGAGGTTTGTGTGACATTATGTCGAATTTGCTTTCTTTCCTCCCTTTTTTTGTTTTGTCCCAATACACACAAAGGGAATAAACATGTGTATAGCAAAACATGTGTTAATGCAATACGTTTCGTGAGAAATACATGATTTCCTGGAGAAATATCAAGGGTGCCAACAATTTCGGCCATGACTGTATATATGTGTGAGAATCTTCACAGATTTGTTTTGTCCTGATGCTTTATCCAGTTCTCTTCATCCCTGTGATGAAGTCAGAAGGATGAAGTGCTGTGGAACATGGCTACACGGCAACTGGAAGAAACATCAGATGCCAATCCAGAAATGATGTACCAGATGTGACGGGGTAGAGGAGCAGGTGAGGCGCCGATGACTCAGCTTGTACACAACAACTAGTGGCACTGATGAGGCTTGAGAGTTTCGAAGTGGGAAGCAGTTTAATGTGCTTTGCTTTTTATGATTGTGAGTAGGTTTTACCAATTTTAAGTAACGAGTTTGTGCAGTATTACGCTTTGGAAGTTCCGTCTTTTTTTCTTTTACAAATTGCTTTGTGATCAATATGGGGAGGAAAGGAATTGGATATTTGTGCATCTGAGGAGCGCTGGGGGGATCCTACATTAACAAAAGAGCTGCATACCCATCATTGTTATGAGAGGCATGTGGGGTTGGTTAGTACCTTCCCTGGAGGGAGTGAATGTGCACATGATGATTTGAAGAGTCACATGGTAGAAGTGGAGATGAAATAAATGAATAATGTGAACATTATTTACAGACTTTAGTTTCTTATTTATCTATATTGCATCACCTTTTCACATTTTCAATTTTGATGACACTGGGTGATTTATATTATTTATATTGATAAATGTTGTTTAGCTTTATTTGTTCTTGATTGATCACAGCGCCTCCTCAAACTTGGATTTAAATTCTAGTTTGATATAACGACACCAGGGGCGGACTGACAACTCATGGGGCCCCCAGGCAATAGGGGATCATGGGGCCCCTGTGTCCTTGCCCAAACTCAAAAAAGCCTATGAAAAAGGTACCAGGGGCATCTCATGGGGCCCCCTACTGACCCCGGGCCCTCGGGCAGTGCCCGAGTTTCCAAATGGTCAGTCCGCCCCTGAACGACACTTGCATGTAATCGCTTATGCAGCACACTATCTGCTTCCAGGGCCAATTGCTTGCATGTGACATTACATGTGAGTGGCCATGATTAGATGCAGGAGCCAGAAGCTTCCTTTTGATTTCAATGGGGCTGCTTCTTCCAGCTAATCACGGGAACCCCTGCTTCCCATAGGTAGTGAGTAATATACAGTTGCAAGAAAAAGTATGTGAACCCCTTGGGATTACGTGGAGTTCTGCATGAATTGGGCATAAAATGTGCTCTGAATGTCATCTAAGTCACAACAATAGAAGAACACGGTCTGCTGAACATAATACTACACAAACATTAGATGTTGCCATGGTTTAATTGCACATAACATCTAAACATTCACAGTGCAGGGAGGAAAAAGTATGTGAACCTTTGGACTTAATAACTGGTTGACCCTCCTTTGGCAGCAATAACCTCAACCAAACGTTTCCTGTAGTTGCAGATCAGACCTGCACAATGATCTGGAGTACATTTGGACCACTCCTCTTCACAAAACTGTTTCAGTGTAGCAATATTCTTGGGATGTCTGGTGTGAATCGCTCTGTTAAGGTCATGCCACAGCATTTCAATCGGGTTGAGGTCAGGACTCTGACTGGGCCACTCCAGAAGGCGTATTCTGTGCTGTTGCAGCCATTGTTTTGTTGAATTACTTGTATGCTTTGGGTCATTGTCCTGTTGCATCACCCATCCTCTGCGGAGCTTCAGTTGGCGGACAGATGGTTGTACATTTTCCTGCAAAATGTCTTGATAAACTCTGGAATTCATTTTCCCATCAATGACAACAAATCGTCCAGGCCCTGAGGCAGCAAAGCAGCCCCAAACCATGATGCTCCCTCCGCCATGTTTTACAGTGGGGATGAGGTTTTGATGTTGGTGTGCTGGGCCTTTTTTTCTCCACACATAGTGTTGTGTGTTCTTCCCAAACAACTCAATCTTGGTTTCATCTGTCCACAGTATATTTTGCCAGTAGTGCTGTGGAACATCCAGGTGCTCTTTTGCAAACTTCAAACGTGCTGCAATATTCTTTTTGAGCAGCAATGGCTTCCTCCGTGGTGTCCTCCCATGTACTCCATTCTTGTTTAATGTTTTCCTTATTGTAGATGTGTCAACAAAAATGTTAGCATGTGCCAGAGATTTCTGTAGGTCTTTAGCTGACACTCTGGGATTCTTCTTTACCTCATGCAGCATTCTGCGCTGTGCTCTTGCAGTCATTTTTACAGGATGACCACGCCTAGGGAGAGTAGCAACAGTGCTAAACTTTCTCCATTTGTAGACAGTCTGTCTTATCGTGGACACATGAACATCAAGGCTTTTGGAGATACTTTTGTAACCCTTTCCTGCTTCATGCAAGTCAACAATTCTTGATCGTAGGTCTTCTGAGAGCTCTTTTCTCTGAGGCATGGTTCACATCAGACAGTGCTTCTTGAAACCAGTAAACCCAAAACAGGTGTGTGTTTTTTAAGGGCAGGACAGCTGTCAGCAACACATCCAATATCATCACACTGATTGGAGTCAAGGTTGGCTCACTCCTGGCTCCAATTAGCTCTGGGAGAAGTCATTAAGCTAGGGCCTCACATACTTTTTCCTCCCTGCACTGTGAATGTGTACATGTTATGTGCAATTAAACCATGGCAACATCTAATGTTTGTGTAGTATTATGTTGAGCAGACTGTGTTCTTCTATTGTTGTGACTTAGATGACGTTCAAAGCACATTTTATGCCCAATTCATGCAAAACTCCACGTAATCCCAAGGGGTTCACATACTTTTTCTTGCAACTGTAAGTTTAATAGGTACTTACTATCATCTCTTGATGGATTACTGGAGCATCTTCTTTGAACAATCCATCTGGTTTTTGTTTCTCCAGGATTAGCCACTTGATGGCACCACACAGGACATTAACTTCGATGTCCATCAAGGGACGGGCCAGGGCAAAAACTTTGGCTACATATGCTGTCAGCCTGTAGAGAAAAAGTTATTATGAACCAAGTAAATGATAAGACAAGTCATCATGAACAAAGCAGAGGCATGACAAGTGATCATGAACCAAGCAGAGATAAAGTGGTCATAATGAAAAAAGAAGAGACCAAACACGTCATCAGAGATAGGACAAGTCATTATAAACCAAACAGAGGCAGGACAATCATCAGAAATTGAATAGAAGCAGGACAAATCATCAAGGTCCAAGGAAAGACAGGGAAACTAAGAACCAGAGACAGGACAAAACATCATGAATGAAGCAGAGGCATGACAAGTGATCTTGAACCAAGCAAAATCAAGGCAATCATCATTAACAAAAAAGAGACCAAACAAATCATCAGAGACAGACAGAACAAGTTATCATAAACCAAGCAGAAGCAGGACAATCATCAGAAACTAAGCAGAAGTAGAACAAATCATCAAGAACCAAGAAAAGACAGGACAACTAAGAACCTAACAGAGGCAGGTCAACATATCATGAACCATACAAAGACAAGCCAAGTCATCATTAACTAAGGAAATAATACCATTAATCATGAACCAAGCAGAAGAAGGACATTACGTAAACCAAGTAAAGGCAGGAAAAAATATCATGAACCAAGCAAAGACAAGAGGAGCATTATTAACCAGGGAGATAAGACAACCAGGGGCGGACTGACCATTTGGAAACTCGGGCACTGCCCGAGGGCCAGGGATCAGTAGGGGGCCCCATGAGATGCCCCTGGTACCTTTTTCATAGGCTTTTTTTTTTTTTAGTTTGGGCAAGGACACAGGGGCCCCATGATCCCCTATTGCTCGGGGGCCCCATGAGTTGTCAGTCCGCCCCTGAAGACAACTAATTATGCACCATGCAGAGGCAAGCCAGGGCATCATAAATCAAGGAGAGACAGTAATTATGAACCAAACAGAGGCAGTACAAGTCATCAAGAACCATTCAGAGACAGTACAAGTGATAATAAAACAAGCAGAGGCAGGACAAATCATCATGTGCCAAGGAGAGGCAGAACAAAAAAATATATCAGCAACAAAAAGAGAAAAAAATCTGGAGAGAAATTGTAACACAGCACCCAGCGAGGTGAAATAAAATTAAGTTTTGACAAATATTGTAGATAGTGTATCTTAGTATTGATTCAACTTACCATGTGCTGGCTGTCCTGTCCTTGAAAGCTGCGTAGGAACTATCTGCTTTGCGGTAAACAAGTTGTTGCACATAACCTGAAATGAACAAGAAGTTAGAATGTCTAACTGCTAATTAATATATCTCCCAGATCAAATTTTAAAGCAGAACGTCACTAAAGGTGAAGCTGTCCTTTAGGGTGCCTGTAGACGTTAGATTACTTTTTTTTTTGATCAGGTGACAAATTAATGTCTATAAGGCAGAACACAACAGCTCCAAATGTAATTATATATATTTATCGTGCCGCGCCCCTATTTTGAATTCTTAATCATGAAATCTCTCACTCTTATAAATACATATATTGATAAATACATAAAAATATGTGACCAAATTAATTACTGTGACTTATAAATAAATAAAAGCTCCAAATGTACATTCACAGGGATGGACAGACACAGATGGATCCTGAGAGAGTTGGTTCTACTTAAAGTGTACTACAGGACTAAGAGGCCTTTTGGGGACTTAGCATGGACATAGTTACACTGTCCTTTTGAAAAAGGATATCGTGTGAGCTCTCCAGCGCTTCAGGAAATGAATAGCCAAAGGGAAGCCATGGAAACCAGGGCAGAGGTGACCAAAAGATGATGCTTCAGGGGTGCAGCCCTCCTCAGACAGGGAGATCAATCACTAGAAAAAGAGTAAACAGGTAGCGCACACACCTAATACATTATCTAAGGTTTATTCAAAGGTATAAAAGACAAAAACATACTCACAGACAAAGCATGTATAAAAAGCTTTTGCATAATAAAGATGGCCACAACAGCAGGTAAGGTGTTCCAACTGTCAGTGCAGTCAGGAGGCTGACGCATTTCGGGGATGCGCTGGCCATCCTTCCCACACTATATCTGCTCTTACCCACACAATCCCATCCAGGTATTAGCAGCACCACTGTTTTGTTTCCACCATCGGTCTACTTCACTCACATTGCATCTGAACCAGTCCGAGAGGCAGGTCAGCAGCTCTGAGGAAAGGGACTCGTCCCCGAAACGCATCAGCCTTTTGACCGCACTGACAGTTGGAACACCTTGCCTGCCATTGTGGCCATCTTTATTATCCAAAGGCTTTTTATACATGCTTCGTCTGTGAGTATGTTTTTGTCCTTTATACCTTTGAATAAACCTTGGATAATGCACTAGGGGTGTGCGCCACCTGTTTACTCTTTTGGAAAAGGGCACAGTAACATCGAGTTCAGCGATAATGGCATGAGATGGGATGGAGCACGGTGAATATAAGGTGTGACTATGAATCTAGTTAAAGATGTGAACTATATGACCAAATGTTTATGGATACCTGATTATCCCACCTTTGAGTTTCTTGGAGATCCCATTCCAAAACCATGGACATCAATAGTTTTTATCCAATACAATACAGCTATAACAGTCTACACTCCTTTTGTCTTCCACACAATTTTGCTGTTTGTGGGAATTTCAGCCAAAAATTAATTTGTATAGTCAGGTATTAATGTTGGATGAGAAGATTGGGCTTGCAATCTGCACTTTATTAATCCCAAAAGTGTTTAGTAGGGTTGAGTTCAGTGTTTCTTGCATGGCACCTGAGTTTTTCCACATCAACTTGGTCAAACCATGTCTTTATGGAGCTTTGCTAGCTAGGTGTGCACAGGGGCATAGTAATGCTGAAACAGAAAAGGCCCTTCCCCAAACTGTTAGTTGGAAGCACATGGAAGGATCTCCACAAACATTTGGCCAAATAGTATAACAGCAATCCAAGGAGATCCTTGCGAGATTTTGTTCAAGTGGTTTCATGACAATAAAGTGTACTATAATTTATCTATGGAGGCTATCAAAAGTCTTTAATGTTTCTACTAAAAAATATTTCACTAATGTAGCAGTTTTAAAAAGAATGTATTTTATTTGTGCACAGAACAGTTATTATAGTTAACTACAAATTCTTTATTTTCCAGTCAATGATAGACTTATATCTTCAAAATAGTTCCATTGAGATGGCACCAGTGTCAAACAAAGATCTACTCTGTCTCCCTGAAGATCACAAACTGCACCCATTTATCACTTACCCGCTTTGATGTTGGTGAGGGCTTCCTCTCTTCGATTAACACCTATTCTCTCCCATTGGCGAGTAGCATCCAGGTAGATTGTAGCAATCACACTAGGCGTCATGGTAATCATGTTCTGCTCTCCACAACCACGTGGCACAACAATTAATGGATTGAGATTGGAACCATCTATGGATTCTTCCACCATCTGAGTAATTGGAGTCCCTGAATTAAAATGATAAAGTTCTTGAAATTACCACATTTTTCCCCACACAAAATTCATATATAAATTCATTTTACTAAAAGCTGAAAATATTACAGTCGATTTGTTTTAACTCTTCTTTCAGTATATTAGTAACAAAAATGTTAAAGAAACAACATTATACAAAATGGATATGTCTGTTTCACACACTCCTATGAAAGTTAAGTAACATATTCAGTTGTTATATTTCTATTGGCTACAGAATGTCCACCAGAATAACCAAATTTACCCAACTGCCACAGCCATTTCTAAGCCAAATGTAGGTGTCACACCTCCCGTTAGCTGTTCCCATATGGTAATGAGGAGTCAACAGCATAAATTGCTGTAGAGAAATCTTACTTTGAATTTCTGAGCAATATAAAAAAGTGGGTTCAGTTACTTGTAAGCGTTCACCCAACACTGTCTTAGGTAGACTTGACCCTTAACCTTGTCATTAGCTTGGGTGTTTTGTCCCTTTGAGACTGTAGAAGGCTTTTTTTTTTTTTTTTTTTTTTTTAATGATCTTACTCAGACATCTCAGATTTCTACTTGTAGTGCTCACCCTGGCAGGAGCCCACAGTATTAAGGTCCCTAGGGTCTTTTCCTGTATTTGCCCCGCAGCCAGGCATACAGTCACAGCCACTTCTTTGTCTAAGGGTACGCTTTCCTGATGCTTGAACTTTAACAGGTTCAGGATAACTGTGGGATACTCCAGTAACTCTAGCAGCAACTTGAGGACACTATTCTTCCTTTTTTAAAGATCTGGGCAGAATCCTTGTGCAAGAAAACAGTGGACTGAGCTCTACAGTAGCAATTTAAGAATGCTATACTTCCTCCTAAAGAAATGAGCAGAGTCCTTGCACAAGCAATTAGTGGACTGCGCATTTCAGGACACCAGACACAAGCTGAACAAGCATTGAACACAGCTGACTCTAGCACAAGAAGGATGGCAGCAGCACACAGTCTCAAAGATCACTCACACCAGCCTGTACTCACTAACATCTTTGGATAGTTGGTTGCCTCATTCCAGACACATTTCCGGTGATACCAGACTATATCCCCAAGTGAAAAAGTCCCTCAGTCAGCTCCAGCAACTTTCAGTAGGATAGGCCCCTCAGCTAGCCTAACTGGGAATTTGATGAAAGGCAGGAACATGGCAGGCTTGCCCAGGGGGCAAACAGCCCTACAGGCTGTGATCTCCTCCTCCTAGGACAAGACACTTCTGTTCTAGGTCTCTGAGTATTTATACAAACTCCCAGTCACCATCTAGGCAATTCTCCCCTGGGATTGGCCAGGACTGCATAAATATGCAGCTGACGATTTGACTTTTCCAGACAGACAGTGAGAAGCAGTCAACCCTGTAGCCATACAGTAGAAAATTACTTTGACCAGCCTTATGCCCTGGATCGTACACAGTACTCAACAATGGTGCATGACTGGAGGACATTGGCCTATGCAAGGCAAGCCTAGTTGGTCAAGCTATTTTAAAGAAGCTAAGATGGCACATTATGCTGCATATGAGCTTATACTGTAGATAAAATTGTAAAATGTTTCACAAAATGTTTTAATGACGAGGACATAAAGCACAATCTATGTGAAAGAATTACTTAAAAATATTCAACACTATACATGCAAATGTTTTTGAAAATGTAAAGCTATTTGCCAGTTGTCTCGGTGTCTGACTAGTCCTGAATCATATTATGTATTCCTAGTGAGTGTGAGGGATTTGAAAATAAAGAAGGCAAAGAAAAGTGAAACATTACATTTTTTAATCTTTCATTCCTAAAAAGTGACATGAGATCTGGCAGCTTGAGACTGGAGAGTTTTGTCTGATTCTGTAGTGTGGCAATACAAAACCCAATCAATCATTGTAAATATCTCTAAATACAATGAGCCCAGAAAGAGGAACCCCAGCCAAAACATTTATTTTTATAGATTTGTCTAGATGGAATGGTTATAGCCTCTGTCAAGACTGTTTTTACTGTTTGCTTCCCCTTACTTCCTCTTACAATGACCATCTATGACTGTGGCAGGAAGTGAGGGAGGTCCTTTTCAGCAGGCATATGGAAAGCAGTAAAAACCAACGGAGTTTCTAATCCTTTCCCACTTTGTCTCAGACTAGAAAAAGTTGTAGTTGGATTTGCCCTTGAAGTGAGGAGAAGGTGAGATCCTCTTCCATTTTCAGCTTAGTGAAGGACCAGCTAAGGATACAAAACCACCAATAAATGTACGCAACATCAGGTTTGCATTCTTGCTGGCATGTCGGAGCCCCTCCCATCAATTAATGCTTCTACTTCTTCTACTTTCTTCAGTTAGAACTTAAAGTTGTCCTCAGCTATCTTTCTTCACAGAGGACAATTTCTTCCAATCACAAGAAGTGGAGAGAAAACAGTCAGTGTTGAAGTTCATTGTTGGCCAATGACTACAACATTATGTGGAACACACAAAAATTGAATATTCTCTCAGCTAAGCTTGCTGTGATTGGCTAGTGTATTTTTTTGCAATTTGCCTGGAATTCTTCTATAAATAATACCTGTCAATTTTCCTGGCAAAAAATGTATGTTTATTTCTTGTGTAGCTTTTTTACTTGACATGTGTGTCTGACTCTTCAGCCTGAGAATCAGGGTTCTGAAGTCACCTGTAGCCCTGAAGATGCTGCCGTGATAACTGGAAGCAACTCTCAGACTCTAAGGGGTTTATTTACTAATGCTGGTTTACTCAGAATCTTGTGAACGTCTGCATGGAAACCAATCAGCTTCCAGGTTATATTGCTAAAGCTCAATTGAACAAACTAAGGTTAGAAGCTGATTGGCTGCCATGCGCAGATGCAGCAGATTCTGAGTGAACCAGCTTTAGTAAATCTTCCCCTAAGAGTCCCCTAATCACTGACTCTCAAGCTTGAGAGTAAGACACTGGTCAGGTAAGTAAAGCTAAAAAAATGGGAAAAGATGCATACAATAGTTGATGGAGGAAATAAAAGTACAATTATTATGTGGGAGCAAGATAGGCTCCTGTGAAATGAAGAGTCTTTAGGGATCACCCAAACATGAACAGAGTAGGAGATAGTTGGACAGATTGGGGTAGGAAGTTCCATAGGATGGGAGAGGCTAGGGAAAAGTCCTGGAGGTTAGCATGGGAGGAGGTGACAAAGGAGCTAGAGCAGGAGGTCTTGGAAAGAACAATTTGGCTGGTATTTTGAGACTAGGTTAGTGATTTCACTGGGGGCTTAGTTGTAAATGACTTTTTAAGATGCTGTTAATATTTTGAAATGAATTTGTTGAGTGATTGGAAGCCAGTGGAGGGATTGGCAGAGAGGGGGAGCAGACACGGAACGGTTGGTAAGGTGGATGGGTCTAGCAGCTGCATTCATGATAGCCAGAAGGGGGGATAGCATATGTATTGGTAATCAAATGAGGAGGCAGTTGCAGTATTCAAAGCGTGAGATAATCAGGGAGTGAAGCTTTTTAGTGTCATTGGTTGGGAAGAGGCATATTTTGGAGATGTTGCCCAGGTTGAGACAGCAAACTTTGGACAGTGACTGGATGTGGGGCCAAAAGGAGAGTTTGGAGTCCAGGATTACATCTAGCATCCTGGCATGCGGGGACAGGTTGATAACTGAAGTGAATAAAAGTAGGTGCTTGCCAAATGTAATGGGACAATAAGTAATATAAAAGAATACCACATGAAATAATGTATACATAAATCAATCAATATCATATAACTAGAACATAGTGGATTGCAAAAAAATGAATTGAAAAAAATGTGAAAGTAAAAAAAGTCCCAAACCCCAATCTGATATGACAGTTCAGTTGGTAATCAAATCTTGCAACTCCAATATGTGTTCCACCGTGTATGGCCAGAATAAGAACTCACCAGATTAACTCAACAAAATACCCAGCAAGTGTATAAGCTCAAATCCTGTAAATATCAGGTGCGATGCCTGGTCTTGCAGAATCCTTTGGACCTCTTCCACTCAGATGACACTAAACCACTTCCTCCATTCTTAGCCAAAATCTCAGAAAAGAACCCAGAAGGGTATTCATAGTGCAGCAAGTACTAACATCGCTTGTGTTAAGATGGGTACACACTCTTTCAAAATGTATACATTCCAGTTAAAGTGTTACTAAACCCACAACAGTGAAATCAGTCTGTATATGAAGTAAAGTATGCTTGTTAAACTTACTGTGGAACCTAAGGGGTTAATCCTCCGCATTGTGTAAAAAGGCCATTTGAACCTAACGTTTCTGCTCCTCCTCTTGTTCAAATGTCCACATCTTATCTCCCGATAAGACAGACTGAACCATAGCCATTCTGCACACAGTTTAGTGTGTATTGCTAGAGAGGCTTTTTTTTTTCATGGGAGAGTGCATGTGATCAGTACAGGGCCAATCAGCACTGTCCAGACAGAGGTCAGGGGTTTTACATCCTCCTAGAGTAGAAAGAAAACTCCTCCTACAAGCTTTAACCAGTGCTCTGCTGAACACTGATAAAGGTTATAAGACTGGTGAAACTGCCGATGAGAAAAGGTATCAACTGTGGGTGTAGAATTATAACTTTTTTAATGGTTGAACTGGATGGACTTTTGTCTTTTTTCAGCCAGACTGACTATGTAACTATCACAGAGGACATGGGGGCACTCTTTACGTCTGAAGGAAAAGAGATTAAATCTCCAAATATAGAAAGATTTTTTCGTGAAAATGTGTGATAGATTCCCTCAAGAGTTGGTTCTGGCCAGCTCAGTGGATTGCTTTTTAAAAAAGTCCTGGATTCTTTCCTAGATACACAGAATATAACTGAATATAACATTTATAGGTAAAGTTGATCCAGGGAATATCCGTTTGCCTCTCGGAGGATCGTAACGGAATTTGTTCCTCTGCAGGAGCAAATTGGATCATGCTTTGCTGATTTTTTTTTTTTTTTTGCCTTCCTCTGGATCAATTGTGGGTATACGATTATAACTTTTTTTTTTGGTTGAACTGGATGGACTTTTGTCTTTTTTCAGCCAGACTAACTATGTAACTATGTATTTAGCAGTTTATATTTACTAAAAATAATAGCAGTTCTTTGATAGAACATCTGCATTTCTACCTGGCTGTTAAGCAGCTGGTTATAGACATCTGTATACTAGGCTACATAACATCATTACAGACCAAGGCATAATGGGCCATCTAGTCTACAATGACTGAGGAAAAGTAGAAAGTCCCTGGAAGGGGCAACAGCAGCAGCGGTTCTGTTTCTTGATCAGATCTCTCCTCTTCTCTTCCCTGCAGTGCAGGACTCAGACATCACATTTTGGGCATGGGATAGTAACAATGCAAGGTGGGCCTCCCTTCCCTAGAACCAGCCTCCTTGATAACTGTGCCATCAATCCTGACAGAGAAGTCATGGAAAGGGGCAGGTGGGGGAGGAAATATTATGATCTCGGTTTGGGATCAACTGAGTTTTAGGAAGTGGTGTAATATCTAGCCTGATATGTCTTCTAGTAAATCAGTCATGTGTGAAGAGACTGATTGAGTTAACTGAGGGGTAGAGAGATAAATTTGGGTGTCATCAGCATAGAAATGATATTGAAAGCCATGGGAGGCTATTAGCTAACCCAGGGAGATGGTGTAGATCGAGAATAGGAGAGGTCCAAGAACAGAATCTTGGGAAACCCCAATGGAGAAAGGAAGAAGAGAGGGGGAAGTAGACTTGTAAGTGACACTGAAGGTGTCGTCAAATAGGTAGGTAGAAAAAGGATGTGACTTTGTCATAGAGGTGATCAGTAGCAGAACCAATGAAGAGTACAGCCATGGAGACCAAAGGAGTAGCATTTTTTGAGAAGGATAAGGGTGGTCAACCAAGGCAGCAGAGAGGTCCAGGAGTAGGAGTACAGAATAGTGTCCATTGGTTTTAGCCATTAGTAAATTGTAAGTTTTAGGCAAGCAGTTTCTAGCAGTGTTGAGGTCAAAATCCAGAGTGAAGGGGATCAAGAATGTTATTCTCAGTGAGGTGAGAGCTCATTGCTTTGAAGACCAAACATTCAAGGAGTTTGGAGGAAAGGTGGAGTAAGGAGTGTAGGTTAAGATTGGTCGGGTCTAATGAGGCCTTTTAAATATGAGGGTGACTAGCGCATGTTTAGAGAGCTGGTGAAGATGCCAGTGGAGAGGGAGAGATTGAAGATGTGAGTTAGAGAGTGTAGGAGAGAGTCAGAAGATGACCATAGTATTTGTGAGGGAACAGGGTTCAAGGAACAGGTGGTAAGATGAGCACTAGAAAAATGTTTAGCAACCTCATCTATAGTAGCTGGGTTGAATGATGGAAATAATAAGTATACTTGTGAACATAGAGTGTTAAGTGGGGTAGGAATCTGTACAGTGGAGATCTCATCACAAACTTTATCAATTTAATTTATGAAGTGATTGGTGATCTCCTGAGCAGTGAGTGAGTTAGTGGGTGGAGGCAATGGAGGACAACATTAAACGAGATTTAAAGGTAGCAAACACTTGACAGGGAATGGACAAGAAAGTGTTAATGAGAGAGATAAAATAGGTCTGCTTGGCAGTGTGGAGGACGGAATTGTATTGTTGTATTGTCTGTTTACCAAAGTTATAGGGGTCAGGGCCTGATTCTGTGTGTATTGAGGGGTCAAAGGCAATGCAGGTAATATGACAGTGAACTATTGTAGATAGAAGTGGCTAGGTTGGGACAAAAAAGGGCTGAGACGTTGCCATAGAGGTGGTCAGTAGCAGAAACGAACAAAAGTAGCGAAGGTTTCTATGGGTAACTGTTAGGCACTTGGAAGGAGAGGAGGTGGAAGACAGGGAGAGAGTGAAATTAAGGTACTATTAAGGTAGTGATCAGAGAGAGAAAAAAGATTGCTGTAGAGGTTGCACGGAGAGCATAGGTAGGAAAAAAAAAGGCCAAGGGTGTTACCACCGTACGCAGTAGAAGCCTGTATCCATTGCTTCAGGTCAAAAGAGGACATTAGACTGAGAAGTTTAGAAGGACCGTTAGTATTAACAGCAATGTTGACGTCACCTAGAATGATAGTGGGAATTTCAGAAGAGAGAAAGTAGGGTAGTCAGGCAGAGAAGTCATCAAGGAAGGTTGATACTGGTCCAGGGGTCAGTAGATCACAGCAATTCTTAAACAAACTGGAGAAAATAGATGACTGCAATGGGGGTTATTTACTAAAACTGCATGGTGCTAAATCTGGAGCAGCTCTGCATAGAAACCAATCAGTTTCCAGGTTTTATTGTCAAAGCTTAATTGAACAAATTGAAGTTAGAAGCTGATTGGCTACCATGTACAGCTACACCAGATTCTGAGTGCTCCAGTTTTAGTGTCTTGTGTCTCAAATGAGGAGAGTAACAGAGAGGGAGGTGAGTGAAGAACCTGAAAAATGCATTGTGGGGATAGAAGGAGTCCAACTCCAACTACCTTTTGTCCACTGGGTCTGGGAGAGTGAGTCCAGATAAGGCCACCATGGGAGAAGAAAGCAGGAGAAGCAGAGTTGGATTTATGTAGCCAGGTTTCAATAACAGCAAGCAGATTAAAATGAGTTAGTAATGATGCTGTTAAACAACCAAACTGTTCTGTGAACAAGAAACCTGAGGTACTTGACAGTATCTTTGCATTTTCTTTCATTTGTATTTTTTTTTTACCTTGAACTGTTACAATGGTGTCAATTTCTGTACGAGGCACAATATTTTTTCTCATTTAATGGATCAATCAATTCCTTCTGGACCCCATCTGTGAACAACAACCACAAAGAGATGACAAAAAGCATGTAAAGATATTGAAAAACTAAACACTGAACACACTGTGCAAAATAGCCACAAAAAAACTAAAAAAAAACACACTAAAGAGTTGGATAACATATATCATAATATCATCTTAAAACTTTAAAAATAATTTTGTTCCATAAAGCAAAATTCTGGATTAAGCAAGTATTTTCTTGGTATAGTGTAGGGAAGGGCATAGAGTTAGTCTGTATTTCCCTTGGTTGCCCTTGTAACTTTAGAGTGAGATTCTGCTTGGGAGATGCTTGGGTTAAGTGCCAGCCCTGCCCCTGCTAAGAGAGGGGTACCCTGGGTAAGGTTTTATTAGGAAAGCGGAGAACTGGCTGGGAAGTTAGACTCCACGTTTATTGGTTCTCTCTGTGGGTGGACTGGACCAGGTCAACATGAGGGTAGTTGGGCCTTTGTCATTTAGCTTCCCCTTTAGGGAGGAAGCCTGGACTACTGCCAACCCCCCCCCCCCCACCCCACCACCACCACCACCAGTCTGAGTGCTGAACTCTAGAACATAAATGGTAATATATTGTCTCTAAACAGGTAATGTGGAGGCTAATATATATATATATATATATATATATATATATATATATATATACTAACCCAGCCTGATACTGACAGGTCATCAACCCAAAAATAACAGTATTGTATTACATCACACGTACAAATTCTAAGATAAAGTGCATTTTATTATTAAAAAAATCTAAGAATCAAAAATGACATAGGTATAAAAAGACAATGGCATTTATAAGTCGAAGTGTTGACGCATTACGCGGTTACTGCCGCTTCTTCAAGACTCCATATTTTTCCACGTGATAAGGGGCCATTAATCAATCAATCATCTTTGTCTACAAATCAAGTAGATTCATATAAATACATCAAACACAGTAAACTGGATAGGGTCTATGTAAATTAAAGATTCACCATAGACATAACAGAAAATTAGAAAAAATTGTTTTATATATATATATATATATATATATATATATATATATACATACACACAAAATACACAAAAAGGAAGAAAAAGAGGGAGGGGAGGAAGAGAAAAATATAAAGGTAATAAAATGTTTATATTTTTTCTTCTCCCCCCCCCCTTTTTTCTTCTTTTTAGTGTCTTTTTTCTTGTATATTTGAATATATATATATATATATATATCTATATATATTTATTTTATTTTTCTGAGTTATGTCTATGGTGAATTTTGTGCATATATTTGTTTACATAGACCCTATGCAGTTTCATTTGTATGATGTATTTATATGTATCTATTTGATTTGTAGACAAAGATGATTGATTAATGGCCTCTTATCATACAGAGAAAAATGAAGTCTTGAAGAAGCGGCAGTGACCATGAAACGCGTCGACACTTCGACTTATGATAAACACCATTGTTGCTTTTTCTATCTATATTTCATTTTTAATACTTAGATGTTTTCTGTCTTCAGTGTTTTGAAGAGATTTTGTATTAAAATAATATGGTTAATTGTATAATTTGTAGGTGTGATATAATACTGTTTGCTCATCCGTGAACACCCGCTATCTTATTGTGAATTCTTTTTGCAATCTAGCACACCCCCCTTCTTTGAGTAAGGGGCCTCTCATCTCCCCTCTCATGCTACATCTCTCCTACGTTGGACTGTTTATAACATAAGCTGAGTGTCACCACCTTCAAGGAGTGGCTGATTTATAGAAAAATCTTTGCTTTTATTTATTCAGTAAACTGGTAAAATGCATTCCTAGAGTGGAATCCTTCTTCTCTGAACCTCTATATGGGGAAATCACCTTGAAAAAAAAATTGTGTCAAAAGAGCCAAGGGCCAAAGTTTTTTATTTGGAATAAGGCCTGAAACAGATGTACAGAAGACTGTCAGCAGGTACTGGTTAAGCTAGGATAGGTCATCCCACAGATTTTCCGCATATGCAAGGTAGAGTAGTTTAGGTCCCCGTTTAGCATCCCTAGGTCTGGGAAATGGATCAAAGGGTAGATGCTCCCCTGCTACACAACATCCTTTGTATATTTCTTTCAGATGCATGCAGTAATCCAGTATGGGACCACTCCTACAAAAAGAATTTTGTGGCTACCCAAAACTCATCCATTAGGATGTTGTCCCCATAACCAAAATACAGCTCCACCCAGGGTTGTATTTACCACAAGGCAAACAAGGCAATTGCCTAGGGCGGCATTTTTCAGGGGAGCAGCACCTCCCCCCAGCAGAAGGGACACATGTGCCATGAGAACCAGACGGGATCCAAGAGAGGCTGTGTGCTGCTTGATGGTGTATGTAGAGCTCAGGGGCAGACTGACAACTCATGGGGCCCCCAGGCAATAAGGGATCATGGGGCCCCTGTGTCCTTGCCCAAACTCAAAAAAGCCTATGAAAAAGGTACCAGGGGCATCTCAAGGGGCCCCCTACTGACCCCGGGCCCTCGGGCAGTGCCCGAGTTTCCAAATGGTCAGTCCACCCCTGGTAGAGCCTGACTCTCATTCCCAGGGATGTCCGGAGCTGTGAAGATGGGTGTATTTCTCTCTATCTGGGGAGGGGTGAATAATGGAAGGCTCTCACAGGTGGGTGGCAGGGGTGTTGTTGGTCAATGTCAGGCTCTCTCTGCGGTAGGGGGGAAGGGGGGTGGTGTTAGTCGGTGTCCATATGGGCAAACGATTTTTCTGTTGCCTAGTGCAGCACAAAACCTAAATACACCACTGGCTCCACCTCAAACTACTTTGACCCATAGGATGGTTACACACACAGATGTTATTTAGTGTGATATCTGCGGTATAGCTAGCAATTATTTTATTAGTATAAAAAACACAAAAAGAAAATTGAGTACAGAAAAGTGATAACAAATCCCACAGCTCTCCACCAGATAAAAAAATGACAACATGGTCAGGAAACAACTCCTGCACTTTGCCTCTGTGCCAGAGTTTCCTATAATACAGACCGGTCACTGCTATTGTCTTTCCTTGGGCAGGAAAACTGGCCTTGTATCCTCCCCATTGTTGTTTTCTGCAGGCAGTCTGTAGTTGGAGGATCTGCTGGGTCCCTTCCTCAGCTCTGTTCTATGTGCAGGCTATGTACAGCTCAGTGATGAAGTCACCATTACTTTCACAAGGTTATATATAGGTTTGCTAAGGAATTTGGTGCACACAAAGTGGGCTTATTCTATATTCTTTCTGTCTGTTGAGGAGTTTACTGTATTCAAATTAATTTTTTGAGCCTGCAGTTCAGCTTTTATATTTATATTTGTAACACTATCATCTTGAGGGCCACTGTGTTTCTGGGTCCCCCTTAGCTTTGCACAGCCAGGCAACATTTTATCACACTTGCATCCACAGTCAATGAACATTTCATGAGTTTGGTTTTTGCTATTTTATTAGGGGAAAAAACTTGGATAATAAGATTTATGGGATAATTAATTAAAAAGATTTATGGGATGGCCAACTTGACTGAAGCAATGCACGGGGACAGCTTCCTTCCTAAGTACAGAGAAAGATCCTGGACTGTCTTCCTCCCTTGATAAAGTCAGTCTTCATGGATCAGTAGCAAAAGCCCTTTAAGGACTATTGACTCTTAGGCCCCTTCGAAACTCACAACAGATTGTTGCAAACTACATGCAGAAGTATTTCCTCTCCCCTGTATAACTGCTTCCAGCTCCACATCCTGCAGACACTACCAGCCCTTCTGGCTGCTCTAAAGATCTCCCAGGACAAGGATAAAGGGTTAAGTACAGTGCTGTACTTTGAAAGCTGGCTACATATGGCAGTCTGTCCCCTTGTAAATCCCTGTGTGTACTGATGTGCTCACTCTGTCCTCCTTGCTCCCACTGCTCCCAGAAAAATCTCCTACTCAAACCATGATGCTGAATGAATCTTCCTGAACCAGCTTGAACCCAGGCTGGAGGCAAAGATCCCCCCCCCCCCCCAAGACCTAGGGGACCCCTCCCAGGCAACCGACAGCCTCCTCAGCACTCCATCTTCCACCCGACTCCCTTTCCAGCATGGGCTAGTCTTTCCACACTACCAAGGCTTCCTATCCTGGGACTGGTCAGACTCCCATAAATATGCAGATTTAGGTCTCTAGTCCTTGCACCCACTGCCTTCTGGAAGCTTCCATAGGGCTCCTGAACCAGGTGGAGGTGATAAAGTCCCAACCTGCTGAGTCACCCAGCCTGAACTGCCGTAACCTGACCTAATTACAGACTCACACAGTTACCATGAATCGTACCATAGGAAATTTACCTTTACTAACTCCAGTAGCACACTACTACTGGGACTGGTCAGACTCCCATAAATATGTAGATTTGGGTTTCTACTCCTTCCACCCACTGACTTCTGTAGCTTCCATACGGCTCCAGAGCCAGGTGGAGGTGATAGAGTCCCAACCTGCTGAGTCACCCAGCCTGAACTACAGTAACCCAACCTAATTACAGACTCACACAGTTACCATGAGTCTTACCATAATAAATACACCAACTCTAGTAGCACACCAGATTGTGCTACACATTATCTGCATATTTTCCTTTCATTGAATATAATTGAACATAGTATTGTATAAAAAACTTTATCTCATTAACAGACTCACTTTAATGATAAGATTTCTAGCACTAAACTGAACAAAGCTAATCTGTGACCTCAGAAAGGACTTACCTTGCCCTTTCACTTGTGGTTCCAGAGTCACAGTCTTGATATTTTTTGCAAGACGAACTCCTTCTGGCTGAAAGAAATTAAACAGTGATGAATTAGTTGAGTACTTAATTACCAAGATCAGATCAAAACACTAGGGACCCTTTCACAAGGGAGACACCGGGTGGACTAAGTTTGCTCAGTGGGGGGAATCTGTGTGCTGATATCCCACTGAGCAGATTGGAGTGGGTGGACAACAGATCTGCGTCTGTTTCACTTATGCAGAGCAGGCACAAACACAGTACGCTCTGCTCTATGGGCAGTCGGATGTAAATGGAGCGGCTGTCCATTTACACACGACTGCCCTCCGATCTGGATTGAAGGTAGATGAGTGTAAACGGACACGTCAGTTTACATCTGCTGCTCCATTGAGGTGAATAGAGGGTCCGATTGGGTCCACCTGAAACACAGATAGGAAGACCTGATCGGTACGCTTGTGTGAAAGGGGCCTAAAGCACCAAGCATGAGAATTTGCCACCCTTGGCAACATAAGTGTAGAGTTATGGATAGTACTATAGTGCGCTTGCAGTGATATTGTCTATTGGGTAGCATTTTTTTATGTTAAAATGGACCTGCACCCCAAAAATAATGTGTGTGCACATGGCTCCAGCCTTGCCCTCTCCCACCATTGGATATATTATTATTATTATACAGTATTTATAAAGCGCCAATAGTTCACTCAGCACTGTACATTACAAAGGGGGACAGAACATGTGACAGAACAATGCCAATACAATGCAAAACATGAGGGGATCGAGGACCCTGCTCTTTCGAGCTTACAATCTAGGAGGGAGGGGATGGTGGCACAGGAGGAGATAGCTGTGGGGGATGGAGTGGTAGGAAGAGTGGAGGAGGTCGGTCAAGTTAGCAGGGGGTAGGGTAGGCTTCCCTGAAGAGATGGGTTTTCAGGGTGCGCCTAAAGGAGAGGAGGAGGGAGGAGGAGACCAGGGAACTAGAAAGAAGGAGGTCTTGTAAGGAGCGAAGTGTGCGTGCTGGGCGGTACTTGGATATTAGGTCAGTGATGTAGTTCGGGGCAGTATGGTGGACAGCTTTGTACGTCAGTGTTAGGATTTTGAATTTGATCTGTTGCGCAATCGGAAGCCAGCGGAGAGATTGGCAGAGGGGGGTGGCGGAAACAGAGCGGTTGGAAAGGTGAATGAGTCTGGCAGCCGTATTCAGGATCGACTGAATCGGGGATAGCCAGCAGCGAGGCAGGCCAGTGAGGAGGGAGTTGCAGTAGTCGAGTCGTGATATGATGAGGTAGTGGATGAGCTGTTTAGTGGTTTCTGGGGTTAGAAACGCGCGTATTTTGGCAATGTTGCGGAGGTGGAGGTGGAGTGGATATATATTGCTTTTGTAACTGCTTTCTTGTTTAATCCTCACCTAGGTGAGAATGACATTGCACACACATGCGCAGGTGGGATGAAGGACTAAGGACAGCCTTTGGGACCTTTGAAAACTTCAGCAAATCTTTGCACAAATGGTTTCTCTTTACACACATGCAAAGAAGGTGCAGTTAGGAAGGTCAAGCTCCAGACAACAAAAAATGGCAGCAAAGTCATCATTAAGTTCTCCTCTTTAAGTTCTCACATTACTTGCTTGCTGTGTCGTATTTTTATGCATAGTTTTTAAAATGACTTCTCAGATAAAAACAATTGCTGTGATTGGACATTGCTACTGCAATATTGGTATGTCCCATTCAAACCCATGGACATTAGTGTACAGACACACTGGATTTCTAACCGGCCAGGATGTAGAAAAAGCAGAAGGTTGCAATGAAGGAGGAGGTAAGTAAGCACCTGCAGGCGAGAATCGTGTTGATATGATGGGGATTGCTATAGGCTTTCTTTTTTCAAGCTAATTGCACCCAAGCAGTTCACAGTGCAGAATTGCAGTGAAAGTAAAAATCAGTAATTTTGCAGGAAAAAAAAAAACTATTTTTTCTGAATCACTCTGCTTATACCTGTTCAAGATAGTATAGCGGATGTCCCTTTATTGTTTGCCTTCATCTAACTATCGGTGGACATGGCCATATTTGACCTAGGCACGTAAATCATCTAAACCCATACTTACCACAACCTTTAGCTTTTTCTTGACACCATCAGACAAAAATTGTTGAAAGACTGCAGCTTTCACTTCTATGTCATGCAGACCCAGAGAAAGTGGTACGATGATAAAAGGAACAGCAAAGGAAGAATGGGGTTCAATATGAACGTCTCTGCGGTATTTCGCTTTGGATGTAGACAGACTGCAGAATTCTGGGTTGTGAGTAAATTCCACTTTCACCTGAAACAAATCAACATTGCAATCAAGATATTAAAGCTGAACTCTAGGTGATCACCTTAATTGACAGATGAAATACATATACTGAATCTTGTTTTTAATTTTTGTCCATCCAGTTCTCAGCTCTGCCTCACATCACTGTCAGATGATGGTACCACTTTCATTGTTACAGCTATAGACTGTTGGACCCTACATCAGCGTGCTCCATCATCCAACTAGAAGGCTGGGGTTGGGAGAAGCTACTGACAACAAATAGCGTGCCAAGTTGTATAACTTCCAGTCTGTTCACATACGTGTTTAGCTGTTTGTCTGAAGCTTAGTATTTCAATATTATGTATTATTTGGTAAGATGCTCCCTGTCAGACGTACCCCAGGTACATGTTCTACTGGTGGAAAATGTATACTTTATGGTAAGAGTAGCTTAATTGTCAAATGCCATACTATACAACATAAAGAAAAAAGCAAAGCAAAAATGCATTGGATGCTCATTGCTAGCATAAAATGGTATACATGGTTCTAGTTGGGTCCCTATGAATGTTAAATGTGAAGAGTTTTGTGTCCACTCTGCTGTCAATGCCCTGACCAAATCCTGCGTGCAAGGTTTAGATTGGCACAAACTAATGTGCAAGAAAAATGTGAGATACAAACCATAAGGCTCAGCACACCCTTCCCTATCAGTTTTCAGGGAGACATTTGGCAAAAGCTGATGTAGCCCCCCTGCCCAAGCTAGCTAAATATAGTTTATGGCTCCACTGTACTCAAATGAGCAGCAATATATTTTACAGGCCTAGTTAGGTCTATCCCTAAGCCTAGTGGTTGATTGCTTCTACCTGCCTTAGGAAGAAACTTCCATAAATAGACTAGGAGGGTCAGCCACTGGGTTAAATATTTATCTGACCTAAATGTTTGGGAGAGCCTGATTGGAGTCCTTCTGGGGCCTCTGGCTCTGGGAGACAATCTATGTAGCTGAAGAGATATGGTTAGGCCTCAGAATGTGTTTTGCCGAGGGCCTTGGAGGAACTTGGACTTAGAAACTTGGAGGAAGACTCTGCCCGTGAATGTTGGGCTGGAAAAATGACCCCTTTCACTGAAGAGTGTCAGGGAAGCTAGTTGGGCAAGTGTCTCTGGACATTGTGAGTAAAACCTTTTGCCTATAGCTACAGGTGTGCCTGTGCTTTGAGGGATAGATGCCAAAAGGTTGCTACAAGAACTATGAATGCTCCTATAGAGTCTCAGATTAGCTGGCTGCCCCCTCTACCTCCAGAAATCTTTAAGGAGACTATTGAAGAACTTTGCTTGAGAGTCTATCCTTCTGTACTTGTGTTTTGGAGTATTCTGAACCCTCATCCCTCTATCCACTTGTGTTCAAGTACTGCAATAAATCTGCAAAAAGACACCCCAGGACTAAGCCTGAACTTTGGTGGTGTGTTCTGGAGCTACTACCTGGCAAGGAACCTATGGACACGTAAGGGAAACCTGGGTTTTTTCCATTTGCCCCTCCGGAGGTAATTGCTACACTGTTCACGTGGCCATGTAGGACTGCACACTGCCAAGAATGAGTGTATGTGGTGGGTAGTAATGGTAGATGTGATCAACCACGGCCAGCAAGTCTGTGCAAACCATGGCAGGCAGTTACATGCAGTTAGGGAAAGATGAGCTTCCCTAAATTAAAACTGTCTGTGTCAAGGACCACCCCCTTCCCCCCAACCACATGTAACTGCATAATCACATGCAAAACAATTGCAGCCACCTGCAAAAGCTTGTCATTAATTTGTACGGGCTTGCTGGCCACAGCTGATCTTATCCACCTGTGTTGCCCACTGCACAAATATATTCTTCTACCACGAAATGACACCACAAAAAACTTAAATTAATTCAACTAAACTTTCCTAAATACACTCCATCTAAATAAAGGAAAAAGAAATCCTAAGCAGCATAATAAACAATATTTTGTGGTAATTACATGGTGAAATCAGCTTGGCCAAAATAAATTTGCACATCCCTGTTTGCAAGAGATTAAATTGGATGGATGCACAGCTTTCCTTATGTATTGATGTAAATGGAATATAGATGATTAAAAATGTGAAAGGCTGGCTCTTACCTTGATTTTGGAATTTCCATAATTGTAGAGAATGGCACGGATCTCCACCTGTTCATTCCTCACCACAGAATAAGGCAGCTTGAGGTCAATGAAAAAGTCTTTCATTACCTGGATCTCATATGGTTTAGCAATACAAAGACCTGAATAAAAAACACAACAGTTCTGTAATTTAAAAGTAATATAATTTCAGTTCAATAAGGATCAGTTAGAAATTGAAATAATAATTTTCTGAACAAGAAAATGCACTAAAAAATATCCTGATGGGATACAAGTTTGGGTAGAGGCTTTGGAGATGTTTTAAACTGATTATGATGTCTCCATTGGCTCCACTGCAAGTCCCTATAAAAGCAGGAATAAAAATCTGGAAGCTGGAATTAAAAAAAAAAGCTCCTCCCTACGCATTTCATTGACATGGATGTTGTTAAGTGACAATATGACTGGTGGTGGAGAGAAAAAAAATAGTAGGACAAAGCTTAGCGGTGACATCATCACGTCTGCCGGCTTGTTGGAGCAGCAAGGCTAGTACCTGCATGTTTGCAAAATTGTTTGTGAGTACCCCTCTTTACATTAATAAATGGTGTTTTAACATAATACATATGGATCTACTTTATCTGTTCTCTATTACCCAATTGGGTTTATGTTATAATAGTTCCTGAGCTGGAAGTGGAGACTGGAATCACTTACACTATGATATTTGGAGTGATAAGTGCGCTAGCTAACCTCCTTCAATTTGAGTTCTATTCTTCTGGTATGTAGCTCATACAGTGGGGCAAAAAAGTATTTAGTCAGCCACCAAAAAAAAACAAAATAGAACTGTTTGGTAGGAACACAACTCGTCTTGTTTGGAGGAGAGAGAATGCTGAGTTGCATCCAAAGAACACCATACCTACTGTGAAGCATGGGGGTGGCAACATCATGCTTTGGGGCTGTTTCTCTCCGCAAAGGGACCAGGATGACTGATCCATGTACAGGACAGAATGAATGGGGCCATGTATCGTGAGATTTTGAGTGCAAACCTCCTTCCGTCAGCAGGGCATTGAAGATGAAACGTGGCTGGGTCTTCCAACATGACAATGATCCCAAACATACCGCCCAGGCAACGAAGGAGTGGCTTCGTAAGAAGCATTCCAAGGTCCTGGAGTGGCCTAGCCAGTCTCCAGATCTCAACCCCGTAGAAAAATTTTGGAGGGAGTTGAAAGTCTGTGTTGCCCAGCGACAGCCCCAAAACATCACTGCTCTAGAGGAGATCTGCATGGAGGAATGGGCCAACATACCAGCAACAGTGTGCGCCAACCTTGTGAAGACTTACAGGAAACGTTTGACCTCTGTCATTGCCAACAAAGGATATATAACAAAGCATTGAGATGAACTTATGATATTGACCAAATACTTATTTTCCACCATAATTTGGAAATAAATTCTTTCCAAATCAGCCAATGTGATTGTCTGGATTTTTTTTTTCATTTTGTCTCTCATAGTTGAGGTCTACCTATGATGCCAATTACAGGCCTCTCTCATCTTTTTAAGTGGGAGAACTTGCACAATTGGTGGCTGACTAAATACTTTTTTGCCCCACTGTATATATAAAAGGTGGTGGAAGCACAGGTGCACTTGCACAGAAGGAAGATTTGATATGTTTTGGGACTTTATTTGTCACAGTTGTGATGAACACATGGATTGTGTATTTATTCATTTCTCATTATATTTTATTTTCTACTTGGAATTTGGCACCATTGTGGATGGATTTAAAAGAACAGCACAATACATTACTTTACACATAATCCTGGATATTACTAATCGAGTAATTATCTCTTCTATGTATTTAGCTATCCTTCATATTAATATAGATGACATACATGTTCAATTCGGAATGATAACTTTATATATTTGAATTTGGGCTAAATCTAACATAGGGCTTAACTGAAACTCCCCTACGCTACTGGGACTTGCACTTGGTAATCTCCATATCAGCACCTGTGGTAGTGAGCTCTTGTAGATAGTCAACTTGGGGTTGCACAGGGTGCAGAGTCTAAGCCCCAGCCTGCTTCTTCACCAGAACACCTGATGGTGGGGATGGACTTGCAGCAAGCTGGGATTAGGTCACGGCCCCGGGTACGCCCAGCTGAGGATGAGGAGACCGCTTGCAGGAGCAGAGTACAATGGGAGGAGGCGATCGGAAATACGATAGACTATCCGAGGGTCAGGACGGGCGGAAAACAAGCACAGTCAGAGAATGAAGCCGGGGTCGGTACACAGTAGTCAGCCAATACAGGATACAGGCAATAGCAACACACAGGAGCTCCGACAACTAGGACGTTGCTCAGGCAAAGTGGCCTAGACTGAGCATGTCTTATATAGGCAGGCAAACAAGAAGGTGGGCCAGGAAGTGATGGAAGGGAAGGAAATAAAACCCAGAGAACAGCAGACGACGCCCATAGATGAGAACAGACAAACACACATGTGAAAGGGATCAGGAACAGCACTGCAGCAAGGAGGTAAGAATACACAAACAAGAAACTGCAGGCTAACTTGTGACACTCCAGTGTGCTTATGATCAATTTTTTGTGTTTAAAAACAATAATTATTCAAACTTCTTGATAACTGAACTTTTTCCATGTTTCCTGTAATATAAAGTACCTGGTTATTCCTGCCATTCTTAATACTTCCCCCTTCCCAGTGGTAAAAATCTATGGGCTCAAAGATCCTGAAGACCATTGGTACCACAGTGCGCATGCTCCCCATTTAGCTGGGTAAGTAAGCCATGTATTACTATATATGGCTTACTTACTAGATCATGTGATTGCGGTTTTCTTTCTTGCAGCACAGACCAGGTTGGGGTCGGAGAGAAGACCATAGTGCAAAACATGTCATGTGACATAACTTGCTATTGCATGCCATGCCTTCCAGGCCATTTAGAATGCTGTGTGGTATCAGTCCTACATGTCCCCTGCAAATAGGCAAATAGAGCCCCTCCCCCCATACTTTCTGCTCTTCACTACCAAATGTGATTTGTGCCTCACTGGCCAATCGTGATACATGGGAGGACGGAGAGGGTACGCCAGAGCTTTGCAGCTGAAATTTACATTTTACAGGACCCATATGCAGTGGCTCACCTGGCAAACCCATTTCGGGATTAATTGGCTGCAGCGTTTACTGTATGCAGAAATATAAATAAACTCAAGTGTTGGGTTTTAAGCACATCAAGACCATAACATTTTATCTACAGGATTCAATTTTAAAATTTTGGCTGATTATATTACCTTTATTTTCAGAAAGACTAACTGCAAGGACCTCCCAGGTGGTGATGGAATCTTTCAAGAATATATTGAGCACCTTGGTTGAAATTCTGAAGGAGGAAATTCAAGGAAAATAGGATTAATTTCTGCACTCTCATATCAGCCTTCAGACAAAATAAAAGGGCTACAGTAATATTAATGATGTAGCACCCTCCTAGACAGGTGCTAGATTAAGACAGATAAGATATAGTATGTGTTTTGATATGTAAATTTAGTTGTCACGCAGTAGTCAGTGTGATATTGATTGTTAGATAAAAGCATAACTTGTACATTGTAATCAATGTTGCTGTGTTCTGCTAGTTAGGTCTGCTGAGTATGTTCAGCGGCAGCCATCCTGATAGCTCTCTCTGCATCCAGAAAGCTTGAGAAGTTTCTGGATGATAGATGTTGAGCTATGCAGATGGCAGCATGAATATTGATGCATCCCCGGTCTATCCCAGAGAGAGAGGTTCTGATGGCATGATGGGTAACTGTATATATTCAATGAGCACACTGAGGTCTGGGTCTTTTTTTAGATAGGATTGGTCAAGCCTGGAGGGGGCATACTGCTCTTCCAGGCAATGCTACTGCATCTGCTGTCATAGACCTCAGACGGGAGACCTGAGGGCCTAAATACTGAGATTGTCAGGAATGGACTTGCCAATAGTGGTGGGACTCACCTGCCTTGTGGGCTGCAGTACCAGGGCTGGCCAGCAGGTGCTCTCAACAACCAGAGGTTCACTTCGGCAATTAGCCATCACCTGGGGCTGATTGCAGGTGGTGTATTTAAGGGATGGCCAGACCTGCAGTCTGTGCCTTGGTGTGTGTTTTTCCATGGGCCCCTGTACCTTGTAACCTGCATTCCTGTTCCTGTTTCTGCCTGACTTGTTGCCGACCCTGCCTGATCCTGACCTCTGCTGACTTCTCCTGTTTGATCCCTGGCTTGTGACCCTGACCATTCTCTCCACCTGCTCCTCCTGTACCTACCTGCCCGAGAGTTATCGACCCGGCCTGCCTGACTACGTTGTGCTCTATATGTGTATGTACCTGTGTATCTATATCAGTTTAGGTTTGGGTTTGTTTCACCTTGTTGTATGTATTTGTGTTAGCTTGAGGTTTGGGCCACTGCGTTTATATTTGTATTGTTAGTCTTAATAAATTGTCTTATTTATACCATATCTGAAGCCTGCATTTCCCTGTGTCAGTCCACACATCTCTGGTCACACCCACATCCCTGACAGAGATCCAGGTTCTGCTAAAGCTGACTGAGGGGCTGTCTACTGAAGATCTGGTCTGGTATTATCAAAGAAGGCAACCGGCTGTCCTTGGGCCTTGTGAGTACAGACACTATTAAAAGATCTGAGAGACTTTGTGCTACTTAACCCCCTCTGGTGCTAGGGAATCAGCTGTGGGTCTAGTTAAAGAGGACAGAGCTTTGTCCCTTTATTCTCCTTTTTCAAGGAACTCTGCTCTACTTTGCTACTACTACTACTACTACTACTACTACTACTACTACTGTCCTTAAAGCTGAAGTTTACTGTTTGTTTCAAGCACAGACTTCATCATAGCTTAACTGAAAGATACCTATGTTCTCAACTATACAAAGTTTCTGTTTTTGAAGTATCCCCCCAATTCCCTCATCCCTATTTTCTCCAAAAGTAAAAGCAACAAAAACAACACCCCTAGACTGGTCATTGAAGAAAAGTGTGAATGAGCCTATGTGCCTGGCTGTGGGGCAAAGCTTTTGGGGAAGCCCTGGACAGTATTCCTGGGGCTCCTATGGGAGTAGCACTACACTAATAACAATAATTGTAACCCAGCTAAATAATGTTATAATTTCTTTATTTTAGCTTTGGTAGAGGGAATGTTTTTGTGACTTTTCTACAAATAATAAGAATTAATTAAACTGCTTTGTTTTATTTTAGCCTCCTACACCTCAACATATAGGCAGAGAGAGATAATGATCTTTTGACTATTGGCAGTTTAAGTGATTCGGTGAAAAAGAATCAGTATATGCAGAAAATTACAGACAGTGGTCTCCTCTGCTTGTTTTATTTGAAAAAGGATAAATAAAAGTTATATTTTAATAGGGTTGTCTACTGGTGTAGGAGTAGTGGGGCAGGCTTTGGAGAAGGATGTCAATTGTATCCCCAAACTGAAACTACACAATAACCTCAATAAGTTAGCACACCAATTCACTACAATTTGGACAAACTCCAAATAAATTTGATGCAGTGTTACCACAACCAACAAAACAAGCATGGTTTGAATTTCAATTGGTGTACCAACTGAATAGATTTGCCTTCACTTGACCTGGTGAAAATATAAGAACTGAGGTTCCTACCTATCCAAAATTAAAAAAAAAATTTGGTTGGAGTTGTCCCTTAATTCATATCACTCTGCCAATTATTTGGCCCTGATAATGTTCAGCAGATCTGTTTACATAAGAAAGAAAAAATATACCCATCCTTATCCGGTCTTTCAGACATTGTCTCTATCTTCCAAAGCCAGCATTCGGGAAATTCACTTCTGGACACAATATCAATGTCTGGGATGTAGTCATCATCATCATCACCTGCAGAAGAGAATATAAAAGTTCAGGATGAACGTGCAACAGTTCTAAAGGTTAACCCATCCACTTGCTTGTTATCTGGCTAGATCATCTTCCTTTTCTGATCGTAGTTCTCTATCGGCGCGTATTGTAGAGTTTCTATGTTTTCTTGTTTCTTTATGCATGAATTTTTCACTTGGAATGCTGGGTTCTACTGACAGCATTCTCCTTAGTTCTCTGGCATCTACCTAAATTCCAATTTTTTGCATTTGCTTGAAAGCAGGACTTCAAAATCATATATTTCTTTAATTTTGAATTCCTGGAATCTTGAATTGCACAACAATTAATAGATTTTACAACTAGCCAATTGAATCAAAATGAAAAAAAAATCTTTTCTCCTAGCTTGTTTCATTTAGAATTTTTTGTGCTATAGGAGGACTTCCTGTAGAGATAAATGTGAATATTTATCTCTTTTAAATCAACTGTTCTCTAACTTTCAAACATGTGTTGCCATGGACTGGTTGATTTTCAGAAGGAAGTGGTAAAGGTTTTCTTTAAATTTGCTGATAAATAATACCAACAATGTGGACATGTTTTTAAATTTGTAGTGGCCTCCACTTGTACATGCCCTGAATACAGTTGCAAGAAAAAGTATGTGAACCCCTTGGGATTACGTGGAGTTTTGCATGAATTGGGCATAAAATGTGCTCTGAACGTCATCTAAGTCACAACAATAGAAGAACACAGTCTGCTGCACATAATACTACACAAACATTAGATGTTGCCATGGTTTAATTGCACATAACATGTAAACATTCACAGTGCAGGGAGGAAAAATATGTGAACCTTTGGACTTAATAACTGGTTGACCCTCCTTTGGCAGCAATAACCTCAACCAAACGTTTCCTGTAGTTGCAGATCAGACCTGCACAACGATCTGGAGTAATTTTGGACCACTCCTCTTCACAAAACTGTTTCAGTGTAGCAATATTCTTGGGGTTCACAGACTTTTTCTTGCAACTGTATGTCCCTGTAAACACAAATTTGGAAGTTCTTGGTGTAAACTTGCAGCTTCAGCTAGCCATGGTCTTCAGGAGGTCTGCACTGCATGGAGGCCACTGAAAATTACAACCAGTGGATCCAGTGGTACGAGTAGCATGGGGAGGGGTCTGAAACATTTCTGTGCATGGGAGGGGGTGGGGTACTATCTTTATTCTGCCATCCAGTTTACCTTCCCTTATCTATCTCTTCAGGGAAGTCTATCCTGCCTTCAGCTAATAACCAAATCTTCTATTTTTTTCCCATCGGTTCATCCCCCACAGTTATTACCTTTCATTCCACCAGCCTCTCCTTATTAGATTGTAAGCTCTCAGGATCAGGCCCTCCTATCCCTCTTGTATTGAACTGTATTGTTGCTGTATTGTCTCCTGTTATATTGTAAAGCGCTGAGCAAACTGTTGGCGCTATATAAATCCTGTATAATAATAATAATAGACTGCATAGGACTTAGTTAAAACCCTCAATGACGCTCCGCTTCCCTGTTCTTATATATAATTTCCAGTGCCAACGTGTGGCATTACTCCTTACTTCTTCCCAAAACATCAACATCTTTCTGATACTTTTCTTCTGCCTTCCTCTTCTCAATGTAGGTACAGCAGTCCAGGAAGGCATCCACACACGGCTTTTCCTCTGTAATATGGGTGGCTCTGATCTCACAGCTGTGACCCATGGGGTTCTCCCTCATGCCATCTTTGCAGCATTGTCTTATCGGCCCTTCATACTTGGAGGCTAAAAAAGATAAGTGCATTATGAGAACCATTTTTAAAACTATCTCCAGCCCCAAACATTTCCCCCTCATCACCTTCCCGCTAATCCTCTCACTTTAAAAAAACCTAATTACGCACCCAAATTTGTGGTCATGTAGCTTTTTGGATCTTCTATTTTCTTCATGAGCCCACGTTGCTGTCCATTAGTGGGAGTCACACAAGTTCTGAGGACATGATGACAGCAAGACGATGAGAGGAAACAACGAAGGTGGTGGGTCTGGAGTGGTGAATTGAACTTAGGAAAGGGGTGCCATAAACTTTACCACAATCATGGCAAACTCAACTAAATAAATATGCTTGCTGGAGGGTTTTTTTAAACATTGGGATTGGTAGGAGAAAAGTTAGCGGGAGATATTGGAGGTGGGTACTAATTCACCCAGTGGTTGGTTTGAAAACAAAACTATAATGGTTTAGGGTCAATTTTCTTTAATTTATTTTCTTCTGTTAGTGTAGCCAGACTCCCACCTGTGCTGCTGCCCCCCCTCCCTATCCAGTCAGAGGCTGGAGGAGGAAATGTAATTTAGAAAGTGGAACTTTAGTCTGTTCTACTGCTCCTTCACTATCTACTCAACGACTGGGGGAAGATATATGACTAAGGAAGTGGAACTTTAGCCTATGCTGTTGCTGCTTAACAAGCCAATCACAAGCTGGAGGAATAAATATTACCAAGGCAGCAGAACGTCAGCCTTAGCTGCTGCTCCCTCTTTATCCAATCAGAGGCTGAAGGTGGAATTGTAACCTGTGAAGTGGAGCTTTAGTCTATACTACTGCTGCTTCACTATCCAATCAAAGGCTGGGGGAAGAGATACAACTAAGGAAGCAGAACTTCTACCAATATCCAGTTAGAGGCTGGGGTAGGAGATAGGCAATTACCAATCTTGTGACCTTGGGTAGGAGCTGTTGCATTGTGAAGAAGATGGTTGCAGCTATATGAGAAAAGTAGGACATACGGCAAGGCTTGAAATTTCCACTCGCCTGCTCGCCAATGGGCGAGTGGAAATTATGGTGGGGGTGAGTGTGTCCCCCAGGGCCGTCTTGCTGAGCAGGCTCGGAGCTCAGGCAAGATCTGTCATTGGCACTGGGAGCCATCAGACTTCTCAATAGCTGAGCGCAGTGAAAGCTAAGCAAGGAGTGTGTGCTGTGCTCTCTGCCTCCCCCTAGAGTGCAGTACCCGGATCTGTGAGTGAACAATGAAGTACTGCAACTTTTTAGGGTGTGTGTGTGTCTGTGAGTGTGTTTGTGTGTGTCCGTGTATGCATGTACAATTGTACATGTGTCTGTGTGTATGTTCATGTGTGTACCTGTACATGTGTCTGTGTGTGTGCATGTACGTGTGTGTGTGTTTGTGTGTATGTACATACATGTGTGTGTGTACATGTGTTTGTGTATGTATGTACATGTGTCTGTATGTACGTGTCTGTGCATGTGTATTTCTGTGTATGTACATGTATCTGTGTGTATGCCTGTCTGTATGTGCCTGTGTGTGTATACATGTGTCTGTATGTGTGTGTGTGTACATGTGTCTCTGTGCGTGTGTGTACATGTTTCTGTGTGTGTATGTACATGTCTGTGTGTGTGTACAGGTGTCTGTTTGTGTGTGTTTGTTGGTGGCGAGTAACTCTAAGGCCTGGCTAGTAGCTCAGGACTTGAAATTTTAAGCCCTGACATACGGTATACATCACTGATATGCTGAAAATGTGATTTTTGAGTGGAGTTTCCTTTAAAGGCGGCATTTATATTTTATGAGATTACTGGACCTGTACAGATATTACTGAATCATTTTCTCACCATAACTGTTCTGCAGTTCAATCAGCTGGGCTGTGGAACGTCGTTTCCGTTTTAAAGGAGCTTCACACAGAAGTTCTAAATTACAAGAAGATAGAATATTAAACATAATATTGTTCGTTTTAAAGCAGCATGGAAAGGCAGATGTGTCATTACCCCCCGTTCCCATTGAGAGACCTTTCCTTGTGCATCCAGAATTACAGGGGTTGAACAAAAAAATGGAAATACTAAATGATATGCAGGTGTGAAAGTGATGACATGTTTCGCATTGAAAGCAGGAGTGATTCTTTTTCTATGACGGCACATACAGTTTCCAGGAAAACATCGTTTCATGAACGTAAGCTGTATGCAGGGGCGGACTGACCATTTGGGAACTTGGGCATTGCCCAAGGGCCTGGGGTCAGAAGGGGGTCCCATGAGATGCCCCTGGTACCTTTCATAGGCTTTTTTGGGTGTGGTTTGAGTGTAGGCAAGGACACAGGGGCACCATGATCCCCTATTGCCCGGGGGCCCCATGATTTGTCAGTCCGCCCCTGGCTGTATGACATGGTCAACTGACTGAAAGAGAGAAAAGGACATTGTGCAGGATTGTGACCCAGAATGAGAAAACAGCTGCTGCAAAAGTGACTGCAGAACTCAATCTCAGTCTTTACAGGGCCCAGTCTTCACAGGACTGAGATTGAGCTCTGCAGCTACTTTTGCAATAGTTGTTTTTTTATTCCGGGTCACCTTCCTGCGCTATATCCATTTGTCTCTTTCGGTCAGTTGACCATGTGGACCGCGCTTATGCTTATCAGGCAACATTTTCCCAGAAACTGTTTATACTGTCATAACCTTTGATACTGGACCCCGTGACACCGCAAATAAATTGTCAACTTCAATCACAAAGGCACCAGCTAAGCGGCACCAACAACTTGCCCTCTTTGAAGCTCAGTAAGCTCTGACATTACCAGCAACGCACACAGTGAATGACGAAAGTGAGGTTTGCCTTCTGTTAGCTAGGTGTCTCATCACACAGCAAAAGAATGTTACATCACTTCCGCTTTCAACACGAAACATGCAGTCACTTTCACACCTACAAATCATGGAGTGTTTCCATCAGGGGCGGACTGACCATTTGGAAACTCGGGCACTGCCCGAGGGCCCGGGGTCAGTAGGGGGCCCCATGAGATGCTTCTGGTACCTTTTTCATAGGCTTTTTTGAGTTTGGGCAAGGACACAGGGGCCCCATGATCCTCTAATGCCCGGGGGCCCAATGAGTTGTCAGTCCGCCCCTGGTTTCCATTCATAGTCTAATCCCTGTATAAGCAAAACTGTCTTTCTTTGTGTTTTTTTTTTTTTAGAGTTAAGGGAGGGTTATAACCCTGGTCAGTTTTTTTTCCATCTACTGACGGCCATAGATCGAATGAAAAACGACCGAAAATTGGCTGCAAAAAAAAAAAATTGGCCGATTTTCAGATCATTAGTGCGGTAATCGGTCGGCCATTTTTTGTTGATTTTTGCCATTTTCGATTATCAGTCCTGCTGGAAAATAATCTGCCAAATTTGTCGTTCTGCTGATTTTCGCGGGCAATGATGGACAAATCTGCCGATCTTTTTCCGATTTTAAAAAATGCGCATGAGCAGTGACATGAAAGAAGAAGGAAAAGAAGAAAAAAAGGAAAAAAATAGAATATGAATGAGAAGAAGAAATAGAATATGAATAAAAAGAAGAAATAGAATAGAAAGAAGAAGAAATAGAATATGAATAAAAAGAAGAAATAGAATAGAAAGAAGAAGAAATAGAATATGAAGAAGAAGAAATAGAAGAAATAGAATGTGAAGAAGAAGAAGAAGAAGAAGAAGAAGAAGAAGAAGAAGAAGAAAAGAAGAAATGGGATATAAAGAAAAAAGGAGAAATAGAATATGAAGAAGAAGAAAAAAAAAGAATTTCAGTCCAATATTATATTTGACATTTAAAAGTATAGCAACATTGTACCTATTTGTATACCCGAATAGAAACATCTGTATCCAAAATGGATACAAATAGATACAATGTTACAACTTTTTCTTCTTATTATTATTCATATTCTATTTCTTCTTCTTCTGCATATTCTATTTCTTCTGCTTCTTCATATTCTATTTCTTCTTTTAATTCATATTCTATTTCTTCAAATTCTTCTTCTTCTGCATATTCTATTTCTTCTTCTGCATATTCTATTTATTCTTTTTATTCATATTCTATTTCTTCTTCTTCTGCATATTCTATTTCTTCTCTTTCTTCTGTATATTCTATTTCTTCTTCTGCATATTCTATTTCTTCTTCTGCATTTTTTTATTTCTACTTCTTCATATTCTATTTCTTTCTCTTCTGCATATTCTATTTCTTCCACTTCTGCATATTCTATTTCTTCCTCTTCTGCATATTCTATTTCTTCTTCTTCATATTCTATTTCATCTTCTGCATATTCTATTTCTTCCTCTTCTGCATATTCTATTTCTTCTTCTTCATATTCTATTTCATCTTCTGCATATTCTATTTCTTCTTCTTCGTATTCTATTTCATCTTCTGCATATTCTATTTCATCTTCTGCATATTCTATTTCTTCATCTTCTGCATATTCTATTTCTTCCTCTTCTTCATATTCTATTTCTTCTTCTTCTATTTCTTTTTCTTCATATTCTATTTCATCTTCTGCATATTCTATTTCTTCTTCTTCTGCATATTTTATTTCTTCTTCTTCTTCATATTCTATTTTTTCTTTTTATTCATATTCTATTTATTTCTTCTTCTGCATATTCAATATAATTGCCGGCCGTAGATGGGACAAAAATCAGCCGATTTTTTTTACCAATGGTGGTAACGTCGGCTGATTGAACGACCAATTTTTCGTTTTTCTAAAAAAAACTACGGCCGGTTTTCTCCCCATCTCTAGCCTGCATAAGTGCCATTGAGGAGATTTACCTTCATATCCTGTTCCATAGCCAAAACAGGTAGTGAGAGGAAATTCCTGCACATTAAGGGAATCCATTGGTGCCCCCCAGGTCACCAGAACTAGTGTCCCCATTGAAAGATTTCCCTTCTTATTACGTTTCTGGGAACAACCCAAAATTTTAGATTTTATTTTATTTTCAGTTTCAATGATAATGGTAAACAGGACGACTAGAGAGGGGTAATCACCCTAACGGGGGCACAGACAGCACTAAAAAAGCTCACAGGAGTTCGAATCCCTCTCCACTCCATCCAAAACTAAAAAAATAATGTTTTCTTTAGTTATACTTTAACACGAAAAGGAAAATAAAAGGGAACTAACCTGATCTCTGCACAGTGGTAGTCTTTGTACTGGATTGAAAAGTCAAGCCAGCATCAAAAAACACCCCCATGTTGTCAGCCCCGCATCCAGGTGTACATCCAAGATCTGCCTTCTCCACCAAATTCCACACCTAAATAGGACAGAGAAAGAGTCAGGGCAGTTCTTCCAGCAACAATATTACTTTTTTTTTTAATCTAGCCAATATTGATTTATAGATTTCGCTAAGACCAGGGGCAGACTGACAACTCATGGGGCCCCCGAGCAATAGGGGATCATGGGGCCCCTGTGTCCTTGCCCAAACTCAAAAAAAAGCCTATGAAAAAGGTACCAGGGGCATCTCATGGGGCCCCCTACTGACCCCGGGCCCTCGGGCAGTGCCCGAGTTTCCAAATGGTCAGTCTGCCCCTGGCTAAGACTTAACATTTTATTATAAGTCCTCATTCACACTGGACGTTTTTTGTTTTTACAGCGGCTGCTTTTGGCTTTTGGCGTTTTTTTTCTACAGCCAGTAAACCCCCCAGCATGTTACCCCATATGTCCATGCACACAGACTTTTTCAGCGTTTTTTAAACTAGTGGGTTCATAGGGGTTTTTTAGCTGTAAAAATGCTCTAATGCTGGTAAACGCGGTAAAAACATGGTAAAAACGCGGAAAAATGAAGAAAACCAGCATTTTTGAGAGTTTTTTGAGCCAAAATGTTATTTTTTGTATGTACAAAGCTCTAAAAAATGCTAACGTGGAAAAACGCAGCTAAACATTAATGCAAAAACGCTAAAAAAATGCTGAAAAACTTTTTATTAAAAGCGTTTTTTTAACACGACTATATAATGCTGCCGGCGTTTTTAAAATGGCCAGTGTGCATGAGGACTAAAGTTTAAAGCATAACTAAAGTTAACATATAGAAAAAAAAAAGTCTGCGGGTGCATTTTTGTAGAAGAGTAAAAGAGACCTTATACCGTATTTTTTGCTCCATAAGACGCACTTTTTTCCCCCAAAAAATTGGGGGAAATGTCAGTGCATCTTAGGGAGCAAATATGGAGCACCCAGCTCGTTGTTCCCACCGCTGCCGTGTTAGAATACCGGGCCGGCTGCTCGGGTCCTCTGTGCAGCAGAACCTGCTCCTCGGTCCTACCTGTTCCTCGGTCCAGTGATGTCCTCGCCGTCTTCTCTCCAGGGCGCCGGCATCTTTAGTGTGGGCACCCAACTGTGACAGCTTGTGGCTTCACAGCCGGGAGCCCACTGCGCATGTGCAAGTAGCGCTGGGCTTTGTCAATGGTCCGGGAGCCTTCTGGGACCTGTCACATGTCCCAGAAGATGGGGAGGGAGGACAACTCCGCAGAAGTGGGAGCGGGTACCTGACAAATTTGGGTAACTGCTCTCCCCCCTTCCGCTCCCCAAAGGTCTGCAGTCTCTGGTCATCTCCAGTACTATGTCCGCAGTCTATGGTCATCCCCTGTACTGTGTCCGCAGTCTCTGGTCATCCCCTGTACTGTGTCTGCAGTCTCTGGTCATCTCCTGTTCTATGTCCGCAGTCTCTGGTCATCTCCTGTACTATGTCTGCAGTCTCTGGTCATCCCCTGTACTGTGTCTGCAGTCTCTGGTCATCTCCTGTACTGTGTCTGCAGTCTCTGGTCATCTCCTGTACTGTGAATGCAGTCTCTGGTCATCTCCTGTACTATGTCCGCAGTCTCTGGTCATCTCCTGTACTGTGTCCGCAGTCTCTGGTCATCTCCTGTACTATGTCCGCAGTCTCTGGTCATCTCCTGTACTGTGTCAGCAGTCTCTGGTCAACTCCTGTAGTATGGTATTATGTCCGCAGTCTCTGGTCATCTCCTGTACTACATCCACAGTCTCTGGTCATCCCTGTACTATGTCCACAGTCTCTGGTCATCTCCTATAATATGTACGCAGTCTCTTTTCATCTCCTGTAGTATGTCCGCAGTCTCTGGTCATCTCCTGTACTGTGTCCGCAGTCTCTGGTCATCTCCTGTACTATGTCCACAGTCTCTGGTCATCTCCTGTAGTATGTCCGCAGTCTCTGGTCATCTCCTGTACTGTGTCTGCAGTCTCCGGTCATCTCCTGTACTATGTCTGCAGTCTCCGGTCCGCATCTCTGGTCCTGTACTGTGTCATCTCCTGTACTTTGTCCGCAGTCTCTGGTCATCTCCTGTACTGTGTCCGCAGTCTCTGGTCATCTCCTGTACTATGTCCTCAGTCTCTGGTCATCCCCTGTACTGTGTCTGCAGCCTCTGGTCATCTCCTGTACTATGTCCGCAGTCTCTGGTCATCTCCTGTACTATGTCCGCAGTCTCTGGTCATCTCCTGTACTGTGTCCGCAGTCTCTGGTCATCTCCTGTACTGTGTCCGCAGTCTCTGGTCATCTCCTGTACTGTGTCCGCAGTCTCTGGTCATCTCCTGTACTGTGTCCGCAGTCTCTGGTCATCTCCTGTACTATGTCCGCAGTCTCTGGTCATCTCCTGTACTATGTCCGCAGTCTCTTCTTGTTTCCTCCACTAAAACCTAGGTGCGTCTTAAATAGCGAAAAAATACAGTAAGTCTCTTCTGCCAATAAACTACTTTGTTATCATTTTGTTTATAAGGGCATACTGCTTGCGGTGTTTAAGTGCAATGCCCATTACTGCCAATTTTGTAAGAAGCCAACAATAAGGTCTCAAGCACACTGCTGCTCCTAAACTCATGTTTTTGGAACTTTTGGTATTTTTTTGCCAAAGTCCCTGAACACAACTCCATAAAAGCTGATTTACTAAAACTGGAGCATGCAAAATCTGGTTCAGCTGTACATGATAACCAATCAGCTTCTAACTTCAGCTTGTTCAAGCTTTGACAAAAAAAACCTGGATTGGTTTATATGCAGAGCTGCTACAGATTTCTCTAGTTTTGGTAAATTAGCCCTTACGTGCTCATGCATGCAAAGGCTTTTATCAGAGTTTAGGATCAGCAGCGTCTACATGCGCGTCAACACTAGGCGCATTTAGCGCTTGAACATTAATTCATTTCAACTGCCGGAATAAATGATTATTCTGGCCAATAAAATGAATTAATGCCCAAGCATTTGAGGTGGCTAAACGCGACATAACACTGTACACACATTTTACAGAGTCAAACTTTTTTATGCTACCAGCAGAAAGGCATCTAGAAAATGGGTTTTGAGCATCCAATGTGCATGAACCCTCATGGCCTCATGTACACTGCTGCTCCTAAATGTGAGATTAGGAGATTTTTGGCGTTTTTTTTGCCAAAGCCCCTGAACTCAACTCAATAAAAAGCCTATGTGTCCATCTGCACATAGGCCTCATTCAGGAGCAGCAGAGTTTACAAGCAGTTAAGCGTTCCTCTCCTGAATGCAGAAGAATTGCATTCAGGAGAGGAACGTTTTGGCCAAAAAACTCTAAACATGGCAAAAACATGTGTAAACGTGGCTAAACGCATCTAAACACAGCTAAACACCAGCTGCATTTAGCGCTTGGGTGTTTATCCATGTCAATGGAAAATACTCGGGCCAATCAAATGAATAAACACCCAAGCGCTAAACATGGCTAAATGCCAGGGGAGCTTAATGTCTAGTGGACTTCATGTGTACATGAGCCCTAAATCAGGCACTCATCAGCAGCTGTTCATTGACGGACCTGGAAGGCATCAAAACCCAGGAGAAGATAAAGATGATGGACAAGGAGAACTGAAGAATTTACATCTCTGAGGATATGGTTGCACAGCATACATGCACATTATGGCGAACGTTTTGTGGACCTGCAGCAGACTTATGCAGGCCATAGACGGGTCGAAAACCAACCGTTTTTTTATTAAAAAAAAAAAAAAAAATCGGACGTTCGATCGGCTTACGTTACCACCAACAGGAAAAAAAACCAGCCGATTTTCGTCCCGTCTACAGCCAGCATTTAACCCCATAATTACTTCTTCTGTCCCTTGCAGAGAGCTCTGCTATTATATTTTACATGAAAAAGTCTTCCGGTTGCAACAATGTATCTATTTGTATGCATTTCGGATACAGATGTTATTATTCAGATACAAATAGATACATTGTTGCAACCGCAAGACTTTTCATATAAAATATAATAGCGGACTGGAATTCTACTTCTTTTTTCTTCCTCTTCTTTTCTTCTTCTTTTTCTTCTTTTTCTTATTCCTCTTCTTTTTCTTCTTCTTTTTCTTCTTCTTCTTCTTTTTCTTCTTTTTCTTATTCCTCTTCTTTTTCTTTTTTCTTCTTTTCTTATTCCTCTCCTTTTTCTTCTTCTTCTTTTTCTTATTCCTCTTCTTTTTCTTTTTCTTCTTTTTCTTATTCCTCTTCTTTTTCTTCCTCCTCTTTTTTTTTTCTTCTTTTTCTTATTCCTCTTCTTTTTCTTCTTCTTTTTATTATTCCTCTTCTTTTTCTTCTTCTTTTTTCTTCTTCTTCTTCTTTTTTTTTTCTTCTTCTTTTTCTTATTCCTCTTCTTTTTCTTTTTCTTCTTTTTCTTATTCCTCTTCTTTTTCTTATTCCTCTTCTTCTTCTTTTTCTTCTTCTTCTTCTTCTTTTTTCTTCTTCTTCTTCTTTTTTTTTTTGCAGATCACGGCTCATGCGCAGATTTTTTATCGGTAAAATGATCGGTCGATTTGCCCATCATCGCCGGGAAAATCAGCGAATCGTCAAAATCTGGCGCGAATTTTCCAACTGGACCGATAAAAAAAAATGTGCCAAAACCCCAAAAAACGGCCGACCAATTAACCCACTAACGGTGCGAAAATCAGCCGATTTTTTTTTTGGTCGAAAAATCGGCCAATTTTCGACTCATCTATGGCCTGCATTAGTTTGGCCTTTATGCTGTATTATACCCAAAATGAAAAATGAAATGCATTTCAGCTTACCAATCATAAGTTATGGTGGCTGCATCAGTTTTCTTTTTTTAGGTTTTTTCCCCCATTGTTTTCACCGGACGATCTGGCCAGTAACAAACCTCCTGTATTAGAGTGCCCCAATGCTGGATGAAGAAGCACAGGGGGCACCTTTGGACAGCAGCATTGTCAGTCTGGGGGGAGGGGAGTGTTAGGGCTCGTTCACACTTGACTGTTTTACCAACTCTTGCCAAACACCCCTATAGCGTTTGGCAAGCATTGGTCCTGCATTTGCAGAGCGTTTTTAAACGCTCCGCAAACGCTCTGCAAACGCCGCATGCGTGGTTCACCAGCGGTTTGCTAGGTGTTTGCTGAGCGTTAAAAACGCCCCACAAACGCCTATAATGAAGTTTGGATGGTGTTACCGCTCCGCAAACGCCCCGCAACCGCGTCACAACCGCACCACAAACGCCGGCCGGGCATTTGCAGAGTGACACCATAGACTAGAATAGGAGGCTTCAACGCCTCCTGACTCGACCAGAGGCATCCGTTTTGCCGTACCGCGACGCTACCGCTCCCGTTAGAACAGCACCATGTGCTACAATAGGCAGAATTGTCCGAGGCGTTTGGGAAGCGGTAAAAACGCTTCCCAAACGCCTTTCTGCCGCTTGAAAACAAGGCTAGTGTGATGGACTAGTATGGTCAGTAACTGCAACATGATGTGGAGGTAGAAAGCACACAGGGGTAGATTTACTAAAACCGGTGCACTCAGAATCTGACGCAGCTGTGCATGGTAGCCAATCAGTTTCTAACGTCAGCTTGTTCAATTAACTTTAGCAATAAAACGTGGAAGCTGATTGGTTTCTATGGAGAGTTGCACCACATTTTGCAATCTCCAGTTTTAGTAAATTAATTGGATTGCAAACAACAATGTATTGCAGAACTTGTAAAACAGTATAAACAAGCCCGACAGGAGAGCTCACCCGGCCAGGGCACTTACAACAGTTCAGAGCAGACAGATTCAGTGGTAGTGGATCTGAACCACCGACAGTGTCTGCCAAGGGGAGTACAGTGTGGCTTGGCCGGTCCAAGCTAAAGGGAAGCTTCCTGCAGAGGCAGACGTAGTCCCTACTCTTTCCCGACACCTCTGGAATCTCTCCCTTCTGCTATTGCTGTCCCTGACACACGGGTCTCCTGTCCCTACATTAGCTACTCGCAAAAAGCGTGCCAAAACCTGGGGGCCGAGACTTAAAAAGACTCTGCATGACCCAAGATGGCAGCCAGAGTCACCTGGATCCAACACATCCAACGGGATCACTGTTCCATGGGAACAAGGAAACCATAGAGAAGCCCAGTTTCTCCTGAATTCCAGTTGCATTGCTGCTACAGATAAGCGCCACCTGCAGTGGAGACTGTAGAATGCTTCTACCTGGAAGCAGATTTGACACATTGAAGCCAAACTCCAGCTAATACTTTAAAAGCAGTTACAGTAACAGTTTTTTTCCCTTTGGGATAAAGATTCTACATAAATAATTAAAATCAGATCATTGTAAGCACCCCTATTAGTAGTAAATGGTTTGTCTCATCCTTGTAACTGATACCATCTTCAAGAGAGCATGCTCTTTTGAAAAACAACAGATTTACTCACTGTATCACCAGATGAAAATAGAAAAAAAGAAAACGAAGGCAGCCCTACATCTAAGAATTGGTAATCTGCAATGTAATAAATGTTTCATCCCAGTCACGGCACCACCTGCCTGGAGTTTGCATGTTTCCCTGTGCCTGTGTGGGTTTCCTCCGGGTACTCCAGTTTCCTCACACACTCCAAAGACATGCTGGGAGGTTAATTGGCTCCTGTCTAAATTGGCCCTAGTATGTGTATGTATGAATGTAAGTTAGGGACCTTAGATTGTACACCCCTTGAGGGTTAGGGACTGATGTGAATGTACAATATACAGTCAGGTCCATAAATATTGGGACATCGACACAATTCTAACATTTTTGGCTCTATACACCACCACAATGGATTTGAAATGAAACGAACAAGATGTGCTTTAACTGCAGACTGTCAGTTTTAATTTGAGGGTATTTACATCCAAATCAGGTGAACGGTGTAGGAATTACAACAGTTTGCATATGTGCCTCCCTCTTATTAAGGGACCAAAAGTAATGGGACAATTGGCTTCTCAGCTGTTACATGGCCAGGTGTGTGTTATTCCCTCATTATCCCAATTACAATGAGCAGATAAAAGGTCCAGAGTTCATTTCAAGTGTGCTATTTGCATTTGGAATCTGTTGCTGTCAACTCTCAAGATGAGATCCAAAGAGCTGTCACTATCAGTGAAGCAAGCCATCATTAGGCTGAAAAAACAAAACAAACCCATCAGAGAGATAGCAAAAACATTAGGCGTGGCCAAAACAACTGTTTGGAACATTCTTAAAAAGAAGGAACGCACCGGTGAGCTCAGCAACACCAAAAGACCTGGAAGACCACGGAAAACAACTGTGGTGGATGACCGAAGAATTCTTTCCCTGGTGAAGAAACACCCTTCACAACAGTTGGCCAGATCAAGAACACTCTCCAGGAGGTAGGTGTATGTGTGTCAAAGTCAACAATCAAGAGAAGACTTCACCAGAGTGGATACAGAGGGTTCACCACAAGATGGAAACCATTGGTGAGCCTCAAAAACAGGAAGGCCAGATTAGAGTTTGCCAAACGACATGTAAAAAAGCCTTCACAGTTCTGGAACAACATCCTATGGACAGATGAGACCAAGATCAACTTGTACCAGAGTGATGGGAAGAGAAGAGTATGGAGAAGGAAAGGAACTGCTCATGATCCTAAGCATACCACCTAATCAGTGAAGCATGGTGGTGGTAGTGTCATGGCGTGGGCATGTATGGCTGCCAATGGAACTGGTTCTCTTGAATTTATTGATGATGTGACTGCTGAAAAAAGCAGCAGGATTAATTCTGAAGTGTTTTGGGCAATATTATCTGCTCATATTCAGCCAAATGCTTCACAACTCATTGGACGCTTCACAGTGCAGATGGACAATGACCCAAAGCATACTGCAAAAGCAACCAAAGAGTTTTTTAAGGGAAAGAAGTGGAATGTTATGCAATGGCCAAGTCAATCACCTGATCTGAATCCGATTGAGCATGCATTTCACTTGCTGAAGACAAAACTGAAGGGAAAATGCCCCAAGAACAAGCAGGAACTGAAGACAGTTGCAGTAGAGGCCTGGCAGAGCATCACCAGGGATGAAACCCAACATGTGGTGATGTCTATGCGTTCCAGACTTCAGGCTGTAATTGACTGCAAAGGATTTGCAACCAAGTATTAAAAAGTGAAAGTTTGATTTATGATTATTATTCTGTCCCATTACTTTTGGTCCCTTAACAAGTGGGAGGCACATATGCAAACTGTTGTAATTCCTACACCGTTCACCTGATTTTTATGTAAATACACTCAAATTAAAGCTGACAGTCTGCAGTTAAAGCACATCTTGTTCATTTCATTTCAAATCCATTGTGGTGGTGTATAGAGCCAAAAATGTTAGAATTGTGTCGATGTCCCAATATTTATGGACCTGACTGTATATGTAAAGCGCTACGTACATTGACGGCACTATATAAGTACCTGAAATAAATAAAAAAATTAATAAAATAAATGTTTGCCTTTGGGTTTATTACTGCTGTAAGTGCTTTTTACCAAATTTTTTGCAAATTTTTAGGTAACAAAGGTATCACGAAGTTTGGTCATGGAGTGGTTGTGCTCACCTTGCTCTGGGATATCTTGTACTTGCTGTTCAATACAAAGACACCTTTGTCCACAGCTACCAATCCCACGTAGGACTTGTGATCTCCCTTCATCCTTAGCTTCATGGCCGAACCAGGACTTTGAACTTTGTTGTCTCGATCTGTGTTACCCGTTACCTCCAACTGAAAAGTAACATAAATACTTCAGGTTTAAAAAAAAATAAAAAATAAATAAATATATATATATAATTATATATATATATATATATATATATATATATATATTATTTCTAGATCTACACATATTAATTTAGATAATATTAACAAGGTGTATAACATGGTAGCTTTGTAGGTTTTCTTAAGTTCAAGGGACATCACCTGTAGGTACTGCAACAAACATTATCAACAGGTACTGGCCCAGGGATTGGATATGATATATATCTGCCTCCAAGTTTGTGGCAGTTTGTCACTGAATGCCTTACTTTCCTCTCCTCACCTACACTCACCTATACCTCTTCCTATACTGTTCTACGGAGGGCAAAACAACAGGTACACATTAATGCAGAACTCTGCACCCATATAGAAAAAAAATACATTTGAAATATATATTTTTAAAATATTCTTCCCAAATATATTGACATATATTTGAAATGCTACAATTTTGGCCATATTCAATATATTTCAAAATATATTTCAATAAATAAATACAGTTGCAAGAAAAAGTATGTGAACCCCTTAGGATTATGTGGAGTTTTGCATGAATTGGGCATAAAATGTGCTCTGAACATCATCTAAGTCACAACAATAGAAGAACACAGTCTGCTGAACATAATACTATACAAACATTAGATGTTGCCATGGTTTAATTGCACATAACATGTAAACATTCACACTGCAGGGAGGAAAAAGTATGTGAGGCCCTAGCTTAATGACTTCTCCCAGAGCTAATTGGAGCCAGGAGTGAGCCAACCTTGACTCCAATCAGTGTGATGATATTGGATGTGTTGCTGACAGCTGTCCTGCCCTTAAAAAACACACACCTGTTTTGGGTTTACTGGTTTCAAGAAGCACTGTCTGATGTGAACCATGCCTCGCAGAAAAAAGCTCTCAGAAGACCTACGATCAAGAATTGTTGACTTGCATGAAGCTGGAAAGGGTTACAAAAGTATCTCCAAAAGCCTTGATGTTCATGTGTCCACAGTAAGACAGACTGTCTACAAATGGAGAAAGTTTAGCACTGTTGCTACTCTCCCTAGGCGTGGTTGTCCTATAAAAATGACTGCAAGAGCACAGCGCCGAATGCTGCATGAGGTAAAGAAGAATCCCAGAGTGTCAGCTAAAGACCTACAGAAATCTCTGGCACATGCTAACATTTTTGTTGACACATCTACAATAAGGAGAACATTAAACAAGAATGGAGTACATGGGAGGACACCACGGAGGAAGCCAATGCTGTCCAAAAAGAATATTGCAGCACGTTTGAAGTTTGCAAAAGAGCACCTGGATGTTCCACAGCACTACTGGCAAAATATACTGTGGAGAGATGAAACCCAGATTGAGTTGTTTGGGAAGAACACACAACACTATGTGTGGAGAAAAAAAGGCACAGCACACCCAACATCAAAACCTCATCCCCACTGTAAAACATGGCGGAGGGAGCATCATGGTTTGGGGCTGCTTTGCTGCCTCAGGGCCTGGATGGATTGTTGTCATTGATATGAAAATGAATTCCACAGTTTATCAAGACATTTTTCAGGAAAACGTAAGAAAATCTGTCCGCCAACTGAAGCTCCGCAGAGGATGGGTGATGCAACAGGACAATGACCCAAAGCATACAAGTAATTCAACAAAACAATGGCTGCAACATCACAGAATACACCTTCTGGAGTGGCCCAGTCAGAGTCCTGACCTCAACCCGATTAAAATGCTGTGGCATAACCTTAAGAGAGCGATTCACACCAGACATCCCAAGAATATTGCTACACTGAAACAGTCTTGTGAAGAGGAGTGGTCCAAAATTACTCCAGATCGTTGTGCAGGTCTGATCTGCAACTACAGGAAACGTTTGGTTGAGGTTATTGCTGCCAAAGGAGGGTCAACCAGTTATTAAGTCCAAAGGTTCACATACTTTTTCCTCCCTGCACTGTGAATGTTTACATGTTATGTGCAATTAAACCATGGCAACATCTAATGTTTGTGTAATATTATGTTCAGCAGACTGTATTCTTCTATTGTTGTGACTTAGATGACATTCAGAGCACATTTTATGCCCAATTCATGCAAAACTCCACGTAATCCCAAGGGGTTCACATACTTTTTCTTGCAACTGTATATTTCAACATGCAGTATATATATATATGTGTAATTTTTTTTTTTTAAATATATTTTGAAATATATTGAATATGGCCAAAATTGAAGCATATATATATATATATATATATATATATATATATACTGCATGTTGAAATGAGTTTATATATTACAAAATATATGAAAAATATTTTTAAAAATATGTATTTGTTAAATATATTCTTCAGATGTTTTTTGACATATAAAAAAATCATTTTAACATTTATTTTTGCATATATTTGTAAACGTATTCCAAAAATGTAGATTTGTATTTTTAAAGACATACAGTATATCTGAAATGTATTTTTAAAAATATTTTTCATATATTTTGTAATAAAAAACGCATTTCAACATGCAGTATATATATATATATATATATATATGTGTGTGTGTGTAATTTTTTTTTTTGAAATATATTTTGAAATATATTAAATATGGCCAAAATTCTAGCATTTCAAGTATATGTCAATATATTTGGGAAGAAAATCTTAAAATATATTTCAAATATAGTTTTCTTCCATGTGGGCATATAGGTACCTTCCTACCACTCCATTGAACGCAAAGTCCTCTGTAAACTCCTAGTTGCTTGGGTCATAGCTTACACAGGGTTAGGGACTACCCATGTGATAGTGCTGATTAGCCCATTGCCATCACATGGGTTAAGTGACATGCCCTTCCATAACCAGAAGTGTCAGGTATTTTCTTTGGCTTTTGGCAGTATGTGCTAACAGAGCAGGGGTTAAAGCAAACCTGCTTTAAGTTTCAAATCTCCAAAATTCCCAGGTGAGAGCAAAAAAGTCAGTAACTATAACAGGGAAATTTTGATCCACTAGGGTCTCTCTCTCCTCATTGGCTGAGACACAGCAATGGTAGCCACTGGCTCCCACTGCTATCAATCACAGCCAGTAAGGAGGCAGCAGACGCTAGGTCACATTCTGTGTGTCCCATAGACACACTGGGCAAGCTCGGGAGCGAGCACGCACAAGTGCTACCTGAGCAAGCAGGTTGGCACTCAACAAGGAGGAGGGGCCAGAAGAAGAGGATGATCAGACCTGTTCTGTGAAAAACCATTGCACAGAGCAGGTAAGTATAATGTGTTTATTTTATTCAAGAAACAAATTGAGTCTTTAAAACCACTTTAACAAGCTATATGCCTATGAATCGGCAGTGACATGCCAAATGCAACATTTTATTCATCCAACTGCAGGTACAAGCTACATAAGAGTGGCAACTCTGCTCTGAATTCAGGAGCAGTGCGGCATTGTTGCCACGCCATTACAGGAAGTTGCATTAGGTGGACTTGATTGACAAGATCAACAGGTATGTCTTGCACTTTGCAAGAGGACTAAGAGAAAATTGTAAGTGCAAAAGCACTTCTAATTATGTGACCCGCTCACAGTACATCTCGATCTTGCTTTAAGCTTTTGGGTGCTCATGCCCCCACCCCATATTTTTAAATTGGATATGTTTTTTAACAGAAAGTAGAAAATATAGGGGTTTTTTTTAATTTTCACTCCGTTTTTGTTTATAAAAGAAATAAAAATCCAGTGGTGCTCAAATACCACCAAAAAGTTGTGTGAAAAAAAAATACATTTCATTTGGATACAGTGTTGCATACCTAAGCAATACCAATTACAGTAGCACAGTGCTGAATAGCCGTAAATGGTCTGGTCATGAAGGGGATAAAACCTTCCGGAGGTCAAGTGGTTAAATATTGTTGAAAATAAAAAATTGTGCCTGTATCTACATACTTGACATTGTATCCCCACTTCCTGTTGGGCTTTCTATGAATGAGGGGATGATGGATGGAAGAGGTCTCAGGCCTTCCATGAAGCCAAGAGTGATCCTTAGCTTTTCAGGGATGCCCTCCAATCCTTGGGGTAAACTCCTTCTTAGACCTCCTCTACTTCTACTTACTCCCCACTAACCCACCTTCCTTTTTCTTTCCTTCCCTCCTTCTCCGTCTTAACCTTTTCCTTTTCTGTCCTTTTTTCTGCCAACATATGGCTCTGTTCCTCCTCTCTTGACTAGGATAACCCATATGTCTCCAAGTCATTATAAATGTCACCATAGATACCCTTCCCAACGTATACTAATGACCAAGGACCTAATCTGGAGAATTAAAAAATAACCAAAATAACATTCCTTAAAACAGAAACCATACTCATAAACCAATAGCCATAACATACAGGCTGATGGTCTTGGGAGGCACATGAGAACCAACATCAGGTTGTATATCTGTGTTACTACTTATTGATCCCCAGCCGCAAAACACCGGCTAGGAGTCAAACCCACTTCTCTGCAGATATCTACTTGTTACCACTTCCCAGAAAATACCCCATTAACTGGGATCCAACAGAGGACGCCATACCTTAGATGGGTCACTGCTATGAACTGTTCCAAAAATGTTAACACCTCTAAAGACCCCAACCGCCAAAGGCCCTAGAGCCCAAAGGAAAACAAAAAAAACTGCAGGGCGGGAAGATTCCTTCACGTCCGCTGCTCCCAGGGATTTGTCGCTCTTTGGATCTCTTTTTCGGATACCACCTGCAGCTCCACCTACTCTCCGTAAACTCACCAATCCGGTAAGTGACCACCCTTCTAACAAACTATACCTTAACCCTGTCCTACCTTGTATCCCCTGTCCCCCTTGTCATGTAGTCCTTCGCCTATTTTTTTTTTTTTTTGCTTCTTTACATTTCCTAATAGTACTTCTCATAAGAACTTCTCATAAGAACTCATTCAGCTTTGGCTTTAGCATTTCAAAAAATCTACCTCTCCAGCCATTTTTCGATGTGCTAACTAGGCTAAATGGTTAGCACTTCCACCTGGCAGTACTAGGGTCATTGGTTTGAATCCCAACCACGGCACCACCTGCCTGGAGTTTGCATGTTCTCCCTGTGCCTGCGTGGTTTCCTCCCACACTCCAAAGACATGCTGGTAGGTTAACTGGCTCCAGTCTAAATTGCCACTTTGATAAAGACAAATCTAGGAATGTTGATCTCCTGGGACACAGTAGTTACATAGGAGGAACCACCGAGCACAGTGGAGGACACAGAAGGTAGACACAACCAGAAATTGTGGAAGATACTCCAGGCGACGATTTCAGTTCATCGGAGCAGCCATAGAATTACATGACTATGGCATTACATGCAGGGGTGGACTGACCATTTTGGAACTCGGGCACCACCCGAGGGCTCAGGGTCAGTAGGGGGCCCCATGAGATGCCCCTGGTACCTTTTTATAGGCTTTTTTGGGTGTGGTTTGAGCGTGGGTGAGGACACAGGGGCCCCATGATCCCCTATTGCCCGGGGGCCCCATGAGTTGTCAGTCCACCCCTGATTACACGACAGGATGGCTATAACATCACATTTAATAATCTTATAAACTAAGCTGAAAAAGAGCAGGATACTTAAATGAAAGAAAGTGATGGCTCACCGTTCCCATGCAGGTATCTGCCACGTCCACCCAAATGGAGTCAGACACAATTTCATTTCCTACAACATAATAAGCAATCAGGCGGAACGATGGTATGAAATCCACTGTGATCGGGAGGGACATGGACACCAGGGCCTGTCCAGCCAGCCGTTGTTGTCTGTCTGCTTTCAACACCCTGCCCTTGTTCATGATCTGTCAAGAACCAAATGACATAATTAAAATCACATAAAAAGTGCCCTTCTTAACTCCAATGAAAAAAGAAAAAACTAAATAAAAGAAAAAAATCAACATATCATCGCTGGTAATATCTGTGCCAAAACTGTCCTATACATTCAGTTTCCATTTCTTTCTGCGCACTGAACACAGCATCACGTCGCGGCTGCTGTAAAACAAGGAAAATGAGAACCCTTTTCTGTTTTATTAAACATTCCTGTCTAAATAAACTGTTTTTATAATGTAGTTTCTAATGAAAGAGATGTTATACAAAACCTAACAACATCTTTGTCTTTGAACTTTATACTTCAGTCTAAAAGAATTGATTTTGTGATATCTAATGTAGGTAGGCCGGAGATAGTCGTCTCTAGTCAGCTGCAGAGCAGGGGCAGACTGACCATTTGGAAACTCGGGCACTGCCCAAGGGCCCGGGGTCAGTAGGGGGCCCCATGAGATGCCCCTGGTACCTTTTTCATAGGCTTTTTTGAGTTTGGGCAAGGACACAGGGGCCCCATGATCCCCTATTGCCCGGGGGCCACAAGAGTTGTCAGTCCGCCCCTGCTGCAGAGTATATATGAGTGCAAACCCAGCTAAGTGGCTTGATATCCCTTCTAGTGGTGCCTGGATAGAGCTTTTCGGGCCAGTGATAGCTCATCGCCGAAAGCACCATGCATGGTAGGGGCAGCACTTATACCAGCAGCATAGATACACAGGGGAAGAGGATGACCTATACTGGAGTTGGCTGATATAAGGAGATACTACCAGCTAATGTGTGGCTGGTGTGTGCGTGTTGGTCAATGTGTTTCTCTCACCACTCACTCTTTCTATATCTGCTGTAATGGCTGCTCATTTGTTGTCTGCATATTGTCACTATAGTTCATCTATTGGCACGCATAGTAATGATTGCCCATTTGTTGTCCATGTACTATAATGATTACCTGTTTTGTTTACCCCCATATTGTAATGATTGCCCATTTGTTGCCCGTGTACTGTAACGATTGCGCATTTATTGCCCCTATATCGTAACAGTTTCCCATTTGTTGCCCGTGTCCTGTAATGATTGCGCATTTATTGCCCCTATATCGTAACAGTTTCCCATTTGTTGCCCATGTAATGTAACGATTGCGCATTTATTGCCCCTATATCGTAACAGTTTCCCATTTGTTGCCCGTGTGCTGTAACGATTGCACACTTATTGCCCCTATATCGTAACTGTTTCCCATTTGTTGCCCGTGTGCTGTAACGATTGCACATTTATTGCCCCTATATCGTAACAGTTTTCCATTTGTTGCCCGTGTGCTGTAACGATCGCACATTTGTTGCCCCTATATCGTAACAGTTTCCCATTTGTTGCCCGTGTGCTGTAACGATCGCACATTTATTGCCCCTATATTGTAACAGTTTCCCATTTGTTGCCCATGTGCTGTAACGATCGCACATTTATTGCCCCTATATTGTAACAGTTTCCCATTTGATGCCCATGTGCTGTAAAGATCTCCAAGTCAATATAAATGTCACCATAGATACCCTTCCCAACATATACTAATGACCAAGGACCTAATCTGGAGAAAATTGGCCAGCTTGGCCATTTATTAACAAATAACCAAAATAACATTCCTTAAAACAGAAACCATACTCATAAACCAATAGCCATAACATACAGGCTGCTGGTCTTGAGAGGCACATGAGAACCAACATCAGGTTGTATATCTGTGTTACTACCATATACTATATTGTAACAGTTTCCCATTTGTTGCCCATGTGCTGTAACAATTGCACACTTATTGCCCCTATATTGTAACAGTTTCCCATTTGTTGCCCATGTGCTGTAACGATTGCACATGTATTGCTCCTATCGTATGTACTCTCCAGCGTCTCAGGATATGCACAGCCAAAGGGAAGCCAAGGGAACCAGGACAGCGACAACCAAAGTAAATGCTTCAGGGGTGCAACCCTCCTCAGACGGGGAGATCAGCCACTAGACAAAGACTAAACAGGTGGAGCACACACCTAGTGCATTATCCAAGGTTTATTCAAAGGTATAAAGGATAAAAACATACTCACAGATGAAGCATGTATCTAAAAAGCATTTGCATTATGAAGATGGCCACAGCGGCAAGCAAGGTGTTCCAACTGTCAGTGCGGTCAATGGCTGACACGTTTTGGGGACGAGTCCCTTTCCTCAGAGCTGCTGCTGACCAGCCTCTTGTGCAGATGTGTAGAGGATGGATGGTAGGAGCAAGGTGTGTGCGCCACCTGTTTATTCTTTATTCATTGCTCCTATATTGTAACATTTGTTGCCCATGTGCTGTAATGATTGCACATTTATTGCCCCTGTATTGTAACACTTTCCCTTTTGTTGCCCATGTGCTGTAATGATTGTCCATTTTTTGCCCCATATTGTAAAGGTTGTCCATTTTTTGCCCGTGTACTGTAACGATTGCCCATTTTTTTGCCCCCATATTGTAATGAATGTCCATTTTTCCCCATGTTGTAATGGTTGTACATTTGTTGTCCATGTACTGTAACAATTGCCCATTTTTTGCCCCCTGTATTGTAATGATTGTCCATTTTTTCCCCCATATTGTAATGGTTGTGCTTTTGTCGCCTGTACACTTTAACAATGGTACATAGTTTGCTCTCATATTGTAACAGTTGTCCATTTGTTGCCCATGTACTGTAACAATAGAGCATTTTTTACCCCATCATAACAGTCGCCTGTTTGTTGCCTGCATATTATCACTATTGCCTATTGGATATGATTTTCCATTTGCAACCCGCGTATTGTCAGGCTCACCTACAGGCCTGGCACTATTAAACCATGTAGTTTTGAATATTACTATTACATCTCTTTATTGCCATTTTCTACTATTAAAGTATAACTATAGGCAAATGTTTTCTGTTTTTTTTATTATTTTTGGATGGCTTGGAGAAGGATTAGAACACTTGCCAGGTTTTATAGCTACCTTTGCCCCCATTAGGGAGATTCCTGACTCTCTCTTTTTATCGTGTTTACCGTTGTAATCGATTGAGTGACTGAAAGTAAAAGAAAATCCCAAATTTTGGGTTGACACTGGAACAGTAATAGAAGGGAAATATGTCAATGGGGACACTAATTATGGTGACCCCGTTGAGACCCCAGGATCCAAAACTAGAAAAAAAATTAAAAAAAAAGTCTTGCATTTAGTTAAACGTGTATTAAATTACAATATATGTTTGAAATAGTTTTGAGCTAGCATAGACAGTGAGCTAGTACACACAGAGCTTTTTATGTTATTTTATATAGTTATTGCTGTGTATGTTTGCATTTACAAATAGTATGCATACATGAAAAAGATGTATGTGTCTATTATCTGACTTATTTACCCTAGTTTCTGTTATTTTGATATCCCTTCCAATGGTGCTACAGAAAAAAAACAATGGTAAATGAATCTAAGCAAAACAGTACTTACCATACTTTGGGGGATTGGGCACTGAGATATTTGTCATCTGTGTGACATCTAGTAGTAAACATGGTCCTAATAAGGGATTGCTTTACTACGACAAAGAGGCAATGGCTTCATAAGGTTTGGCAGCTGCCATAAATGTATTGTGTCATCCACCAATCACTCAAGGTGGGATCCCAACTGGGTCTTGATCACATGTGGAAGGACGATTTATTTATCCTGCAGTGGGGGGCCCCCCATATGAACCAACAACAAGGGTTCAACAATCTTACTATTACCAGCTTTACATTATTAAATTGGTGGAGTGGATTTATATTTTAATCTAGAGACTAACACCATATAGAGAATAAACAAAACAATGGAATTACCACGTAGGTGAAGTGCTGGATTTGGTTTTGAACATTAGCATTGGTGTTGCGGATGTTGAAGTTCACATTAAGGTTATCTCCAGGTTTAACTTCGGAAGTGGTGATACCAATATGTAGGTAATTGCCGTTTGAGTTGTAGGCAATGGCTGTCATTGTTGCAGAGGCTTCTCTCTCTGCTCCCAAACCCTGAGCCGTTGTCACCTATAGAACACATAGTATAGATTTTAATTTTAAAAACTGTTTTAATAAATGGAAGATTTGTTCCTCCCACATTAAACCACACTCCATGTCCGAAATACATTGAGGAGGTTGTGCTGAACTCATCTGACATTGAAGGCCTCAGGTGTGACCTCTGACATTACCAAAGAGTCATATATAATATTCAGTGTATGTAATGCTACATGAAACAGTCAGAGACATGCTGAAAAAGACAGTCAGAGACTGCATACATGCCACATGAGATAGTCAGAAACTGCAACATGCTAGAGTAGATGGTGAGATACAGCAGACATGCTACAGGAGATGTTCTAAGTCTCCAGACATGGTACAGGAGATGTTCAGAGACTCCAGACATGCTTCAGGAGATGTTCAGAGACTTCAAACATGCTACAGGAGATGTTCAGAGACTCCAGACATGCTACAGGAGATGTCCTGAGCCACCAGACATGGTACAGGAGATGTTCAGAGACTCCAGACTTGCTACAAGAGATGTTCTGAGCCACCGGACATGCTACAGGAGATATTCAGAGACTCCAGACATGGTACAGGAGATGTTCAGAGACTCCAGACATGCTACAGGAAACGTTCAGAGAATCCAGACATGGTACAGGAGATGTTCTGAGCCTCCAGACATGCTACAGGAGATGTTCTGAGCTTCCAGACATGCTACAGGAGATGTTCTGAGCCACCAGACATGCTACAGAAGATGTTCAGAGACTCCAGACATGGTACAGGAGATGTTCAAAGAGTCCAGACATGCTACAGGAGATGTTCTGAGCCTCCAGACATGCTACAGGAGATGTTCATAGAATCCAGACATGGTACAGGAGATGTTCTGAGCCTCCAGACATGCTACAGGAGATGTTCTGAGCCTCCAGACATGCTACCGGAGATATTCTGAGCTTCCAGACATGCTGCAGATGTTCAGATACTCCAGACATGCTACAGGCATGGTTGAATACTGGGGACATGCAGCAGCAGTTTATTAAAAACTGTGGGCATTTTACAAAAGACTGTTAGAGATGCTTTCATAGTCTCTTTACAAATCAACGCTCCAACATTTCTGTATCCTATGTACAGTCCACATATGACAGTCCTCTCAGCAACATCCACAATAAAAGGTGAGAGAACAAAAGCAATAACAATGGAAAATAGAATGAACAACACAGAAAATCATAGATGTTTAAGACTTTGGGCTTTCATTATCTCAAATTTCAGCGTTACACTTTAATTATAATACTCATGTCCTCGAGATCAATGTTAATGACTAGCTTCAAATTTTACAGATGGGACAGCAAGCACATAGTATACATGACCAGAGATTGCAGCAGACATTACAAGAACCCCTTTCAGAACAGGATGGTATGGAGGGTCGCTCACAGTTATTGGCAGGCGGTTGATATTAGCAGCGGTATTCAACGTCAGTCTTGATGTTCCCTCGGATCCAGTCAAACCTTCAACATTTCCAGGTTGACCCACCACCCTAATTCGGTTAGCTGGAGAACCATCAGGGTTTGTGACAAACACCTGAAAAATAGGAAAGAACACAGGGCCAGCATTAGATTCTATGATGCAACATATTTTTGTAAGGCGCCCCCTTCCCAGTGAAACAAAACAGATTTCTTTTTGCTCTGTTTTCTTAAAATCATGCAAAATTGACATGTCTTCCTTTTGTCAACTTTTCAGAGAGACATTAACTGCAAGATTCTGGAGTGAGAACTGAACCACCAACTTTTACAAAGTGCACAAAGGGATGAAAGGGAAGGGAAGGGAAGGGGAAAGGGAAGGGAAGGGGGAAAGGAAAGGAAAAGGAAAAAACAAAAGGGGGAAGGAAAAGGAAAGGGGAAAGGAAAGGGAAAGGAAAAAAGGAAAGGAAAAGAGAGGAAAGGAAAAGGAAAAGAGAGGAAGGGGAAAGGGAAGGAAAGGGGAAAATGAAAGGAAAAGGAAAAGGGAAAGGAAAGGGAAAGGAAAAAGGAAAGGAAAAGAGAGTAAAGGAAAAGGAAAAGAGAGGAAGGGGAAAGGAAAGAAAAGGGGAAAGGAAAGGGAAAGGAAAAAAGGAAAGGAAAAGAGAGGAAAGGAAAATGAAAATAGAGGAAGGGGAAAGGGAAAGGGGAAGGAAAGGGAAAGGGAAATGAAAGGGAAAGGAAAGGGAAAAGGAAAGGAAAAGGAAAGGAAAAGGAAAGAGAAAGGAAAGGTAAAAAGGGAAAGGAAAAGGAAGGGAAAGGGAAAAGGGAAAGTAAATGGGAAAGGAAAGCGAAAGGGAAAGGAAAAGGAAGGGAAAGGAAAAGGAAAAGGAAAAGGAAAAGGAAAAGGAAAAGGAAAAGGAAAAGGAAAAAAAGGAAAGGAAAAGGCAAGGGAAAGGAAAGTAAAGGGTATAGGAAAAGGAATGCAAAGGGGAAAGGGAAAGGAAAAGGGAAAAGAAAGGAAAGGGAAAGGAAAAGGAAGTAAAAGGGAAAGGGAAAGGAAAGAGAAAGGGAAAGGGTAAGGAAAAGAGAAAGGGAAAGGAAAGGGAAAGGGGAAGGGAAAAGGGAATAAAAGTAAAAAAGAAATGATGGAGGAATGGATAAAAAAGAAACACAAAAGGGAAAAAAAAGAAGCAAATAATTTTTTATTCATGCACACGAAGAACTGGTTAAAACTAAATTAAAATAAAACAAAATAAAATATTAGCCAAAGCACTCACTAAAATCTCAATTATCTAATGGAATTAGTGAATTAATTTTGACATACAGTATGTTCTGCTTTTATTCCATAATAATTAAATGAGTAGTACATGGTTCCAAAAAGTTAAGAGATAAGAAGTAGGCGTACAGCACTACTCTATGTTTGATGATCTGTTTGAATCATAACTAATCCATAATTCCTCCTACACTGGAACTGTGTTTGGGTCAGGCCAGCTCAGTAGAAGATTTTTATGCCTTTAAGAGGTGAGATTAAATTCCAGGCATTTCATTTTCTAAATGTTATCAACATATTCTAGATAATCTGCACAGCATCCTTACCGTAAGGTCAAAGGGCATTCCAGGCTTAAAATACTTGGAAGTTTTAGTGAAAAGAACTTTATAGGGAGATTTCACAATATGAATCTTTTCTAACTCAGCTTCCACCATTTCGCTGCCTGGAAGAAAAAAGGGACGGGCATTTAAAGATACTTCACTAAAAAGGAACAGATCAATGTAAAATATTTGAAAACGTTACATTGGGACTTGGGAAATAATCCTTTTATGTAGTCAGTGTTTCCATCTATAACATTATTTGTTTTGGATGGAATATTTTGAAATACTCAGACCATGCCATGTTCAAAGTCAATTAAATCCCCTTTCTTCCCCAATCCGATGTTCAGTTTGAACTTCAGCAAGTTGTCTTCACCATGTCTACATGCTGCCATGTGATTGGCTGATTAGCAATTTGTGTTACCAAGCAATTGAACAAATGTATCTAATAAAGTGGCCGGTGAGTATAGGTGGGCTACCGGAATTATTCCTCAAGTGCAAAATTTCTCAGCATGTAAACCAACAATAAACTACTTTTTTACATGTGCAAACAGAAATATTGTATTATTTATGTTTGTACATGTAAAAAAAAAGATGTAAAAAAAGTATTTTATTGATGGTTTACATTCTGAGAATTTTTGCACTTGATGAAGAATTCTGGCGCACACCTGCACTTGTCTACATCACTAAAGATTAGAACGAGCTTTCTTAAAACAAACATTTGCTAACAAAATTCTACTAGATTACAGCCAGTTTAAGAATCATATACTGCCTCTAGATTGTTCACTTTCTGCATTGTTGGTGCATTTACTGTTACAGTAGTATAGAATATCTCTTTCTAATTGTGATTCAAAGAACCACAATTCACCCTGAGGTCATCACAGAGGACAAGGGGGCACTCTTTACGTCTGGAGAAAAAGAAATCTCCAAACAGGGAAAGGTTTCTTCACAGTAAGAGCTGTGAAAATGCGGAATAGACTCCCTCAAGAGTTGGTTCTGGCCAGCTCAGTGGATTGCTTCAAAAAAGTCCTGGATTCTTTCTTGGATACACCGAATATAACTGGATATAACATTTATAGGTAAAGTTGATCCAGGGAATATCCGATTGCCTCTCGGGGGATCAGGAAGGAATTTTTTCCCCTGCAGGAGCAAATTGGATCATGCTTTGCTGGATTTTATGCCTTCCTTTGGATCAACTGTGGGTGTAGGATTATAACTTTTTTTTCTTCCCTTTTTTAGTTGAACTGGATGGACTTTTTTTAGCCAGACTAACTATGTAACGATTTTCATGATTTTTTTAGAGAACCCTGACTATCAACCACCAACCGCTTCTGTTTACAATCCAGGTCTCTTTATAGCAGTGTTTCTCAACTCCAGTCCTCATGGACCCCCAACAGGTCATGTTTTCAGGATTTCCCTCAGATGAAACAGCTGTGGTAATTACTAAGGCAGTGAAACTGATCAAATCACCTGTGCAAAATAATGGAAATCCTGAAAACATGACCTGTTGGGGGTCCATGAGGACTGGAGTTGAGAAACACTGCTTTATAGCAAAAGTAGTCACGCTACCGCCGGTGGGTTTTCTAGCAGAAAGTTAACGTGGTTGTCAGGGGCAGACTGACAACTCATGGGGCCCCCGGGCAATAGGGGATCATGGGGCCCCTGTGTCCTTGCCCAAACTCAAAAAAGCCTATGAAATAGGTACCAGGGGTATCTCATGGGGCCCCTTACTGACCCTGGGCCCTCGGGCACTGCCCGAGTCTCCAAATGGTCAGTCCGCCCCTGGTTGTTGTACACCCTTACATATACCCAGTGAAGGGACTGGCATCAGGTGATACACAAAGAAGAAAGAAATCCTCTTACATTAGTTGTACCTGTTTATCTAGAGCAATATGCCCCCTACATGCATTCCAAATGCAGAACGTACACAGGATCTCTTAGCTCTGAAAAGCAGGGGGCGGGGAGCTGAAGTTACATCAGTGAGGAGAGCTGATTGGAGGGAAAGGACACCCCCCCTTCCTTAATACAGCACACAGGAACAGAGCTGAGGCTGTCAATCACAGACTGTGCCCTCCCCTGTCACCATTTTGCTCTTGGTGTCCGGAAACCTTGTCAGAGGTGATTCATGCTGATAGCCGAGGAAGGAGACAGCAGAGAGAAATGACACTTAGTGCTCTGGATAGAGACAAGTATGCACTATAGATGGATATGCTTTGTTCATATTTCATGTCTGAGATTTGCAACCACGTTAATTCGCAGCTGTAGAATTTGCCATCAAGACAGCAGCATTCTTGTAATGGCTCCGTGGTGAGAAGCAAAGGGATCTAGAAGGACAGAGTCACCAGAAGTCTCAAAATATATAAAAAGCTAGAGAGTGATTCAGTATGTCTGTGGCGGCATACTGTAGCACTGAAATATCATTGTTAGGGAAGCAGAGTGGCTAAGTGGTCAGCACTTCCACCTGCCAGTACTCGGGTTGTTGGTTCGAATCCCAACCACGGCACCACCTGCCTGGAGTTTGCATGTTCTCTCTGTGCCTGCGTGGGTTTCCTCCGGGTACTCCAGTTTCCTTCCACACTCCAAAGACATGCTGGTAGGTTAATTGGCCCCTCTATAAATTAGCCCTAGTATGTGAATGTGAGTTAGGGACCTTAGATTGTACACCCCTTGAGGGTTAGGGACTGATGTAAATGTAAAATATATGTAAAGTGCTGTGTAAATTGTCAGTGCTATATAAGGACCTGAAATAAATAAATAATTGTTAACATATAATGAATTCCCTGTGAAGGTTCTTTTCTTACCTGAGTCAGTGACCATCGTGACAGACATATACAGGCTGTACTGCAGCATATCCTCAACATTCTTAAAGTTCTTCACAAAATCCTTTCTTTCTAAGGTAGCCACACCATCTCCATTTTCGATCTAGGAGATAATTCACAAGAAAAGAGACAAGAGAATTTATTGTTAAATTGAAGACAGAAACTACAGTGTGTGTGTATATATACTGTATATATACTGTACATGAGCCCCCACTGTATATATACTGTACATGAGCCCCCACTGTATATATACTGTACGTGAGCCCCCACTGTATATATACTGTACATGAGCCCCCACTGTATATATACTGTACGTGAGCCCCCACTGTATATATACTGTACGTGAGCCCCCACTGTATATATACTGTACGTGAGCCCCCACTGTATATATACTGTACGTGAGCCCCCACTGTATATATACTGTACGTGAGCCCCCACTGTATATATACTGTACATGAGCCCCCACTGTATATATACTGTACGTGAGCCCCCACTGTAGATATACTGTACGTGAGCCCCCACTGTATATATACTGTACGTGAGCCCCCACTGTATATATACTGTACGTGAGCCCCCACTGTATATATACTGTACGTGAGCCCCCACTTTATATATACTGTACATGAGCCCCCACTGTAGATATACTGTACATGAGCCCCCACTGTAGATATACTGTACATGAGCCCCACTGTATATATACTGTACATGAGCCCCCACTGTAGATATACTGTACATGAGCCCCCACTGTATATATACTGTACATGAGCCCCCACTGTATATACTGTACGTGAGCCCCCACTTTATATATACTGTACATGAGCCCCCACTGTATATATACTGTACATGAGCCCCCACTGTAGATATACTGTACGTGAGCCCCACTGTATATATACTGTACATGAGCCCCCACTGTATATATACTGTACATGAGCCCCCACTGTAGATATACTGTACATGAGCCCCCACTGTATATATACTGTACGTGAGCCCCCACTGTATATATACTGTACATGAGCCCCCACTGTATATATACTGTACATGAGCCCCCACTGTATATATACTGTACACAGGGGCGGGCTGACCATTTGCAAACTCGGGCACTGCCCGAGGGCCCGGGGTCAGTAGGGGTACCCATGAGATGCCCCTGGTACCTTTTTCATAGGCTTTTTTGAGTTTGGGCAAGGACACAGGGGCCCCATGATCCCCTATTGCCCGGGGGCCCCATGAGTTGTCAGTCCACCCCTGACTGTACATCAGCCCCCACTGTATATATACTCTACATATATATATATAAAGATAAACATGAACCTCATTGTTATTCACTCAATCCCCAAACCAAGTGTTACTAAACCCACAACAGTACAATCAGTCTGTATATGCAGTAAAGCATGCTTGTTATACTCACTGTGGAACTTAAGGGGTTAATCCTCTGCACTGTGTGAAAAGGATCTTTGCTCCTGTCTTCTCTGATCCTCCCTTTCTTCTACTGTCCCCAATCCATCTGCTGATATAGTCTTGGGGGCAAGCTGCACATGCTCATTTTGGTGTGTATTGCTAGAGTTTTGGTGGGGGTTTTTTTTGAGAGTGCATTAGATCAGCACAGGGTCAATCAGTGCTGTCCAGACAGAGGGTCAGAGGTGATGCAGCCTCATAGGAAAATCAGAGCAGAATGAAAACTCCTCCTACAAGCTTTAACCAGTGCTGTGCTGGACACTGATAGAAGTCACAAGACTGCTATATACTGCTGATGAGAAAAGTTATTTAGCAGATATTTACTAAAATAATTGCATTTAGATGTTGTGTGTACTGTGGGAGACCAGATATAGTGGATGCAGGGTCCAAGGAGACCAGATATATTAAATGCAGGGTCCGGGGAGACCAGATATAGTGAATGCAGGATCCTGGGGAGACCAGATATAGTGAATGCATTGTCCTGGGAGACCAGATATAGTGAATGCAGAGTCCGGGGATACCAAATATAGTGAATGCAGGGTCCGGGAGACCAGATATAGTGAATGCAGGGTCCGGGGAGACCGGATATAGTGAATGCAGGGTCTGGGGGAGACCAGATATAGTGAATGCAGGGTCCTGGGAGACCAGATATAGTGAATGCAGGGTCCGGGGAGACCAGATATAGTGAATGCAGGGTCCGGGGAGACCAGATATAGTGAATGCAGGGTCCTGGGAGACCAGATATAGTGAATGCAGGGTCCGGGGAGACCAGATATAGTGAATGCAGGGTCCGGGGAGACCAGATATAGTGAATGCAGGGTCCGGGGACCAGAATGCAGGGTCCGGGGAGACCGGATATAGTGAATGCAGGGTCCGGGGAGACAGATATAGTGAATGCAGGGTCCGGGGAGACCAGATATAGTGAATGCAGGGTCCGGGGAGACCAGATATAGTGAATGCAGGGTCCTGGGTTTAGTAGACACTAGGTCTTCGTGCACACCGGGTGTTTGCCCGGTTCTTCTGAATGCCTTTTCTCCTAGCAGGAGAACAGCAGCATAAAAAAAAAAGCTTAAAAATGTGTTATGCAAACTCGTTTACACCCTGGTACCGTCAAGCACGACTTTGAAATCGTGCGACTTAAAGTGAAGTCGCATGATTTCAAAGTCGAGGGAAATGCCAATTTAAGGCATTTTGCAAGACATCTGACATCGGTGCGGCTCCGACTAAGTTGGAACCGCACCGATATGACCGCTGTAATTGTGGACAATAGGGTGCGACTTGGCGTGTGATTTGCAAATCATATGGCATGCAAATCGCATGCCAAGTCGCACCCGGTGTGACCAGGGTCTTATGCGCATCAAGAAATGCTTCTCCCCTGAATAGGCAAGTAATGTTTTTTTCTGCCTCTAAACACCTGTAAATGCCCATGTGTGCATGGGCACATAGGCTAACAAGAAGGGGTGTTTAGGGGCAGAAAAAAAAGGCAAAACACTCTTAAAAGCAGCATTTTTGACACCTTAAAGAGGTATTAAACAGAAAACCAAAAATGTAATATATTGCAGTTTGCCAATCATTAGTTGTGGTGGCTGCCTTTAGTTTTTTTTTTCATCTTTTCCCCCCTCTGTTTTCTAACCAGTAACATGCCTCCTGTACTAGACTGCCCCCACACTGGATGAAGGAGCACAGGGGGAACCTTTGGACAGCAACATTATCAGTTTGGGGGGAGGAGAGTATATTAGCAGTTTTAGACGCACTAATAAACTGAAGGCAAACTCCAGTTGACACTTTATAAGCAGTTACAGCGGCAGTTTTGTTCATTTTGGGATGATGGTTTTTACATGAATAAATAAAGGCTGATTGTAACGGAACCAACCCAGACTGCGCTTGAGTACTTCCCTTAGAATACTGCTTCCCCGTCCGAACACCGACAACAGACACCACAGCCGACCATACAAGACTAGACGACACCAGTCTTGAAGTAAACCAGGAGGTAGACTAGTTTATTTGAGCACAGATACAAGATATATACACTCAGGGGACAATCCCCCCTCCCTGCATAATGACACAGGGCGGGGCAATCTACATTTAGTAACAAGAGACACACAGGTATTCAAACTTCACTCCAGCAGACAGTCCCATCAGGAGGGAGGGCTGCTGGAGACACCCGCCCACGAAGCCAATACACATAAACACATACATCCCATAATAGTTTGCTCCCAAACCAGACAAACAATAGAACAATGGGATGCAGCCGCATGACATTAAACAATCGACAACCCCCCACCCCAATATTAGGACAGATCACCCTGTACCCCTAACAGGCACAGGGTGATTTACACATAAGAGGGATATGGGGAGCTGAGACAGGGGTCTCCCCACCTCTCCAAAGTGATCTGGGTTCCATGGGCCCCCAACCCAAAGTGACTCCCTTGTAATTATTCATTGTAAGCACCCCTGTCAGTGGTAAATGGTTTGTCTCTCACTCTTTTACTGCTACATCTACATCTTCTTTTGAAAAAAACAAACAGACTTACTGGCTGGATCACCAGGTGAAAATAAAAGACGGAAAGCCTAAAAAAGAAAATGAATGCAGCCATCACATCTAAGAGCTGGTAAGCTGCAATATAATAAGTGTTTGCTTTTGGGTTTAGTTCTGCTTTAAAGGAAAAAGGCCTAATTTTGAAAAGTTTTCAGAGAGCAAAAGTTGAACTGAAATATATTCTTCTAACCTGAATCCTCCTAAGGGTATTCGGAAAGCTTGTCTTTACCCCATCCTGCTCGACTCCAAACAATACAAATGCCGAACCTTGCACCTCTTTTCCATAAAGGAACCTGAGAAAAGAAATAGAATGACATAATATACAAACCAACCAAGGAAACATTTGTCAATGAATACACACACTTTCTGTACAGATAGTACCGATCACTGAAAACATTTTGATATAACCGTTTTTTACAGCACATATTTCTACTCTGCTCACCTTGCTTTTATATCTACAACAAATTCTTGATCATCAATGTAAAAGAATCTTTGGTCTGGAATTAGTTTGATCTCAAATGTTGGCAATACTAAAAACAGAGGAAAAAGGTATTAGGACGTTACACTTTTGTTTTTACAGTATAGAATACTTGTAGCCCAACTGGACGTTCAGGGTAAATTAGTTTTATATACACATATATATATATATATATATATATATATATATATATATACTGTATATCAGGGTGGATTTGATTTAAATCAAACTGATTTAAATCATGATTTAAATCACGATTTAAATCACTAGTCAGTAAGGCTTGATTTAAATCCTAGTTTTCTACATAAAGACTAATTCTTGCTGGTATAACTTTCATATGCAAGTAGATGAAGATTTTTAGAATAACAGCTTTTCATATTAGTTTTGTTATCCCCAGTTTAATAGGTTAATCATTCATATTTGGACAACTTTTCTGTTGTACTTAGGAAGGAGAAAAATATTAATTACCTTAATAATAACAATTTAAATAGATTTATTCATCTGAAACAATAACATTCCAGCATATGTGATTTGCTTAAACATCCATGTTTGTAACTAATTTGGCTAAACAAAATATATATATTTTAAGAAACTTAGACTGTCAGCCCCTTCCTCCTCACACTTAGTTTCACTTTCTTCTTGTGCAGATCTATTCCACTCCAAACAATCAGAAAAATGTTGTTTCTATTCTATTCACTGAACTTCTTGAAGTTTAGCACTGAAGGGGTTGATTCTGTATTCATCGGTTTGTAGAAGTTAGGATGAAGGTCTTTTTCTTAACTCT